GGGGGGGGTTCTGGCACATCAATTGTATATATTGGGGTTCGAAGCCGGAAGAACAAATAGAAGAGCCATATCCATGACCATGACGACGGGCCGCTTCGGTTGCTCGATTACCGCGTTTGAGCGCTTGGAATCGATGGTTGCCACTGAGAATTGGTGGCTATATCCTTTGGCCTGGCACAGTTCACAGTTCGCACCGCCTGCCAATTCGTGAATGTATGTAGTCAATTTATGAGAATGGCTCCCTCCTTACCCGCCCGTGTCCTTTGTTCCCTCCATGAGGTGAGAATTGCCTGAGTACGTTGGTAGGCTCAACCCCGTCCCACGGCACATTCACTTACTATGCGTGCCTCCTATAGGTCTCCGACCGAGTCTATCGTTTTCCAGTTCACGCCTAGGCTAGGTACGCTCGACCGACACAATCTACCCACGGTTTCAAATTCCCCATGATCCCACACATGCATCTTCAATCCGCCAATCCTCATTGTGCCGAGTCATATCGCTTGGGCATCGCCCATGGGAATAAGATCTCAGGCCCCCTCTAGCCCGACTGCCAGCGATCCTTAACGATGACAATCACTTGACTGGGGGTTCACAGCCCTTTTCCCACCAAATTGGCCCCAGGATTGGGGATGAATAAAGCCCTGATGGCCTTTGTGCCCGAAACATGCTAATACAAACGGAGCTGGACACGATTTTCGTCTGTCCTATGGGCGCAGAAGGATAGAATGTCTAGTTCCACCATTGCCAGCACCGTAAGGCGTATTTGAAATCTTGGCTGTTGGGGGCTCAATTTTTCCGCCCTTCAGCCCGCATTCGTATCGTAATTGTCCTAATCGCTCTATCGTTCGGGAACGGAGCTCTTCAGCTCTATCAAGCACTGACTTGACTCACTCAACGCTACATCCCCTCACCAACTTCATATTTCCGCTGTGCGACGAATTTCATATCCAGACATCCTCCATGCTTGTTGGCCTTACCCGATCCCTCCGAAATTCGAGGCAAGAAGCCATTCCCACCGGGCACAGGCGTCAGGCTATTCTGGTCGAGTGACATTTAAGACTTGCCCCTTTCACCCAGCGCGTGCCCCTCCTCGGCCTCCGAATCGGTTCACGTGTAGGAACACCATAGCTTTTTAGTCACAATAGCCCGCTAAAGGAATCGGGATCGCGATCGAATTTGAAGATGGGTTCCTTTGGCGAAGTCACCGAATTCGGCCATGGCTTCAAATCCCATTTTCTGTTTGACCTCAAATACACGAATCTAAATCACGGTACGTAAAGTCTTTTGTCCAGTTTGTACATGAGGCCTTGCCAGATACTGCGCCAAGAACTGCACCATGCCCTGATCCCCAAGATCGCTGGGCTTTTCGACATTGATGCTTTTGTTTCGATGCATCTAGGGACATGGAATAATTGGCCGATTCGAAAGCCCGACCATTGTACAAGAATGGGTCAGCCTTGGGCGTCTTCATCGCATCGAGCCAGACCCTTATTCTGCAGAGTATCCGAGGGTTCTATTTGAACCCCTACGAGATATCAGACTGTGGCCTCGCCTTGGCTACCGGAGCCCCTCCGCGCCGTGGCAATGCTGTTTACCCTTGTGTTGAGTGGGAGTTGAGAATGAATCTAACCACATGCCCATCTAGGATCATTTGGTACCTACTCGCTACCAGTACGCAATGCATTACGAGGCTATCAGAAGCTTGCCGAAGCTGCGCCTGATAAGTTCCTCCGATACCAATACGTCGACCTTCTGGATAAAGCAAGGGAACGGATTTCGATCATGCTAAACGTCCCAGTGGACGAATGCGTGTTCGTGTCTAACGCCACCTCCGGTAAGACATCGAGTTTGGTCGAGATGCAGCTCTTCCTTGGATCGATCTAATACATTCAGGTGTCAACACGGTTCTCCGCAATCTCCAATACAATGAAAAGGACTGCATCATCTACTTCGACACGATCTACGGCGCGTGCGAGAAAACCCTGCAGTCAATCGTGGAGACGAATCCACAACTCCAACTACGAAAGGTCGGACACGGCCAGGACTTTGCATATTCACTGCCATGCACCCATTCCGAAATCCTCAATGCCCTCTCTCAGACCATTTCCCGAGTCTTGTACGACGGATTGACACCCAAGGTTTGCCTGTTTGAGACCATCGTCTCGTTGCCTGGTGTCCGGTTTCCCTTTGAGAGAATCACCAGAATGTGCAAAGAATATGGGATCCTCAGTCTGATCGATGGCGCCCATGGCGTGGGTCAAATTCCATTGAACCTCAAAACACTGGACCCCGATTTCTTTGTTAGTAACTGTCACAAGTAAGTCGCCATTTGCTCGAGATGCCCAAGCATGCGCAATATGATTGGCCCGTCGGACCGCTTCGAGTGTATGTGTATGTGTGTGTGTGTGTACTGTACTGACGGCAATCCTTTAGATGGTTGTATACTCCGCGAGGCTGTGCGGTGTTCCATGTTCCAAAGAGGAATCAACACCTAATCCGGACGACATATCCCACCTCACACGGTTACGTGCCTCTGGATAGTGACACCGTCATCAGGAATCCACTCCCAGCGACGGACAAGACCCCTTTTGTGAATTTGTTTCAATTCGTTGCGACGGCTGACAACGCCCCTTACTACTGTGTGCCAGCCGCAATGAATTTCCGCCAGAACCTCTGCGGCGGTGAGGAAGCTATATACACCTATATCCGAGATATCGCGCAACGAGGAGCCGATTTGCTTGCCATGTTACTGGGGACCGAAGTCATGGATGACTTGGATGCAGGCTTCGGACTTAAGACGATGGGAAGCTACGAAGCCAGCGACCGCCGAGAAGGCGGAAGACATGGCTGGACCGGCGGTCTGAGAGACTGTGCCATGGCCAACGTCCTCCTGCCAGTGACCATTGTGGGCGCGAGTACGCGTGGAAGTATCAGTATGGGGCCGGGTGGATCAGGAAGCGCTGGTGGTCTCTCGCCCGCCTTCCGACAAAGCTCGTACGGATTCCCCAGTGCTGCAGCAAGTGCACGTATACCGTCGGGGGGCTCCGGCTCTCTCCTTGATCCGACACCACGTTCCACATCACCACTCAATTCACCCAGTCTGAGTTCGGCAGGGCCACTCATTATCCAACATGCGGATGTGCCAGTGCACGTCGACTGGATGCAAAAGACGCTGGTGGACGAGTTTCATACCTTTGTTGCAATCTACCCCTACGACGGTAAACTCTGGACCCGGATTTCCGGCCAGATTTACCTAGAGCTCCGGGACTTTGAGTGGTTAGGAGGAGTGCTAAAGGGACTTCTCGAACGAGTCCGCGCAGGCGAGAGTTTGCGGGGAAAGGCTCCACAGCCAGGGGACGTCGACCTGGAGAATCTCAGACTAACTCCGACACCGTCGCGGCAAGGGACAGGAATATCGGTGAGGAGGTTCGACATCACTCAAGGGGGTTGGGTTGACACGTAAAAACAGGCGTGAAAGACGTTATGTGATTGCATGGTGGAATGGTGGAATGGTGGAATGGCGTAGCAAAACACGCGATTTGCTCGACCAGCACGCCACCACTCCCTTGCCCGGATCTCGACGAATGAGAATATGCGTTGCATGACGGATCTGGAGATTATTCGAGGAGGACAGGAGGGATGCAGGTTGTTTGGTTTGGCAGATGCTTTCTCAATCGGGGCATTTCCAGGAACCAGGAGGAATTTGCAGGTTGAATGCGGCAGGGCCGCGGAGAACAGCACAGGACGTGCATCGTTAGGCTGCCAGTGATGTTGTACATGTGTGTCACGGAATGCGTGGAGTGGAAGGGTCAAGCCACGGGTGGATGGTGCCCAGGGGTGCCATGATCACATCGTCGAGGCGACCTGTGAGTCTGACTAAAGTATACTGAGAGTTGTGGCAGAGGCGGGGCACATGACCTCGCATAGGTACGGAGCACCGATTTATTAGGTGGTGAAAAACTGCAAAACTGCAAAACTGAAACCGCGTGAAAATTTTCTCGATGCACGTGAGATGGAAGAGAGCGATCAGAGGGAAGCAACGACACGCGCCAAGGTTTCTGGGGTAATCATTTCCGTCGCGCTTTGGTGGGTATCTGGCGGTAACTGCGCTCCTCGTACGTAATCTGAACCTCACTTTGACATCACGTTTCTCACTTCTGCATCCGGCCCTGACACCGCTTGCGCACCACCTGGGCAGGCAACGATCGCTGGCCCTGATTCCCAAAGGCCCAACGATGAATGGCATGCCGTGCTGCTGGCTCGTGCTTGATGCAACTTGCCCGGCTCGTCCAGCCAGCCCGTTCCAAGGAGGTTCCCAGGTTCCAAGGAGCGCAGCTCTACTCACGCCAGCTGACGAGAATTCCATCCTAGCAAGCCTTTCCTGCGAAGCTTTGGCCTCCGGGCTATGGCTCTGGTCTTTCCCTCCATCTCGTCCTTCGCCTCTTTTTTTCGCCTGCGCAAACCGAGCCAGGTGACTCCGGAGGTACAAGCCGCCGTACGGCTGCAAAAAGGGCCAGAAAGGCAAATGTCAGATTTATGGCTCCCTTCCGGCAGTCTAGCCGCCTGCCGCTCCTGATGCATACTACGGTCAGTGAAAATCTGGGGTGCCGTGATTCATAGCCTGCCGTTAACTGCTTAGTCGACAAGGCTTGCAGTCGCCACTCGATGGCAAAACACGTTACTAACTAATGTGCTGCCGCATGCCGGCCCTGGAAAACAATGACACAACTTTCACCCTTTCCGACCGTTCAATGTGTTTCTATTACCCCCATAAAACCTTTACCATTCAAGCCTCCCTGCAATTTTTCCCTGCCTTGTGGATTCATTGTCCTCTTTGTATCTAACCTACCGACTGTCACCCAACACCCCTACTACCCACCAGCACACTCATAAGACCCGCCCTCAGCGACAATGCCACACATCAAACAACCCATACCACCAGGCCGTAGTGACTACGCATCTTCTTCACTACCAGACAAAGCGCCCTCACTCAACAACATCTCTCTCGACAAAGAAAAGCCTAACGATATCCTTCACCTACCCTACCACCACCTTCTACTGCCACCTGAAGATATGAACTCGAGCAGGAAGTTCTCCTACGCCTCAGTCAAGGAAGAGTCTGGTAAGCCATGAATGATCCTGAGGACCCAGGCACGCCACCCATACTGACATTAACTCCCTCTAGGTGAAGGTCTCCCCCAGTCATTTGAATCATCCCTGTCGAGCCACGACCTTGAGGAGGTCGAATGGATTGCCTGGCCATGCAGTCAGTGGTGCAAGACCAAGGGCCTGTGCTCGTTCCACTTTGGAGGAACACATGAAGACCATGTCCGAACCCGCCTCGAAGGCTATGCTCGAACCAATCCCAAGAAGTTGGAGAAGATCCTCGACGAGTTGGACAAGAGGAGAGCAGCTCAGAAGCTCTTCAACTTACCCTTCGCCAAAGAGATCACTCGCTTCCATCCACGAGCCGCCAGTTTCAGTCTAGACATTTGGAGGGAGAGGGTTAGGGAGTCCATGGGCCTGCGAGATGTCGGAGACACAGCCAACGATACCGCGATCTTGGACGATTCGGACGACGCCATCTCGCTCTTCTCAGACCCTTCTCAACCCGTGTCATACCTCGAAAGCATGCCCGAGGAAATCCTGGAGCTGATCTTCTCCTACGTAACAGTCGATCATACTGCCGACCCGTACGCCCGTCCACATGTCGACCTGGCATCGTGCTCCCTTACCTCGTCCAAGCTCCATTCCGCAGCATTACGAGTCATGTATCGACATGTCTCCATCCCACAATCAAGGGCCTTCGCCAAATTCATGCGCAGCCTTAGCAGCGACAAGACTCTCGGCGAGATGGTGCAGTGGCTGGACTTCTCTCATTACTCCAACATGGGCTTTGGCAGTGCCAGGACGACCCGGAACCAGACTCCCTACTTAACACCAACTACCCTCAAGGCATGTCTAGATCTTCTGCCAAAGCTACAAGCCTTCCTTGTTCATGAACATATCGACGATGAGCTCGACACCGAAATCATTTCCAAGCTCTTTAGCATGCCACTCATGACGGCTTTGGACTTTTGTGCCTGCTCCTCCCGGCCTTTTGCCGAAGCGTTTACGAGGGTGTGTACCAATATGGGTGAGGATCTTTTGACCAATCTCAAGGGTCTGTCTCTCCACGAATGCACTACTTTGCAAGAGCCCGTCTTTGAAGCTTTACTCCCAAGACTGGACAGTCTCACTCACCTTGACGTTGCCCACACTCTTATCAACAGCTCCGCTTTGTCTTCTATTCCGGAGACTGCTAGAATCACTCATCTCAACCTCGAGAGATGCACACACCTACGTGGGTCAGAGGTTGTCAAGTTCCTCACTACTCATCCTGCAGTCAAGGACAGCATCGTCTACCTGAACCTTGCTTCAGATGCCTCTCGTCACCGCCTCCTGGCTGAGAATGATGTGACGACCCTTCTGGCCAATCTCCCGCCTACCCTACGATCGCTGAACCTAGGCGGAGCCAGAGTCAACGCTGGCCACATCCCAGCCCTGTGCCAGTTGACTACCCATGTTGAGGAGCTCGGCCTTCGTGGTGCAAACCTGAGTCTCGGTGCAGACATCAAGCGCCTCTTCAAGGCAGAAGAAGATGACGACACAGATTCCGACGCAAGCTCAGTCTCGAGCGACGAGGACTCCGATCTCGAATCCAATCTTCCATCCACCTGCAGTCTGCGCTACATCGATCTGACCGACATCAAATCCGTCACTCAGATGTCGCTATCATACTCCCCATCCTCTCTCATCGGTCTTGACACTCGTCCACTCGAGGTCATCGAGCTGGGTTCCGACGTTCTCCAGGAGATCAAGCGCCGTAATGCCCAAGTCAAGAAACCAGACTGGGTCGTAAAGGAGCTAGGTCGCAGAGGTTGGTACGTTCGCCAACCTGTCGATAGTGCCATCGAATCACCCGTCGTCGACGACGGCTCCAGACCCTGGAAGATGGGCGCTCGATGGTGGGGCATGAGGAAGATCCCTCTCGTTGAGCAGGATGTCGGCGGCATGTACGGATACTTCATGTTCAAGCGATCCTAAGGATCCTTCACTTCTTCACAAACATTAATCCCGAAGCTAGTCTTCGCATAGACCAGCATCCAAGCTCGGGAAGATTCTCACATCTTTCGAATCAGCGATGGCGTTTTGGAATGCATTGCACTGCATTCAATCAAAGCAGCGCTCAACATCAGCAGCGTTTATTCAGCGTATTTAATACAGTCTCCCGCATGGATTTTTGCATTGGAAGAAGGTTCGGGAACGAGCATCATTGCAACGAGTTTCCTTGTCTGTTTAGCTTCCCCTTCTCGTTAAGCATTGGCTAGCGGAAACTGGGAAACGATGGGAGGAAACGCATATTAACGTCGAATCATGAGAAACCTGCATCAGTATCAGCATTAGCATTGTCCCACTTTTAGCGAGAGTATTCTTGTTTGGCGCTTGGGGCGAGTCAAACAAAAGCATAGTATGTAATTGTACGAATAGTTTGGATTGGATTTGGTTGGAATAGGCTCGGCCTCTATGATGACCGGATTGATTTAATTACTCATTTCAGTGGCTTTCTCCTTTCCTTGATAATTCAATTTGAAGCAGATGGCGTCGTGTGTTGCAAAGTAATTCTACAAAGGTAATTCTCGTCCGGAGAACCTGTCGCTCGTCTGCCTGTTCTGATGAGCCGCTCGCCGCTTTGCTCGCCCTCGGCTCCCTGAGCGCGCCGGGAGTCGGCTTGGGCACTTTAGCCCTCTTTCTCTCTCTCTTTGTTTCTAACATGAAAGAAGGGTGGGTTCCTCGTGCGTAATGAAATAATGGATATACTCGCTGCTGAGCGTGGCTTGGCGAGATGTTCGTCACGTGCACTCGAAGGGCGTCGCCCGGTTCGTAACAATACGCGAAAGGGGAGACCACGTTTACGTGACCTCCTTCAATAATATTTCACCTTTAATGCAGGAACGGCAGCTAAAGCATAAGCACATCTATCTCTAGTTAAATATGTAAACTATATAAATTCAACCAAGACTAAACATCGTCATCGGTTCGAAATGACGTATCTGCTCCTCGACGGCGCTGCCATCCATCCTAGCATAGACATAGCATGCTCCTACAACACGGAAATAATGGTCTTTGGCCCTGATTATACATAGAAGGGGGACCCCCAAAAACTACACACACAAGGTCGTTCTCTTTTGCACCTGATGGGCAAAGGCCCATAAATCCTTCACTGGTGATGAAGCACCTTCGTCCTGTGGATATCATTGCTACTGCACCCCCATACCTGAAGGTATTTCCAGTTATAGCACGAAGAACCAGACGACCATGCTCTTGAGAGGACAAATGTTTGAGCTTATGTCCAGTTTCCGTGATGTAATATTTGCAGCAATGTCTTCGTCGTGGTTAGGATCGGCAGCCGCTGATTCGCCTTTGAGTGTCTCATCTGCGGCCATTGTTAAGCTGAATGCTGGTAAGGGTAAGGCATGGTCGCCAGTCGGACAAGAAGTAAGGAAGTTCAAGCATGGATTCTAAATCTGGCAGAGTCTTGATCTATTAGCCATCATGTCAGAAGTCATCACTGGACCAAGGACAGCGAAGGTGTCTATGCGCAGTCCGCCGAGAGCAAGAGGATGTGAGTCGGATGGGATTCCGATTGTCTCAGTATCTATGCTTTGGCCAGCAGCCTGGAACGGAGGGTACGCGCGGGCAAGGATTGAGCACGTTCGAGGCTCACCGTACCGTGGAGTCTTCGAGTCCAGGACGAGAAGTTGTTACTCTTAGCCCAGGCTTGTTCGGTAGCGGAATAGTCGATATCGCCCAGCACCGCGAGCTCTTGCATGGATTGGACTAGAAATCGTCCTGCTTGATGATATACCTGAGATATTGATAGATTATAGTCCGGTGCTAGACTGGAGCTGGCTTCTTAGGTCAACTCAAGAACAGCAAACACCCTGTCTCGAGGATCTGTCGCCTGAAAATCTCGGGTGTCGTAAAGTGTGGGGAATAAGCCAGAGTCATTGGAGCCCAGCCTTTCGATAGACATGACATTCGGAACCTTATCTAGTGCTCTCCGATCCGAGCGGCCATCCAGTGACTAGTAATCAATCTCGTGCGTCGCAAGCAGGACAAGATCCCAGGAGATCATCTCATAACCACATTTGAAAATGGCATCTTGAGAGAAGGCAACTTCCTGAATAATCTAAACGCAAATAAGGCATGGTAGAGAAAGAATCGTGCAACGGAGTCCCACTTTGAAGATGAAAATGGTGGGCGTTCAGATGCCAGCGGTGTAAATAGGCCGCTTTCGTAATCTGTCAATATCCCATCGGGTCGTTACAGAGATTGATTCGATTTGACATTTGATCCACTAGAAGAGATATGATTTCGACTGCTTCTGCTGCAAAGTTATCATCATGGCCAAGCCAAACCTAGGTCCGATTAGCGTTTTGGTAGATTTGTTTCATCATGCCCACTTGGTGGCTTCGCTCCGCGACACAACTCTGATTAATACAAATCAGTATAATGTGGTCGAAAGGACGAGCCAAGTCAAGTAGATGGGTCGGAAATCTTTGGCTCTACAGGTATCTTGATCGGTACAGAAATAAATGCTGCAGAAACTTGAGGTTGAAACCTGGGTGTTGCGAGAGGGTTTGTTTGCGCGCGTCTAGCGCTTCGCTTGGCAGCTAAGAAAGCCTCCGAGGAAGCCGCCCTGTTCATGCAGTTCCTCCCCTCTCAGGGGGCAAGTCCATTCGAGATTCGGCAACGCCGTTGGGGCTCCGATTATTTCAACATTGGAGACGAACGTGGTGCTGAGGGAATCTCTAAATGGCTAGGCGTTACGTGGGACGAACTTGTTCAGAGCAACCGGGAGCAAAAGACAAAGCCCTTCCAACGACAGAAGTAGAGTTTACCACCTTCGAGATTTCCTGAACCGCAAAATATGCGAGGAGAAACTGACCACCGCCAATGCCAGTTCGGTTAATAAGGTTAAGCACTCGCTGTTGTGACAGAGCCCATAAGGAAGCAGCCGTGAGCTACACCCATGCTTTCTTGATCCTTCCCCAAGCTGCCCCTAAATTAGCTTCTCAGCTGCCTGGGCATACGCATCAAGTTGGCTCTGTACGCTGGCACCGTCCCAGGTGATACGCTATCTGATTACTAGGGAGACCTTAAAATGGTCGAGTTTTGGGCTACCCCACGTCCAAGGTTGCCAGAATTCATGCTAGGATGGCTTGTTACAAGGAGCCTAGTTTTTGAACCCTAAGGTCTCTAGACTGGCCCCTCTTAGACGACCATATAAAGTTACTATATTCAATGAGGAGGTATATCCACACGCAAGGCGTGAGCATTTAATAGGACTTAGGGACTGAAGATGGGAATGGATGCACCACGACATGCGCATGGTTTATGAGGGCATTGTTTGATTGGGCTATCTAAGGATAAAGGAGTGGCTAAATACACTCAGCTACAATCGGGGAGACAATGGTCTGTCTGTCCTATATTAGGCAGATATAGGCCATCATGCAGAGACGCCTAAAGGCCAAGGTTGGATGTTATGCATGCACAACAGATGGAAATTGGAAAGCTACCGATTTAGTTTCATGCAGGTCTTCTGACTTGTGAGACCGAATACTGCTTGTTCAAAGAATGTATATAGCGGTGATTTGTGCCTGAGACTCACATTATTACGTCGTGCTCCTTATCATATACCATTTTATCCTCCTCATCCTTCTGACAATCTCTAAGCACCGTGGGTTCGTGGATCTGTGTTTCTGGACTTGCCCTCTCCACCATTTCACAAGTTGCTTCGATCGATTTCCTTTTTCCAGCGAACATTTAAGGTAAGGGTCTCCTCAGTTCTCTCGGTCTCCCACCATTGAGCTCCCATTCTCCACAGACTCCTGGTCGATAGAAAAGCGTCCACCAACGCCCTCTCCACTTCGGTGTTGTAGCGTGATATACTATCCATGCTCCCAGGTTTCTACATCTTGGAGTTAATTCCGTGCATTTGTAAGCCTCGAAATCACCGGAGGGGTTTGTGAGTCGCGTTGGGGAACCTACCTACGAGTACCTAGGTAAGGGGGGACGTCGGTCGTTCCTCGTGCTAACTTTTATGAACTGCCAAGGAAGATGATACAGGCCCGCGCCAAGTTAGGTCAGGAGGAAGTCTTGTCACTGAGGCCCCATACGAATTGTACGGAGAAGGAGAAGTGTGACTTCTTGTCCTTCGCTTAAGTGTCGAACCGTTATCAATAGGATTGATTGGTGCTCGGGTTTACAGTAAAGTTAACCCCTCACAAAACAGAGGTGCAAACCTCAAAAGTCCGAGGTATTTCATTACGGTTCGATAGGAATATGAACAGAATGAACTCGACGAGTGAGATTCCAAGTCAAAGTTGATGTTGGCAGAGTTTCGGAGGCAGCGACTCTGGGCAGCGACCTGCTAAAGGCCCTAACACTCAGCGCCGAATCTTTCCTTCCACACTTGAGCAACGGGCCAGTTGAGCCTGAGCCATCCTAAGCTTGGCTTGGCAGCCTCTTGAGCAGGGCAAGTGTTGATTTAACGGAGGATGTACTGCCTATCAAAGGGTCTCGGGAGACCGTCTGACATAGGCCAAGACCTACAGAGGAGGGCGGCGCTGGCCGCGATTTACCTTCTGCCGGCGTGCAGAGCCTCAATTTGAACTTTGAACGGGGCACTTTGGTAATCTCGAGCGCCAACCCGTTGGACATTGTCCATCGCCAGGTGCATTTTCAATCGTAATTATCCATTCCTGCCCCAATCATTGGAGAACACGCCAAAGCGGCGTCATTTCGGAGTGAAGGTCTTCTCCCTGTATGACGCTTCCTTGGTTTCTGAGATGTGGTCAAGAGAGGCTCGCGAAAAGACGCCCCGTGGCTTTCTCCAACCTCTCACTTGCGGAGTTTCGACCATATGTCAGACGGTGATTCGCGAGTTGGGCGTGATTGTCAGCTATTTGTCTGCGTTTCGCCATGCTGCAGACCAGACAAGAGTGTGTCATGTGATTCGTCCGAATCCATGCTGTTGAAGCAGGCTGTAGACTGGTGACTGAGCCGACGGCCTTGTAATTGGGGCCCCATGGCGCCGTTGACTGGCTGCACAGGCAACCACTCCCCTCATGCATGGCGCTAGTGAGGCCTGGGACCTCTGCTGCCGAAGTACTCGTATTAGAGCAAAGCAGCCGGCAACGATCGAGCAGAGCACTGATAATCGCCCCGTTTCGTTGCTCTTATCGAGGCATGTTAGCATGTTCTGTACTTTGCCCGTCATCTCCTTGAGACTCGACAACCATCCAAGCGGTCGTCACCTACCAGCGGTGTGTACATCCGGCTCCCCACACTAATTGCTACGCTCGACCATCGAGGCCATGTCAAACGCAGCCGACATTGATGCTCCAGCGGTTATCGCCGCAATTCGTCATCCACCGGGCCAGTCTCGCATTGAAACGAGACAAGCGGTGTCCACGGGCCCGATTGCCCCTCCAGAACCCATCGAGTACCACATCGCCGTGATTTGTGCCTTGGAGGAGGAGGCCGAAGCGGTCAGAGCTGCCTTTGATCATCGGTGGGATCTCCAGGCTGAGGGTGACAACATTGTAAAACATCATGGGGACAAAAATCAATACAATACGGGAGTAATAGTCAAACACAACGTCGTCCTCGCGACCCCCGATTGATACGGCAAGGGAAATGCGACGAGGGTCATGGCGCACCTCAGGTCCACCTTTCCGGGCATCCGGGTTTGCCTGGTTGTTGGTGTCTGTGGTGGAGTGCCTAGCCCGAAAAATAGAGAACCAATATACCTGGGCGATGTCATCGTCAGCACTAAAATCATCGAGTATGATATCGGAAAGCAGTACCCATACGCCTTCAAACCAAATCAGATCTTCGAGCAGGATCCCCACACGGAGCTCTCCACATATTTGAAGATGATAAAAGGGGAAACGAATCTCGAGAAGGTGAAATCCGACATGAACAGATACCTCGCAGAGAGAAAGCGAGGGAAGCTCGCTGATCCAGGTTCCGCCAGCGACAAGCTTTTTCCGTGGAATTACCTACACAAGCATCGTAACAGAGAATGCGAACCCTGCAAAACCTATTCCGATGCTAGTGGCGAACCGTGCGCAGAATCCGAGAAATTGACCTGTGACGAACTCGGATGCACCGGTGCATCGACTCGAGAGCTACAGGTACCGCGGGCCCCTCGCATACACTTCGGTCATGTGGCATCGGGAGATAAGGTTTTGAAATCTGGAGCTCATCGCGAGCAATATGCTGATGAATCCCAAGTCATTGCATTCAAGATGGAGGGTGCGGGTGTGGCTAAAGATATGGACTGCCTGGTGATCAAAGGGGTCTGCGACTATGCCGACAGCCACAAGCACAAAGGTTGGCAGCCTTACGCCGCAAACGTTGCGGCGGCCTGCATGAAGGCACTCCTTGTCCAATATCGACGATCAAAATCGGCGGTGGAGCGGCCGGTGACCCTACCGGTGACCGGTTCTGGTGAGCGCACGTCTTAGCTCCTCTCTCACCACCACTGCATTCCCTGACACTCCTATCTCAGAATCTTCCGATCTCTCCAGCACGTCATTCACGTCTCGTTCAACCAGGAAACACCCGAAGAAACATCAATATCGAGAAGCTCTTGTAAAAGCATTAGAATTTGACCACATCGAAGACCGCTATGACAACATTAAACATCCGCACTATGCAACTTGCCAATGGTTGTTCACCAACAATATTTACCAGGCTTGGTTGGACCAGGATCGAATATCGTACCACCACGGTGTCATGTGGCTGAAAGGCAAACCAGGTACTGGAAAATCAACCCTAGTTAAGTTCGCCCAATCTAAAGCTAGGGAGACGACAAATGAAGACATCCACATATCGTTTTTTTTCAATGCTCGAGGTTCGCCGCTTGAAAAGAATACTATGGGGATGTACCGGTCGCTCCTGTTCCAACTCTTCACAATGGTTCCATCAACCCAAGAGGTCTTCGACAATATTCCCAATGTTGACCTCCCACGTTCACCGCACTGGTCCTGGACCATGCCACAGCTGGAAAATGTCTTCAAGCATGTAATTCGAGAGCTCGGAGCACGCCCCCTATGGATATTCGTGGATGCACTAGACGAATGCGATGAAGATCAGATTAGGGACATGGTCGGCTTCTTCGATCTGCTCGTAAGGGAGGCTGTGAGTCTCAATATCATCGTACGAATTTTCTTCGCAAGCCGTCACTACCCAAAGATAACAATAACCCACATGGTCGAATTGATACTTGAAGACGAAGATGAGCATACTTGTGATATCGAGCGTTATATCGAAAAAGAGTTGAGAACTGCATACCACACGTGCAGCGACGCGGTTGAAAACATACGAAAAGAAGTCAAGCGCCGTGCCGCTGGGGTTTTTCTCTGGGTTTTTCTAGTTGTCAAAATTCTAAATAAGGCATATGATTCTGGACGTGTGACAGGCTTAGAAAAGAAACTCCAGGAGATACCTGACGATCTTGGCAAGCTCTTTAAAGGGATCCTCACACGTGATAATCAGAACATGGAATCCATGCGGCTTTGTATCCAATGGATCCTTTTGGCAACCAGGCCTTTGAGCCGAGAAGAGCTGTATTTCGCGATTATTTCCGGCACAGAACCAGGGGCAATATCTCCTTGGACCGTCGATGAGCGTCCTGCGGAAGTCATGGACGCATTCATCTTGAGTTGTTCCAAAGGTCTTGCGGAATTAACAACGTCAGATCGCCCAACCGTGCAGTTCATTCACGAGACGGTACGAGATTTCCTCCTCAAGGGGGAAGGAATGGTCTTTGTGCAGGGACTGTCATCTCAGTCTTTCCTAGGCTTTGGACATAACTCTTTGAAGCAATGCTGTGCCAATTACATTTCGTTTGTTCAAGAGGTTGTCTTGGCAGACACAAACTCCATGCAGGAAAGACTGCCCTTTGCTCGATACGCGCTATGGGGGGTACTCTTTCATGCGAATGCCGCGGAAGTCAACGGTGTTGACCAAGCATCTTTTCTCCGGGACTTTCCTATTCAACGCTGGATACAACTAACACACATGATCCCATCGGGGAATGGGCGATATGTTGGCCCAGAGGTCCACTGGATTCCAGAACCGTCATTTGCGCTTGACTCAAGCTTGCTATACGTCCTTGCTGAGCAAAACTTTGGGTCGCTCATCCAAACAGTGCTGCGTACCAATCCTCAGATTGATATCGAAGGTGGCCAAATTTGCAGACCTCTATTTACGGCGCTTGAACATTACTGTTATGATGCCCTCAATGGTCTTCTGACTTCTGATCATTCTCATGAATTGGTTAGCGCTGCCGTGCTTTCCGTAGACCCTCCTAAACTAAGCGAACTGGTTGACCTAACCTCCACATACAAATGGTGCTACGAGCTCGCAGGTTCTCCTTCATCGGCGCTACAATTTTTCTCTCAATGGGGCACGGAGTCAAATGTTTGGGTTTTGCTTCGCTCCGGTAGATTTGACCAGGATGCTGCCATTTCGACACAACTGCCTTGTAGTCCACTATCGTTCGCCGTCGGACGTGGGTATGACGTACTTGCCGAATCCCTCCTCGGCATACGAGACGTGAATCCCGATTCTGAAGACGAATTTGGGCTAACACCACTATCTAAAGCTGCAAGGAATGGTCGATTCAAGATCGCAACGCTTCTACTACAACACACAAGAGGGGTTAATGTTAACTCACGAAGTCATCATGGAAGATCCCCTTTGTCCTATGCGGCAGAAAAAGGCCATGAAGCAATATTCAATGTGCTTCTGGCCCACCCCGATGTGGACGTCAATCTCCGGGACAATAAAGGACGAACACCGTTGTTCCACGCAGCAGCGTGTGGACGTGAGGCCATTTTAAGCCTTCTCAAGGAGAAACCCCTTGTGGATTTCATATCGCGGGACAACAACAACCACACCGCACTGTCGTACGCCGTTCTGAACGGCCATGAGGAAGTTGTGAAACAGCTCCTTGAATCCAGAAAAGTTGATGTTAACTCCAAGGATAGCCTACATGGCCGAACTGCCCTGATGTTCGCATTCGAATACGGATACCAGTCCATTGCGGAGCTTCTGCTGGATGTACCGGGGATCGACATCAGCATTCGTGATAATCGTGGTCGGACTCTGCTTGACTATGCGCAGCGGTCTGGACACGAGGGTATGGCAAGTTTATTGCCCAGCATCCACTAGTTTATCTTATTCTACAGCTGGAGTAAATAATCTCATTTGCGCGTTTGTTCGAGCACAGAAAGTGCTTATAATGACTTTGCTAGCCTTGTGCTGTAGGTCTAGAATTATGTTATCACATCTCTATATCTGGTGGATCACATCTCTAAATGCCACCTGCCAATGGCCAATTGCATGCGCCTTGTGAGCGTGGAACGTATTTTGTTCCGCTAAGACTTAGGCACTCAACCCTGCTGAACACCCCAGGCTCAATCCCTGGTTGGTGTGGCCAGATAACGCCTCTTGTACTTCAAGGTGAGTAATGGATGTTCGTCTCTACCTAGATCTCGTCCAAGAAATACTCTTCACCCAAGTGTAATATCTTTGCCAATCTACGAAGACATTGATGGAATTATTATTAAGGTGTTTTAATATCTAAGCCTTAACGAGACTCTGTGGACAGCGCCGCCGGGAGAGTAGTCTAGGTAGTCCGACTTTCAACCCTAAAATAGTAGGAGTCGACTAGTATCCATACCTTTAGCGCGTTACGTTTTAGGTGAGTTAAGCACGCGCTAGAATCATTAGCGCCAACACAAATCCCATACTTACGCTAGAGCCAATGAGCATTGCACAGCCCGGACCCCAGAAGTCTTAGTGCAGCCTCGCCATGCAGCCAGTACTACCTTCACATATGTGGAGAGTGAGTGGTTAAGGTGGATGATACGATCAGATTTCTTTTCTATAAAAGCATAAGGAGAGAATCCAGTGGAAAAAGGAATCTAAGCATTAGCAATTCTACTTGCATTATACGGTCGATGAGCTCAGTTTGAGACTCTTAACATTGCACCACTCTCCCTATCCTGTCCTCATATAGCCCACACACATATGATGTGCTCTATTACACCGTTCAAAATTAGTATCTCTGAGGAGAGGCTTCAGCGCCTACACCAAAAGCTTGCGTTGACACCTTTCCCAGACGAAATTTCAGACCTGGATTCCGATGAACTGTGGTCCCGAGGAGCGCCTCTGGCCGACATCAAGCGACTGATTGCCTATTGGCAGGACGGATTCGACTGGCGGAAAATTGAAGGGAGGCTGAATAAGTTCCCATAGTACACTACCGATATCGGGATAGATGGTTTCGGTAGCTACCAAGTCCATTTCGTCCATCAGCAAAGCAATGTTGCAGGAGCTATGCCTTTGCTCTTCCTGCATGGTTGGCCCGGTAGCTTCATCGAAGTGACGAAGATTCCGCCCATGCTAGTCAGTGGCGGAGACTCAATTCCTTCCTTCCACGTTGTAGCGCCTAGCTTGATTGACTTTGGGTTATCTTCCGCCAGTAAAAAAGTGAGCGTTAACCCCTTTCGAGCGATGTGTCTAGTCAACTCATGTCAGGATAGAAAGCGTTCCACATCGAGCAACATGCGGAAGGATATCACAAGTTAATGTTGGCGTTGGGATATGGGCAATATGGTGGATATTTATGCCCTCTCTGGATGGGCTCGACGTTGCTGACCATCGTGTAGTTGTCCAAGCAGGCGATCTGGGCTGTCTGGTGGCCCGAAGTATCGCTTCAAAGCATGGACCGAATCACTGCAAAGACTACCATACCAACTCGGCCGTGCCATCCGAGCCGACCGCAGAGTGCCACCCAGAAGCCTACGCCAAAACCCAAGCCACCCCTTTAAGCGATGTTGAAAAAGCAGGACTCGGGCAGACAGCAAACTTCTTCAAAGATGGGAACAGCTACTATCAACAGCTTTCTACGAGACCCCAGACCATCGGCTACAGTCTGACAGATAGCCCTGTCGGGCTGCTGGCTTGGCTCTATGAGAAGCTGCACGACTGGACCGACAACTAGGACTGGACGGACGAAGAGATCCTGGCCTGGGTGAGCAAACACTACCTCTCAACAGCGGGCCCGACCTCCCCAGGCGATGCCTACTACGCTATTGAGCACAGTAGCCCAGGTGCATTTGTGGACTCACAGAAATATGTGGATGTGCCCATGGGTATCGCACGGTTCGCCAAAGACTTGATTTTGCTGCCTAAGCTCTGGAACCTGATGTTGGGTCCTGTCGTTTTTGAGAGCGAATACACAAAGGGTGGGCATTTCGCAGCTTGGGAGTGCCCTGAAAACATTGTCAGCGATCTGAGGATAATGTTTGGGAAGGGCGGCCCCGTGGGTGGTAGCGTGGACGGGAAGGATGGATTCTAACGATATTCACATGATTACTGATATTTAGCTGTAGTCATTAGAATTATGAGCTCTAAGAGATGTCTTGAAATGATTGCGATTACTGCTTCATTCAAGGATAACACTCCATTCACGAAGACTTGGGAAATGTTGAATCGTGTTATGATCCGAACCGCTAACGGTGCCTCACCAAGTCGCTTCCTTGATAAGTCAGGTGTGTAGGACATCCATTCAAGTAACAACGAAGTGAACTAAGATATGCCAACTAAGATATGCCTGAGTTAGCCTAAATGACGAGACTTGGACTGCGGCTGTACTCCTCACCATCGCTCGGATTCCGCCACGATCCTTCGAAATCCTTTGGTGAACTAGGCAGACCCAGTGTGTGAAGGTCTCACCCGTGTAACGTGTTTTCCTCAAGGTGTCTTCTCGATGTATATGTCGAAAGGGAGTGATGGTCGTTCGATACTGGGGATGTCCAAGCTGTTCTCTTGGGAAGTAAAGCAGCACTTCCTCGCGTGGCACTGTATGCTCCGTCGATCTTTGCACTGCTGCTTATTAAGGACAGTTTTGAATTTGAAAAGTAGGGACGATCGCATGGAACACTCGGTCGTTCATTTACAATTTATGGTATGGATAGATTGAGCGGACGATGAAGGCCCGCTAGAATGCCGTCGCTGGCTTACGGAGTGTCGCTGTTCCTCCCTCCTAATAACACAATTCGTAGAAAATCTCTTTAGTCCGCTCTTTACCATCTAGGAAGTATTTAGACAGGGGCACCTAATGGGGATAATGCCACTTGGTCGCTTGGTTGCTTTGTTCTTCGCGTGGGACAAGCCCTGCTGCTGTATCCGCCGTTGTTCTTAAGAGGACAGCTTTAGTTTCACGCAGGGCCATAAATCGGATCACTCGAGGGCGGATTGTGGTGCATTCTTGTTTGTGCCTCCAAAAGCCTGTCTTGTGGTCCATCGGATCTTCTCTAGAGATGCCTACCCAAGTCGAGAGGGTGAAGATGAAGAGCATGCCAATGCACTCGTTCGGAATAGATTCAAGCCGATTACGTACGAATTTGAGACAAAGTTCCATCCATTCCATTGCTGGTCGAGAAACCCGATAGGGCAAGGTTGGTTCCTCTGATGTCCGAATCCCTTTTGATATGGCAACATCGAAGGGGTCGTCGTCGGACGGCGCTGGGAGGGCTCACACCACTGCTTAGATTGCTGTGGCAGGTTTCAAAATCATCCGATACTGCCAGATCGCTTCTTTGGTCCTGAAATCTTAGGGTATAGCCGGGCAAGATGGTAGTTGATTGTGGACTTGGGTTTTGGAGGGGCTTTCTATTGGATGCAGAAACCGAGATTAGCAAAGTCTGGCGCTGCGAGTCATAGAGAGGGAGCTCAAGAGCAAGGTAAATTCGAGGGATGTGAATCCCTTCAGATGGAAGGAGAGGACATACGGGTGCGTCCATACAGTCACGCAGGGCCTTTTCCAGGCCTTGACATCCACCCGCTGCGCCAGCTGCGGCCCAGCAGTCTGTGAAGTAGAAAACACTCCGTTAGCAAATGTGATTCCTCAGGCGTCGAACATGGATAAATGCGTTCCCTTCCTACACATCCACAGGGATTGACGATGCAGTGTCACATACTCAACATGGCGGTCATTGGGCCCAGGCAAGGGTTTGGCTGTTGTTGATCGGGATGTTTAATCCTAAGATGTGAAACTGACTGTAGTCGAATCGGCTTGACTGCGGTCGAGGCGCCTTTAGGAGGCATTTTGAGCGAAGGGAGGCCGGATGGGAAGGTAGCTAGCTGCTGGAGCTGGTATGGAGAGGAACTGTGCCCGTTCGACGAGTGGTCTTAGGTTTCGTGGCTTGTAATTCCCGTCGAATGGCTGTGCAAGGAAGGGAGACTTGGTGCTGATGTGCTTCTCGACCAAGCGGGAGAAGCAAGGATGACCGCTCGGGCGCGATGGCACTGATAGTTGATGCAAATCTTTGTGCTGAACCTCGACAGCTCGCGCATCTAGGTTAAATTTTGCCAAGTCTTATTCTGCGAAGCATTGAACAAGATATGTTACGCATTGACTTTCTAGACTCCACCGTACATCAGCCGCCCTCAGCCTTGCTGGACGCAGCACACAGCCTCGTCATTAATTGAAGGGGCCACTAGTGACCAGACTAGTGATATGATACAGAAACCCAATATGTGGGACTCACATCCCCTCAAACAAACCGTTCTCGCACGTGTAAGAAGCACGGAATGAAGAGAGCATGTGTCGATCTGACATCGGGATGAACCCGACGGCGCAAACGCCGATTTCAGCGTTACTCCGCCTGTCGTGTTATCGGGAAAGTTCTTTTCCGCTCGGCAAATGTAACTTCAGACGACCATCCGAACCTTATTTATCGGTGATCAGCATTTGACATCACGTCTAGAGGGGCTTCTAGAACGTCAGTGTTGCGTCGTACGCTGGCGGCTAAACCATGGTCCAACGACTGGAGTTTGGTTCACGAGGCCCCAGGCCGAGATAAATTCGAGACAAAGGTAGGTCAAGCAATCGAAGGCACACACTAGAATCGGCTTTTGATTGTGGATTTCCCTTTTGAGAATGCTTTATATCTTTCAGAGTTCTCTTTCCGCGACAGGCTTTCGAAACGTATCTACGTTTTAATTGTTGAGATAATCTCGAGTACTCTAGTCCTTCTTTCTTCCTCAGACGTACCGCCACAACACTGTTCGTTTCTTTGCACTACTACTGGATCGAACAGAACACAGAAAATGGCCTCAAGATTCATCCCAACCATCGCGTCCCAGTCCCTGGGTCGTGCCTGGCACCATAGCTTGGAACACAAGCTTGATATGTGTGCGCAGTACGGATTCGAATCAATAGAACTATTCTACGAAGACCTCGAAGCAGTTGCCAGGTCCTTGCCGACCTCCCACCCTGCCTCTTCCGCCGGTACCTCGTTCCAATGTTCAACAGCCATCCAAGAGCAACAGCTGGCTGCAGCAGATTATATCCATGAACTTTGCCAGGGACATAATTTGGAGATCTTATGTCTGCAACCATTTATGCATTACGAAGGTCGCTTTGACCAGAAATCACACGATGATGCAATCACCAAGCTACACTTTTGGATCAGAATAGCGCAACGTCTAGAAACAGATCTGATCCAAATTCCTTCATCGTTTCTTCCTGCTAGCCAATGCACAGGAGATCGAGCTAAGATCGTGGCCGACCTACAACAAGTTGCAGATATTGGGCTGAAGACAAACCCCCAAACAAGATTTGCCTATGAGGCATTATCATGGGGCACATATGTTGACACCTGGGACAACGCTTGGTCGATTGTCCTCGAGGTCGATAGACCTAATTTTGGAACTTGCATCGACACGTTCAACCTGGCTGGGAGAGTATTTGCTGATCCTGCATCTCCATCCGGACGAACTCCAAATGCTGATGGCGATATGCAAAGGTCGATAGCTAAACTGCGGTCTGATTTACCCATCGCTTTGAACAAAGTCTTCTACGTCGAAGTTTGCGATGGCGAAAGACTTGATAGTCCACTGCTGGCTGACCACGAATTCTATCACCCTCAACAGCCTACTCGTATGTCCTGGTCACGAAATGCAAGACTTTTCCCGTTCGAAAAGTCGGGGTATCTACCAGCAGTAGAAATCCTTGAGGCAATTTGTGACATTGGCTACACTGGTCACATCTCATTTGAGCTCTTCTCTCGAACTGCAAACCAGCCTCAACCTGAAGTGCCAGAAGAACACGCTAGACGCGCCCAGATAGCGTGGAACAAATTGTCACAACATATGGGGTGGGAGTCACAGGCTGCAGGCTCAGATATCTCCCGACCCGACTCCGGTTTTCATGAGACTGATGCTGAAGCACAATACGCAGCTTCAGCTGCACGATTATGAAATTTTTGGCAAAGACTATTGAAATATTTGCAAATATACCCAGATAGATCATTGATGGGCACTTGGGGCTAGACTCCGGGTCTAGTGTAATCCAATGTGCGAACTCTTCGCCATACTTCTCTTACCAATCTCTCTTGACCCTGTCTTCCTGTCTCCTCAGCAGTATCACTTGCAGGTCTGATTGCAAGATAAAGCCTGCCGCCCAGATTGGCATCCTCAATTTTCGTAGCTTGAATGTCTTCGGGAGGATTGGCTGTCGTGATCAAACCACCAGCTTCCTGCAACAGGCAGATCCCTGCAGCTACATCCCACTCCCAACAACCGCCCTCCCACCAGATATCAAAAGCCCCCATCGCCGTGTATGCAAGATCCATAGTGGCACTCCCAAGACTCCTAACGCCATGAACCATTCCTCCTTTGCCAGCACGGCCTCCCACCTCTGCCGCCATGTTCAGGAAGCTGTCCACTTTCCGATGCAGATTTCCATCCGGCGTATCTCTCCGGTCCTTGCCCCATTCACACGAAAAGACACATTTCGACGGTGCATTTTTCGGGATGGGGCCAACACCCACACTTCCCAGGAGGGGCAATTTCGTCGTCTCATTCAACCACGCTCCTTCCCCTTTACGGGCAGAGAATAATTGATTGAGAAGCGGTGCGTATATGACTCCAATGACAGGTTTCTGATTAACCACCAATGCAATACTCACGCAGAACATGACGAATGAGTGTGTGAAATTCACCGTCCCGTCGAGCGGGTCAACAACCCATGTCGGTTCGTTCTGGACGAGGTATTCTTTCGATGAACCCTTAGAGTAAGTTTCTTCTCCGATAAAAGCGTGCGAGGGATACCGCTTTTGAATCGACGTGTGTATAAACTCCTCGACTTCTGTTTTCGAGGGACATTCCAAATTAGCCTTGGCCGTTGGGCACCAAATGTTACTTGGTAAACAAATTTGAGACTTGCAAACATACCATTGTCGGTTTTGGTTACAATATCTACCGCATTCAACTTCTCTTCCATGACCAATTCGTCGACTGCTTCTTGGTTTTCTTGGTCTGGACTATCTCGGCGCCGCTTCTGCAGACTCTCGAGCAATATTACTCCGGCATCTTTACCAAGCTGTATGGCGAATTTGTATATCTCGTTCAATTCGGCTTCCGGTATCTCATTATGCTTGACATCGGGCATTGTCACGAGGTAGGCCCGGGGTCTTCTGTCTCTGCAGAAGGCCGTTGCTTGCTACAAAGTCTCTTCGTGGCCGATTTTGCCTCGATTGACTTGATGTGTGGCATGTCGACGGGTCTGCCGGGTATCCGCGGCTTGGTCGCCGATCGCCCTCCCAAGGATCCTTTGTCTTCGGACAAGAATTCATCCGATGAGATCTGCTGTGCGTCTGCCGCTTTCCAACTAAAGTGTTTCTATTCTTCTGTTGCAGGGTCCAAGCATTCATAGCTCCATCATTAGTGCCCGCGCTGAGCGTTGTCCTATTTGGACGTCACTGTTGACACGGCTAGTCTCAATTTATCCTTTCGTATCTCTACGGGCCTCTGCCCCGCAGTTGCGACCCTTGCAATATCGTCTTGGCCTGTTGATCATGAAGAACACTTGTTGAACCGTCCGATCCCGCTTGTTCCAGTCCTACTAGTTGACATTCTCGTCTTACGAAAACAGGCTCCAAGTTTATAACTTGGTACAGGCAAGCCAGAAAGGCCGTCTGACATTATAATCCTTTAGGTGTACAAGGCTGGGCTAACGTCTGAATCAATGCTCTCTATTCTGATGCATCTGACTCCAATATGCTTTCGCGCCTTTGTTCGGGACTGAGAAAAGCCCTCGATCAGCATCTCCCTACTGAGTACCCAACCATCTGGCCCATGAGACGGTGGAGGTTGGTGACGCAAAGCTGACAAAGACGGGGGAGGACTGATACTCTTGGTATCAACATGATCAAGAAGTCGTAATTGACACTAACCAATGTGGACTGCTTGTCAACCACTCGGGATTCTCAATTGGCGATCAATGGCCGGAGTCCTGGAAAACACTTTCATCAACACACCTTTAGTACCCTTCCGAAGCATATCGGATGCGGGAGGGCACACGCAATTTCGCCTTCATTCTCCCTATGTTCTCACTTTGCCCCATATACAACTTCCTGAGTAATTGCTAGCCCGTAAATGCAACGGTGAGCGCATCGGCTACTATTCTATATGCTGCACATACAACACACGCGCATCGGACCAGCAAAGAACTACTTTACAAAAGTCGAACTGACGGTCGTGGCTTACTGCTCGGACACAGAATCCAAACAGCTTGATCAAAGTTGTAAAACTCAGACAACATCGATATCTTCAAGATGTCGACAAATACAGAATCAACGTCAACAGCAGAGCCCGTGGACAAGATCCTGCTCATCAACGGACCCAACCTGAATCTGTTAGGGCTGCGTGAACCGTCCATCTACGGTAGCACGACGCTGGCACAACTCACGTCCTCCATCGTCGAGCGTGGCTCGAAGCTCAACATCACCGTTGTGCCGTTCCAATCCAACCACGAGGGCGCGATCGTCGACTTTTTGCATTCCCATTTCACGCCGGCGACCTCAAGTTTAAATAGCACGACTTCCTCCACCTCCTCATCTACCCCCCAACAATCACCAAGCACCAAAAAAGGACGAACAGCAGTAATAATCAACCCAGCCGCCTACACGCACACGAGCGTCGCGATCCGGGACGCCCTGCTGGCGACGTCGATGCCCTTCGTCGAGGTCCACATCAGCAATGTCCACGCGCGCGAGGAGTTCCGCCACCAGAGCTTTTTGAGTGACAAGGCCATCGGCGTTGTCATGGGCCTCGGCGTCTATGGATATACCGCCGCGCTGGAGTTCTGGGCTGGGCGCTGGAGGGATGAGGATGCTGCCACCGGCGCCGCTGCTGCCAGAGTTAGTTAGAGCATGTTTTTAATGCTTACCGTTTTAAATGATGGGTGGAAGGTGACGACGACGGAAACGATAGATAGGGAAATTCTGTTGATTAGCTGAGCTGCGAGCCTATCTGACACTCGGGTCAGACTCCAGCATCGCCTCCTGTATGCATGAATAGCTCTGCTGGGTAAAGAATTTCCCGCCACGTTACCATGCTAAAATAATTTAGTTCTGGGTCAGATGGAATGGATCCACCACGGGAGTGGATCAGATCACCAAAGGAAAATACACGAAAAAGTAATCACTATGTCTTTTTGGGGCGGAAGGAATGACGAGGTTGCATACTAGATGGGCGCGACTGTTTTGGGCTGCGCATTTATTACGGCTAAGTAGGTGCCCTCGTGGCCAGGCTCGTACCCCGAGCTTCTCTTTCTTTGGAAACTATGTCCATGGCTAAGGCACGACATCTTTTGGGTACTTGTCGCATAGGAGATTCAGACGTTTTAGTTTGCTGCAAGCTTGTGACATACTTGTTCTTGGTACGGCATTCGATCCGTTTGATATCACCTCGAAAATGTGAGGCAAATTCCAAGCAATCACATCACACTTTTTTCGAGCGGTTAGCATTCTTTTCGGCAAAGTGAGGTGAATGACCTAGAATTAGTTGAGAATGTGAGTTATGTTGTCCACGATATCTCGTAGAAGTGAGGCGTCTACGCTATTCGCTAAAAGTGAGATAAGTTTAGTATGTCTTCAAATATGAAGAGAGTTTGCTTACATTATTTTATGAAAGCGAGCTGAGGTTTGCAAGGCTATAAGGATATGAAACGAGTTGTCTGCATAGTTTTCCGATAGTGAGCTGAGATTGGCGAGGCTGAGCTACAAAATTTAAGAATTATGGGCTGAGTTTGCTTTCTGGAATGGTATATTTCTCTGAATAGACAATATATACTATGCATCCTTACGACCCTGTAACCCCAATGGTACAATATGTTGAATGCTCAGTCTTGCGCGTCATGATATATAAACAAAAATCATCAGATTTGAGCCGTTTGTGCTCAATTCTCACTCAATTTATGCCACTTCTTTCCAATTACACCTTCTCCACGTGATGGTCACCCTGAACAGCGATATTAGCCTTCTCGGTATAATCCATGCTATGACGACGGAAATCTTGTTCCTCAATGCGGAGAGTGGCAAGGACTTGCTTGTGAGCGTGGCGGGCGGGGTATTCTTTGCTGAAAAGGCGATCCATAGCTTCGAGAGGAACACCCTTCGTCTCAGGAACGAGGAAGAACACAAAGACAGCGGCGCAAAGCATGAGCGAAGCGAAGAAGAAGTACACGCCGTAGCCCATTGTTGCGAACATTTGAGGTGTAAATCGTGCAATGATAAAGTTCCAAAACCAGTTGTTAGCAGCGGCGAACGCCTGTGCCAGCGTTCGAACATTCTGACTGAACATCTCGGAGTTTAAAACCCAGGGAGTCCCGTTCCATGACGGCGTGTACGTAGCCGTCCATAGATAGAAGAAAACCATTGCAGAGACACCACCAGATGAAAGGCTTCCAGTGGGATTGTTGGCGGGTTTGGCGACCGCGATGTATCCGCCGATATACCACATGCAGAGGGAGCCAGCAATGGCACCCCAGATGAGGAGGAAGCGACGGCCGAGCTTGTCAATAAGGAACAAGAGCCAGATTATCGTGATGACGGTCTTGATGACGCCAAAAATACCGGTTGTCAAAAGTGAGGTATTGGTGCCGGTGATACCAATAGATCTGATGTCCATTGTTAGCGCTTGTTTATATGTGCAGCTTTGCTGGGAAGGGTTTCTTACTTGAACACGGTCGGAGAGTAGTAGTTTATAGCATTGATACCAGTGGCATTCTGCCAAAGGAAGAGAGAGCCACCAAGAAGGAATCGATAAGTGGTTTTTCGGTCGTTGATGACAGCGCGGAATGGTTGCCAGAATCCAAGACCAACCGTGGCACGTTGATCTTCGATTGCATTGTCAATGGCAAAGACTTCTTCTTGCATATAAATATGCTCTGCAGGCAGTTGACGCAGCCAGCAGAGGTTCTTAAGTCCCTCTTCGCGACGTCCCTTGGAGAAGAGCCAGCGAGGTGACTCCTTGATCACAAAGGCACCTGCGAACAGGAGACCTGCTGGAACAAGCTGAAGGGCAAAGGGGATGATCCATTGGCGGTGAGAAGGTGCCATCGTCTCTGCAACACCGTAGTTGATCCAGAATCCCACTAGACCTCCAATTTGCCACGCCATCTGTTTGCACTGTTAACTCGTCGCACTTTCAGTTGGGTTTCTGCTTTGACTCACCTCGTAGAGACCAACCAGCCGTCCACGGATGGCAGGGGGAGCGATTTCTGCACAAAAAATTGGGGAGAGATTAGAAGCCATTCCTACCCCTAGCCCCGCCAGCACTCTGCCTCCGTAGATAAGGCCAAGTCCTCGATCGCCATTTGCACCTAACATTAGGCCAGCTCCGAGGGTGAAAACCCCGGCCGCAAACATCAGTCCAAGGCGCCGCCCCAGGTAATGACCAGCGGCATATGCAAAGAAAGCCCCGAAAAAGGCGCCTGCCTGATAGCAGCTCACGATGTTAGCCGTGAGGAGGTTGACTTTCGTTGTTGAGAGGGAAGCGAAGTCGAACTCTTCCTTGAAAGCTGGAAGAGCAAGAGTGCCGCCAATGAATGCACTATCATAGCCAATCATAATTGCTGCAGATCCGGCAACAGCTGCGGAGAAGTAAACTCGCCAGTTGTAGACTGACTTGGGAGTCGGTCGGTCTTCGACCAAGGTGAGGAGACCCATCTTGATTGATTGAGGGTGGGAGACTATGAGACAGGTGGAGTGAATATGAGATAAGTTGAAGAAAGTGTTGCGCTCTGGAGAAAAGAATTTCTCTGGGGAAGAGGGTGATGTGCACCGATATATGTACTGATCGAGCGGGGAGGAACTCAAATGCCTAATGATCTAGAAGAATGGAAAGCAAACTGGGATTGTGTGTCGGATACGAAGAGGAAGTCTCCCACGGGAAAATCCCTTTCCCCCACAAGAGGGCAATGACCTTCATGGAGTGCTCTGGGCCAATGGAGATTGCAATGAGCGGCTATCAATTTTTCTAGTTCGGCGGAGACGTGGCTAGATTCGAAAACCAATCCGAGGTTTAAGGTTTGTGGATAATTGAATCTTACCCCGGCAGTGTGGCGGCGGGAAAGATCTTTGCCGCTGAATTTGTGGGTGGCAGATGGAGGAATAGGTTGTGGAGGTCAGCTGGCGGGGATTGAGGAGAAGGTCTCGGAAGAGTGAAACTGAAATCTTGCATCGGAAACGAGCTGCGCAAGAGATTGCAAGCATTGATGGAGTTTTGTGAGCCGTTGGATAAAGAGAAAACCACGATAACATAGCAAGTGTCGGCATACTGATACTGAGATATCTTAGAAGGCCACCAGCATTACGTCCGTGACTCCGAGGCTCGCAAGTAATCAACCATAAGTGAGATACCAGTGTGAACGTCTATCGAGAAGGCTTCATTGAGACTTAACAGTATCACACGCATTGCGAAGAGAACGACATCTCAGCCTTAATCTATGAATTCATCATGTCAGAATTCCAACCACCAGACACATCTTCTTTCGAGAGAGTAGCTTACCTCTGTGGGTATCCCATAGGTCACTCCAGATCGCCTTTGTTACACCACTCAATATATTCTTCATATGGAAAGAAATGGGCTCAATTACTGTTCGAGACGAAAGACCTGGAAGACTTCTTATCATATCTCAAGAAGGATCCAAAATGTATGGGTAGTGGTGTGACAATGCCTTTCAAGGTTGCAGTCATCCCTCTGCTGGACGAGCTTACCGAAGAAGGCAAGGTGATTGGGGCTGTCAACACAATATTCTTCAAGACAGCTCCCGACGGTTCGAGAATATGCTGTGGAACAAATACCGATTGCCTTGGCATTCGTGACGCCTTTGCAAACAATGTTGTTGGCGCGCCGTACGAAGGGAAACCAGGACTTGTCGTTGGTGGAGGTGGAACATGTAGGGCTGCCATATATGCACTACAAAAGTTCATGGGTTGCTCTCCAATTTATATCATCAATCGAGACGCTGCGGAAGTGGAGGCCGTGTTGCAAGAATGTCGCGCCCAAGGTGTTGCTGACGATTTGACATACGTATCTTCGACAGCACAGGCGGAAGCACTGCAGCCTCCTATCGCTGTAGTGAGTGCTGTACCGGATTTCCCTCCACGAACTGAAAACGAGAAAACAGCCCGAGCCATTTTATCGAACTTCTTGGATAGAGGGGAGAAGGGTGCACTTCTAGAGATGTGCTACCATCCATCACCTCACACTGAGATAACAGCGCTAGCGACTCAGGCCGGTTGGCAGGTCATTGGCGGGATTGAGGCTATGATCGGACAAGGGTTTGCGCAAGCGGTTCTCTGGACCGGCATTGAAATTGATGAGCAGCTAAGGAGTTCTGCCAGGGAAGCAGTGCTAAATGTGCAGCAACCGCAATATTGAGAGATCATCACAACGGAGTGATATTGCCATTCCCCCTCCCCCTCCCCTCCCCTGAGAATGCCTTTTGGTTGCAGTGATAAATTAGCCTAATCGACACCTCAGCAGTGTATGAATAATGGAAGCAACATCATCATGCAAAGAACTCTTCACCGCCCCCTAAGTACGATTTGTTTGCTTCGATGGCATTGTAGACTGCAGTAGCCATACAGCTCTTGGGTGCCTTCCTGCTCGTCATGGACTCAAATTGTGCGACAGCTTGCTCAATCAGGGTCTCGATACCATCCACCAAAACCCAGGGTCTCTGGGTTTTTGTACGGAATTCATGCATCTGTCCGATTAACGGGGTTTCTTTGGTCATGTATGCCATCTCTATAACCACCCCTCCGGTTGGTGACTCTAGCCACGTCTCGGGCATCCTAAAGTCCGCACCGGGATTGCCATCAAGCACTTCATGAGTTACACAAGATACCACCACTGTCGGTGGAGCAAAGTTTGATGGCCAAGGATCAGAAATTGATTCAAGAACATGGATGGACTGCTGAGAAGGACTTCCTGTGTGATATTTGCTAGCAAACTCATTGAAATGCGTGGCGATCTTCCAAGTATTTTCAACCGTCCTGTTGTAGACAAAGATGTTCTTGCAGCCCGTCAGGAGTATAGCGTACACGGCTGCTCTGGCCATACCGCCTGCCCCAATGACGAGTCCCGTCGTCTTGGCTTGTATCGCATTGCGAGGGGATAGGCTTCGGTTGATGCAGTTCAGAATGCCGATATAGTCCGTGTTCTCTCCGAACCAGCCAACAATGTGTCCGGACCGGTTCCGATTTTGAGCTTGTACTTCCAGGGGGGGTACAGCACCTGTTGAGTCGGATCTGAGAGGGACCAGGGTGTTGACGGCACCAATGGCTTTTGCATGTGCGCTCAGTGCTTCTAGATTCGGAACAACCCTTACTTTGTAGGGCTGCACTATACTCAAGCCACCCAGGGAATCATCTTGGGCAAGCTCTACAATGTCCGTCCAGGAAGTGATGTTCTTGGTGCTGTAATTATGTTGCAATCCCAGAAGCTTGTAGGCAGCATTATGCATAGCGGGAGACAAGGAGCCAGCAACGTTGCCTCCAACGATGTAAAATTTGAGAGGGTCGAACACAAAGCTATTGAATAATGCTCTGATAATCTGCTGAGAGGTCAATAAGGGTTGGAAGTCATTCGGGTGGTTTGTTACGGTCGCGGGCAACGAAGGATGAGTCACTAGGGTTAGAATAGAATTCATGATTTGTGAGGTTCGTCCCATCAAGCCTGAATTGTACGCTATCGGAGTACTCGAGAAGATAGGAAGTTGCTTCAGCTCCTGGATAAACCAAGTCAGGGTGTCATTGTCGGCACGCGAGGTGGGTGTATTCAGAAGTCGCACGAGATCAAGCCCAAGGTGCGTCGCTCTGATGTACATGTCATTCCACTTGATATCCTTCCAGTCTGTCTTGCTTGGAGTTGTGTTGGCATAACTCCCGATAAGCTTTGTATGGCCTTTGATTGCCTTTATCTGATCGATTTGTTGGTCATTGAGATTGAGGTCGATGATCATATATTCCAATCCAAGTCGTAGGCCATGCGCCAGCACCATTAAGTAGGTCTCAACATTCGAAGATTCAGAGATCTCCAGGCTTGCGGACATCAATATTGGGACCTGAAGAGTTCTCCGTGCTTGGGCCACCATCTCACTAAGAGCTTTGGCAGTGGTAGAATGCCACTGATCAACATAGATCCCGACAACATCACCAGCGGATTCAAGTTGTGTGAAGTCGATCTGTCCGTTGACAAAGTCTGAAAGGCGCACACGGAGAAGATGGGTATAAGTTCGGTGGTCAATTGGGACATCGAGCGAGAAAGGGGACTGAAGAGCTGGCTGGGTAGCGACACTCCCGGTGATGAATCGAACAAATCGAGAAAAATCAGCCTGGACATTTCTGAGCTTAAATGAGTAATTGGGCGATGCCCGGTCGATGTTATCGGAATCGACAGGACCAGTGGTTGAATTGTCCTCCAGGTTATAGAATTCAAAGTTGGAGCATTTTCGGTGAGTGGCATTCCCGTGGTCAAGAGCTTTGGCTGGACGGTCACTAAGATTGAGAAGGGATTTGACTCGAAGTATGTCTCTGACGACGAAGACAACAGGATTCGTTTCGCAGTACTTTTTGAGATATTCTTGTAGGCTTTTGGTCAAGCTGCCCAAGCCACAGTCGATAACACAGCCATACTTGTTGTCTTCCAGCATCTGCCTGGAAGACTCAATATCCTGTCTGTGGAACTGTTCGCTTCCATATGCCTTGAGGTAGTCTTGTCTTGATAACCCATTGATGCTTTGGAAATAGTGATCCTCGGTGACAAACCTTCTGTTCAATGCGGTTGCAGCAATGAAACCTAGGGAACGCTTTCCAGACGCTCGAATTCCAACCAGGACCAGGGAGGCATCTGGATGAAAGGTACGTCCAGTTATTGGAAGGGCTTCTGCCGGAATCCCCGAAGAGTTCTGGGCTGATGGTGGACCAGAGCCACTCTGATTGTCTAGAGTAAGTGATGGATCAAGAATTGGACGGCTCGTCGGGCGAGGAGAGGCAGCAGTGGCCGCGGAGGCTGGTGATAAATGCCTCGATCTCCTGCCATTTCCAGTTCCATTTCCACTGGGTCGACTCATGACGCGTGGTGTAACCGTTCTACATCCTAGGGCTTTGGAGGGCGACAGACTCCACGTAGTAATAATATGAAAAAGCTCGAGGAGAGTCTCTGGAGTTCAATGTGGTCATAGCAAGCATGACTGACCTGAATTCAGGAAGCATTCGAGTAGATTTGCAAGGCAATAATGTAGGTACGAGGTACGAGGAACTTTCAACTGTGTACAGCGGGTGGTCCCTTCCAGTTCGGGTGGCCGCTGCAGTCGAGGAAGGTGGGGTTTTATGGCTTGCTATCTAGAAATCTAGTACTCGGGCTCTCAGGCGTTTAAGGGGGGTAGCCGTGCTTGAACATCTAGATAGGCGCAGGCTCTGCCGCGGCGGCCGGACAGTCCTGACAATTACCTCGTACCCGGCACACCTAGGCAGGTCTCTGGGCCCACTGATGCCTAAGGGACTTACGAGTAGCTCGCTGGTTAGGCGACGAGGAACTAGCTAATTAGCGGGGTGCTTCATCCGAAGGTTTCGACCGCATCCCACCTGCATCGTTCAAGGTTTGAGCTTGACGTGCCTCGTGTAGGACTCGAACGACAACATCTTCTGTGGTCAACAGTCCAAGTTCTATGTGCTCGACAAGTACGAGCCCCCCTTGCGTCAAAAATGGGCACGATTGCTCGTTGCTATCGTAATGGCTGCAGCTAGAAACGACGTCGAGAACACCGCCGTCGGGACAAGCGACAATGAGGAGGATCCAGCAAGACGAGCGAGAGCTCGCGTTTCGCGCGCCTGTGCGAGATGTCGAAGCAGGGTAGCTAAACCTCCCCGGACCCTCTGTTGTCCTATTTCTGAACCTAGTGCTCTCATTAGAAAGACAAATGCGACGGCCAGCAACCCCAATGCCACAACTGTGCATCAGCTGGACAGACTTGCCTCTATCTGCCCACAATCAAGAAGAGAGGCCTTCCTGAAGGCTACGTTCGAGGGATGGAAAAGCTGTGGGCAGTCATGATCCAGAAGATCCAAGGAATAGACGGCACGGTGGAACGAATCATGAATGATAGTCAAGCAGAGTTGATTCATATGTGGAACCACCAGAAGCATGGTGATGACTTACACGCCGCATGGAAGGAGTCCAAAATACTGGCTGAGCTTGAAAGACTCCTCTCCCGACTGGATCAAACCTCCTCGAGTGATTTGAAGAGGAAACGAGATATTGCAGACAATGGGCAAAGCGACCAATCAGCGAATGACACCCGTCTTGAACAGGATCAACTCGCACCAGAGTACCAAATTACCGGTCTCGGTTCGTCTAACCCAAGCCCGTCACATCAATCGAAGGGTATTTCTATCGGAGCAACGCCTGTGTCTGTGTTTGGAGCAGCGAATCTCCCAGAGGCGGCTTCCAATTTACTAAATCACTATTTCACATACACTCACTGCTGGTTCCCTATTCTCAGCAGGCCCTACACACTGAAGAAATTATATGAGTATAGGAGATCTTCTAAGCCAACACAACCAACCTCGGCTGATTTGGCGGTCCTGTGGGCAGTGTTTGCCTATTCGCAGCAGCAGATGTCGCGATCCGTAGTTGATTCACTGCTGGGCGACGCGATGGACGCAACCGCTGCCAAAATGCGCCATATGGCTCGATCATTGATACCACTGGAAACAGAGAACTTTGAGTATGGCCACGTTCAAGCCATCTTGCTTATGGTGCTTCTTGATGTGGGGACTGGTAGTTGGACTTCGGCTTGGATATTGATCGGCCTTGCCGTTCGAATTTTATTGGACAAAATTGACTCGTTGGAAAATCCAACAAAAGAGTGGCTCGCATCGTTGCAAGGCTGCTTCATCTTGGATACATTAATCGCCGTCCGTCTGGAGAGGCCACCACATCTCCAAAGTGCTCATTTGAAGCGCACGAGATTTCTCGACGAAGACGGACACGAAGAGTGGGAACCCTGGCAGCAGGGAGGGAGCGGTGTCGCCCAATCCCGCGAACCTGCATTCACCATAAGCTGTTTCAATCGACTCACAGACCTTTGCATGATCGTTAGTGTGGCGTGTTTGCAACATTCCTCACCTTTGGCAGTGGACCAGGCTGTGATGCAAGTTCATCAGGTCGCACAACAGTTTAATTTTCCCCTCATGACATTGGAACAGAGGCCACCTCATCAAATACTCCTACAAGCGACATACTTTGCAATCCTTGTTAAGATATCTTACCCGACCGATGAGTCACAAGCTGTCCCCAGATGGCGGTTTCTTGAGACCTTAGAACTCTTCGAAAACACCTGGGGTCGGCCTGATCAATGCGGCATTCCATCTCTTCTCGCTGACATTTGCTATATGGTTAGTTCCAAGGTCGGTATCCCAACAGAAAACGTCACACCCCAGGCTAAGGGAACTTTTTGCCGGAAACTCTGCGATCGGATGCTGAGGCTCTCCGCTGTTTGGCCCGATTTAAAGAATGCGGCCAATATCCACATGCCCACCCAGCCGACCATGTTTGAGCAAAGGGATGAGTCACAACCGCGTCCAGAAATCCAACCAGGGTTACGATATGAACCACAGAACGCTACCGGGTATCTACTGCAGCCAGGACAAACTGGGATATGGCCCTCCCAAGCATCGCTTTTCGACAACGATCTCAGCAGTACAAGCATGGACTTGAGCGGGTCGGGAAGACCAGTAAGTAGAATGGAACAAGAGGCACCCCTAGCACATCCCTTCGCAGTCCGCCCAATCTTTGAGTCAGGATCCGTGGAATACGGGGCAATGAATGTGGACGTGCCTGTGCCTGAGCCCGCTAGTCGACCGTCGTTTGGACACCCTTTGAGCCAAAGAGCCAGCTCCGCAGGCGGAGTTGCCACATCCCCTAGCTTCAATGGAGATGAAATTGATGCGTTATTCCATGAAATGGCAGAACTTGATACGACTCAATGGTCTCTCGACCGGTCCCAAGCACTGAAAGATTTTGGATTCTCTGACAATACGACATTTGAGGCATTCTGCAATGACCCGGATCGGCTCATGTTGTCTGACGCATATATGGGCCCAGCATTTGGCCAGAAGGGAGGGATTAGTGGCCATCAATCTCTGTTGACCAACAATCCTTCAGCCTTTGGCCATGCACAAGGCGATTATGGCCAAAGCTTCGACCTTGACGCTGGAAGTAATTCTTGGGTAGGGTGAATGATGTGATGATGGTGGTTTCATGAAGTCTGAAGCAATCTACTATATGGACATAATCATTGTTATTAAAAATTACTTATCAAAACCTGCTTACGCATAGTTACGAGGCATTAGAAAGGGCTCAAGAGACCTAGAAGAAGTCAAGAAAAGCAATCAAAAGAAGAAGAAACCTAATGGGGAGCAGAATGCCCTAGGAGACTAGCGGTCAAAGGGGACAAGCCCCGGGACCACCAATAAACTAAGCGCAACAGAACAGTTACGAACGTCAACGAAGAGCTAAAGAAGCTTATAAGCTCTACGGCGATCCTTCAAAAGAACGGAGTCTTAAGAGGCTCTAGTGCTAGGGAAGAGTGGTCTCGAAAAGCTTATAAGGGAGCTTAAAATAGCCTAGAACACCCTAGAGAGTACTAGGGCCAGGAGGCCAATCAGGCCATCGAAGTGCTTCGATAATCGAAGCGGAACGACTCGTAGCGAAGAGTACTCGCCTGGTATGAAGGGAAAGCATGAAGTAGTGTTTGTAGATAGTAGGTTTGTCTACCCTACAGGGTTTTCCTACTATAGAGCTAGATAGTTTTCCCGACATAAGCCCACTAAGATGCTTTTAGGTGTAGGAATCAATCAATCAATCAATCAATGTAAGGACATTTTATCTATTAATGTAAATAATTGACAATCGTTCATGTCTCCGACTTGAATGCCCATCTTAACTGCCGCCGTATACCCGATCGAACAACATGCCTGATTGGACGGACCCGTTGTCTTTCCCGCCGTCGCCACCAATTCACATCCCATGCTTCACCATCGCTGTTTGAGTTGCGGAGAAGAGCTTCGGTGAACCAAATGTGTCCATGATGAACATTTTGTCCCAGCCGTTTATGCATGCGCTCTTGCCCGATGTATCCTATCATTCTTCATCTCCATTTCTACCGTCTCCTCTCTCATTTCTTCAGGCCTAACTACGAATCAGACGATGAGCAAGCCCTCCACTAGGCCCTGGACCTGCGCCCGTTGTCTGCACAGTCGCAATGTGCGGGGTCCACGTGCTCCTCTCCATGAGTCTGGAATAATTGGGAGTCATGCTGGCGGACGGACGTTCAGTGTTGCACCTTCCCTTAGACAAGACAGACCACCGGCACCTTCCAAAGAGTCCACGGCGGAAGATGCTGCAAAAGCACAGCAGGAGGAAGGAGCCATGACACGGCGACTGGCGGAGATGGTCGAGGAGACAATGGATACAGGAAGCAAGAGCGACCGCAAGCTGATGCAGGATGTGGGCTTCTCAGAGGATCTAAAGAAACAGCTGGAGGAGAGGATAGCCCAGACCGCTTTCGAGGGTCAAAGTCAGCAGGCTGCCAGTCAGGTCAAGATGTCGGTATGCTTGAGCTCGACATCATTGGATATTCTCTATTCTAACTATCGAGCATACAGACCTCTGCAGGCAAGGGCACACAAGATATCGCAGCGGCGCAGCCATGGACTGGTACCGAGACATTACACGACTCCGCCTTGCGAATGCTTGACGATAGTCACAAGAAACTGCGGTCAACCTACAAATCACCTGCCGTCCCTCATAAGAGCCTCCGTCCCGCGCCTAAGAAGACCTACTCAGCCGCCGATCGTCTGGCCAGCGCCCGCGACAAGACGAGCATATATGCATTCAGTCAGCAGGACGACATGGACGAGAAAGAGCGGGAAAAGTGGCGGAAGGAGTTGAAAGAGAGATTCACACCCGGTGCACGTCCCATGCCGACGACGTTACAAGGTCTGACAAGCCTGGCGAACGAACGAATCGAGGATGCCATCGCCAGAGGACAGTTCAAGAACATCCCTCGCGGCAAGGGCATGAATGTGGAGAGAGACTACAATGCCAACAGTCCGTTTCTAGACACGACAGAGTACTTCATGAACAAGATCATCCAGAAGCAGGAAATTGTCCCGCCCTGGATTGAGAAGCAACAAGAGTTGGTCAAGCTGGTGGCCACCTTCCGTGGCCGGCTGAGGAACGATTGGCGCAGGCACGCAGCCAGGTCTATTTCCAGCACTGGGGGTTCCGTGGCGGAGCAAGTGCGCAGGGCCCGAGGCTTTGCTCTCGCGGAAGAGCAGGTCAACCCAAGAACACAGAAAACAGAGACCTTGAGTTCAATCTCCAGTGATGGGAGTCTCATGACGGTCACAGTCGAGGAGAGAGTTGCGGCGGCTGTGCCTTTAGAGCCACAATCGGCTGCTTCTGCACAAGAACAACGGCAATCACCGCAGGAGGAACAAGTACAGATTACAGTGACTGAAAATGTTGCAGGGACTACACCAGCCAGCAATTCCAACGAAGCACCCGCCAGTGCTGCAGCCTCTACCACCTCTGCCCCCTCATTCACCTCCCAAGCCGTCCTACCAACCCCCTATCCCTTCCGTGATGCGGACTGGGAACGCACCGAGCTCGCCTACCACAAACTTGCAATTTCGGAAATCAATGCGTTGGCACGCAGCTACAACTTGATGGCACCCAAAATCGCCCAGAAACCATACTACTCACTCCAACGCGAACTAAACCGATGCTTTGCGGAGGTTGCTCCTACTTTGGCCGACGCCATCCTCGAGCGTAGCCGTAAACCGAGCGTCAAGATCGCCATTGCGCCGCACAAAGAGGGTGGCATCCTCGAACGTTTCGGCAACGGGGTCGGCGCGGAGAGGTACCGTGGTCATGAACGCAGCATCAGGGAAGAGAGTGAAGGGAAAGGCTACGGCTTTCGCGAATTTTGGCGGGATTTGTTTGGCGGGAACGGTGGCGGGAAGAAGCGTGACGCTGTGTGATGTCCCAATCGAGAGGTGTGGTTGGAAAAGATAGATGAGAAGTGGCGGGATGGGATGGCGATCTGCCAGCCTTTGTACCAACAATTTTACTGTGCAAAGATAAACACCTGGAGATCTAGGGCCCCCTACCAAGTATGTAGACACTGCTTACTCCACTTGGAGCACACACGAGACCAGACGAATGAAATGAAACTAAACGATATGTATATATATATGCAAGAGAAACCAAGAAATAAATCGAACTTATTGTTCATCGACTACTAGAATCGCTCACGTTTGCCTCCAACCACCCAAAAGATGTATGTTTGCATGTAATCCGAAAGAGGACAGACGAAAAGCCCATATTTCCCGGCTTCAGGCACAATTCGAAACGCAACCTCTCCTTCCCAAAGGGTAGTTCCCAAAGATTCATGGAATCTTTAAATCTGCGATATCGCTCACTCGCTTGCTCTGCTCTGCTCTGTCCTGTTGATGCTTCAATGGCAATCCGCGCTGGACCGCGCTGCGTCTCGGGTTTCCTGGTTGCCTGTTGGTTGACGCACTCTGAGTCCCGCTCCGACAGGCTGTTCAGGCTGTCGGAAAGCGCCAGGTCGGTTTCTCACCACCCAAAAGACGGAGCTTCTTTCGCCTGTTGTGATGGGAAAAGTGAGAAAGGGGGGGGGGCGGGCAAGTGAGACACACACACCAGGGGCAGAATCCCAGTTGCATGTCGCCGGCGCTTGTCACTCCTGCTTTCCCACTGGCCTGGCTTCTAAGTTTGGCGTTTGCGGATTAAATTAGAACGTTTGCCGTCTGTGACTTGCAGACGGGTGGTTGATGAGCGCTTCCCACGCATTGAAAAGGTGCGCCATTCATTAAAGGGAGTAAGCAGAGTCCGTAGAGTCCCGGCGTTCCATCGCGCTATACGAGCGGAAAGGTCTGGGCGATTCGGGTCTGGGCGGCCTGACTGCCGCAAAAGCATGACCGGCCTCGATGTCGATTTCTCGAGACCGTTTGTTCACAATCTCGCACCTGGCAATGCTAGCGCGGTGTTCCTTAACACGATGGCGGCGATCGGCTTCGGCGTCGACGACGAAACTCACGACATCGGTGAGCTCGTCAGTGTAGTGGTAGATGCTGGGATCCGATCTGTAGATGATCCACGCGTAGATCCCGAAGACCGTGCCGAAGAAGACCATCAATGACAGCCAGAGGGCGAGGCTAGCCAAGATGGAGTCTCGGAGAATATGCTCGCGCTCCGAGCAGACGAGGCTCCCCGTGTCGTTTGTTCCAGATGGGTAGACGCAATTGTTGGTGAGGAGGGTGAATGAGGTGACCATGTTGCGGACCAGTTGTAAAGGGTTGCTGATGGGGCTGCTTGGAAAAACTGTGCGTCCAGCAAGAAAGTTGGTCGAGAGACTGTAGTTGGCTGGGGCCATGTAGTGAGCACCCTGAATCATTGTCTCAAATCGTTCAAGGTTGAGGTTTGTCGCAGGAGCCATCTCTGGGATTGAGGAGATGGGATGAGATGCGAAGACCAAAAAGGGGGTGCTGAGGTTGAGAAGCCCGGATTTATGCGCTTTGTCATATGAGAAGTTGCCTTTGGATGGTGCTGTGAGTGTTCTTGAGTTGAATTCGAAGCTACCTGGTTATGTTTTGAGGGTATGAGAGGGGGAAGGGACAGAGAAGCCGGGTTTAATAATACTCATTTTGCAGTGAGGACTTCAAAGCTAATGAGAACTTTTAAAATGACAATTGTGCCTAAGTGGAAGTTCGGGCGTGGAGGTGGACCTTTAATACTTCGGCAGAACCCGTAACGATGCAGCGATGATCTTTGGATCATGTTCCTTGTTGATTTAAGAGGCCACCCAGTGCGAGAAGGCTCCAAGGGGCTCAGAGAACCCAAGATCTCCACAAGGATGCCCTGATGGATCTGCAAAACGTAAGCTTTCGCACATGGAGTCTGCACGGCCGCACTACCACAACTCTGCCTAGGGTGGATTCACAAGCCCAAAGCGTGATGGGTGTTATGAGAAGATTTTGCCCAAAGCCCAAAACTTTGTTTCTTCACATAGATTGGCTCGTCCGTCGTCGCACTAGCACCTGTCCGTCTGGGATGTCTAGTTGATCAAGCAGGTCTGGATTGAGCTTGAATTCCGGGCTGCTGATGACCTCTTGGGCTTTGGACATGTTCCTCTCGATAATAATCCCAGGAACTTCTCCACTGACCGTGAACCCAATATCTTCCGGAACCACTTGAAGGCTTGAGCCTTTTTCTAACACTTTGGCAAGATAGCGCATCAGGCTTGTGAGCGCCTTGCGCCGACCTTCTTCGCCGGAGTCTCTGGTTGTTTCCAAGGTTTTAGACAAGATTGCAGGCATGTAGTATGGGAGCACAGCAGTCTCATTTACGTTGCCATCCACATTCAAGCCAGCAATCAGCTTGTCCTTGTCCTGCTTAGCGAGAGCATGAAATGCATTGGAGAACAATTTCGCTTGTTCCACATCCGCTGTACGGCCCATGGTCAGTAACCGCAGGAGAGCTCTTTCCTCGTCGTTACTGACACTTAGCCTCCGGAAGCCCTTGCCATAGAGCATGTTACCACGCTTAATGAGAACTTTGTCGTAGCCCTCTCGTAATGTCGATTTGCCCGCGATGATATCGGTTGATACTTCATGAACGGTTTTGAAAGCCTGGAAGACTGGCTCGATGAAGTTCTTGGAGCCTTTGGAATACAGGTGCCCGGAAGCCCCGGCAACATCCAAGACTTGTTCCAAGAACTTGAGTTCAAAAGCATGTTGATGACCACGCATGTTGTACAGTCCTTCTAGGTTGAAGGGAACGCTCTCGGCTTGAGCTAGCTGGCCTGCATTGAGCTCCGACCCTAGTTCCAGTCCTTTCATAACTTCTGCCTTTTTTTCTGCGTCGAGGTACCGCAGTGCAGGGATCATGTCGGCATTTGCAGCTTCGAGTAAGATAGAATCGTGATTCTGATCAGAGATTTCTGCGCGCGTCGCTTTGGTAAAATCGTTCTTGAGATTTGGATCCTTTCCAAGGTCATTAATTATCATAGAAAGGACCAGCGTAAAAAGATCATCTGGTGTTTGTACATTATCCGTGAAAAGCTTACGGAGAGCCTGGAAAGAGTCCTCAGTCAACCGAAATTCTACCAACTGGCCGGTTGTAAAGCGCTGGTAGTCGCCGTTGTGAATCCATCGGAGAGCCAAAATTCCGACCAGGGTCCGATTGACTTCGTCATAGTTGGAACCGTAAAGTATCTGCGAGGGACTGGGAGCATCTACAGTACCATTCGAGCTACGTTGTTCTTCGTTGCCCTCGACAGCAACAGCATTTTTGAGGCGAGCAAGTTCCGGACCGAAGGCTTCAGAAATCTGGTAAAGGAGAGTCTTCTCGTCCATGTCGTAGAATTGACCCCGTTGGATGGTCTCCTGCAAAGAGCACCTTGGACGGGGTGCGCTTGCCATCTGGAAAAGTCTGTCGAATATCATGATTTGGCCTTTTTTCCTTCGCAGTAGTGATAGGGGTATAAAAGCATGATCTTGTCGTTTGGCCAGGTAGGGAGTCACACGAAGATGACTCCGCGATAGCTGTGAGATAATTGTCAGGTTAAGAGGAGGATTGACTACTTTCACATATGACATGTATGAGGTTGGAGCGGACTGAATCCCATCGGTTCATGTGGCTGTGCGAAGGGATTGCGCTAGAGAATAGTCTAGCAATCCTCTCTAGTGTCCGTCAATGTGCTTTAATATCATGAGCGATTGTCGGTGAAAGCGCGAGGAGTACGATTACCGACAAGGTAACAGGATAACAGAAGTGTGAGCTGCCTTATCAGACTGGGGGAGTCAGGCTGACTCCAAGCTTCGTACAGAAGCAAGGCGTAGCTGATATCTGGGCGAAGCAACAGGAGAACAGGCAAAAGACGACGGAGGCGTGGCCCAGCACTGCCCCTGCAGGCCTCCTTCGGCGTGCCACATGATTGGGTGTCACGTGTGGGGTCCGTCCCAGGCTAGACCCGATTGCACAAGCGCCTTGGCATCGGCGTCCAAGATGTGACCTCAACCCAACTCAATCTGGCGAGGACCCCAAATACCGGGTATCCAACCGACCTCATGATCTCAGTGTATAGATCTGAGGTGAGTCTTATTGCCGCTTTCGCTACGGTGATATGACCTGAGCAACTGTCTTGTTCGTCCGCCCCGTGGCCTGCCTCTCCCTTTCCACCTCACTAGATGGGGTCCTGCGAAGAGCCCGCGCCCGACCTGGCCTGCCGTTCTTGGACGTGGTTTGAGACCGGATAAGAGGAGGAGATGAGAAGGGGAAATTACAACATCACAGCCACTGCAGTTGTTGAGAATATGAAGTTGCAACTTCATGGTTCGTCATTCGGGGACGAACAATCAGGATCAAAAATTCGTCGCAGCGCCCCAACTGTGGTGAGCCAGCGGAAAATACGAGTTGTAGGACCATTGCCCTGGCATAGGGGCCGTTGGCTTGGAAACACATTGCCTCGATATGCGTCTATTCCGGCTACTTCAATTGAAGAAGAAAGGACATGTCAAAAGCCGGGTTACTTTCACATTGCAGGCGGTGTGCCTTATCATACATAAATGATGTAGGTCAGAGCATCCATACCATTCTCAACGAGTGGGAATATTCACAAAAGGCTACCCCATGCACATTTTGGGTCGCTTGTACACGCTGTTGTTGCTAGGTTTGCCGCGAAGAAAGGATTTGAACCAGATACAACAAATAACATGCTAGCATCAGCACAAGAACAAAATGATATCCAACACTTCACACCCAGTGGAATGCTGCCTCACTGTTCTTGTCCGCGAAATGCGGCTTGGTGATTCAACTGCCAGCTGTGGGCGTGAATATATAGTGAATTACCGCACAGATTGTTGCCTCCGCTCCCAAATTCCTTTCCCCTTTGAACCACTCGCTCCCTCCAACATCCCACTTGATATTTGCAATTCCAAAGAATCGGAGTAGCAGTCGAAGAAGCTCACGATAGAATACTCCGGACTCAGTCTTGGCTGTGATGGCTAGCCCTAATCACGGCGATGAGGATCGCCAACCACCTGGCTCCAAACGCAAACGAGGCGCTTTATTCGATCCCTCGAAATTCCCCAACGCGAAAAAGCCCACGACCATCAACATCACCAGCGAGATTAATCCTGCTCCCACTGTTCCTGGTCAAAATACCTATCCTCCTGCTCGACGTTCTGCAACATATCCCAGGAAGCGGCCTCTCACCTTTGCCGATCTTCCCAGCCAGGAACTTGCTAATCTACTCGCCGAACCCGCCTCGCCCGCTAAGAGACAGACAACAGCCATGGGTAACAAGCCATCTCACAATGGTCGCCCGTCTTATCTACCTAAGAGAAAGAAATTAGCCATGGGTCGCAGACGCTCTTCCTCCCCTGGCGACTTTCAACTTCCTGAACTCCCTCGACCCAGCCTCACTGCACCAACCGATCACTTTGATCATACCATCGGGGCAGAGGAAGAAGATGATCTTTATGATGAAGCACCAATTCAAGCACCACAACAACTTGTTTTAGCGAAGGCAAAGAATCTTGACGATGCAGACCCGACTCATCCACTCAATCAGACCGTTGAAGCAGACGAAGAAGACAATGCCGAAGATGATGGAAACGACGGATGGTTGACCGAAAGCTCGGACTCGATTATCAGCGGTGGTAGCAAGGACAGAGTGATCACTTACGAGGACGTGGCTTCTGCCGATGAACAAGTCCTTGACAGTGACGAGCAAGATGGACAGCCAAAATTGTCGCCAAAGGCCAAAGGCAAGCAGCCAGCACGTAACAAGGACAAGAAGAGAAAGCGCACAGACCCATACCTTTCTTCAGACACAAGCACCTGGTACTCCTCGGATGACAGCCGTGGAGCGTACGCAGCCCCCGATTCCTTTTGACAACAGGTACTGACAAGTGTGCAGCGAGAAGCGAGCAAAGAATGGTGGCAAACGCAATCTCTACAAGCGTCATGAGTACACTCCACCACCTGACGGAGAAGAGCAAGATCTGGGCCGTGAAATTCCCTCGTCATTCGCAACGATGACTGAAGCGGACAAGGTTCTGTTCGAATGGTGGGAAGTCGAAAAGAAGAGCTGGGCCGTCATTGCACGCAGAGTCAATGAGCTCACCGGCGGCAATGAGACCGGGTCGGATATGGCTTTTCGGTACGAAGCATTGAGACGGTACCTCCACCGCAAGGAGAGAATTATCATCGTACGCTCCTAACCCATTTGTACCTGGCCCCAAACCCTAATCTGCCTTCCACGAGAAATTCTCCGATCGTCCTACTAATATATCTGTCTTTCCAGGACGAGTCTCTCCTTTTGGCCTACCAGGCAGTGGACCAGAAGATGTTCTTGCAATACGACGTCAAATCATACGAACCACAGTATGTAACTCTACGCTGGAACCTGATTCGTGAGGAATACTGGGATCGAGAGCACATCTCAAAGAAACCGGCTGAGCTGCGAGCTCATTATGAGAAATTAACGGGAGATGTGGGAGCCTATGCTCCGCCAGACGAGGAGGAGTATGATCCAGCAGAGGATGAGGATGGGGACGAGTTTGATCTGGATGACGATGAGTACTATGACGAGCGCGAGATCGAGACCGATCCAATGGCTATTCAAGAGGCGCTTGCTCGTTTCAACGCGGCCCATAATTAACTGAGGCGAGGGGAGGAAGCAGAGTGAGCTGTATCGAGAGTATTGGAAAGCCCAGAGATTAGTGAGAATTATCGAGAGCATCCACCATGGGAATAAGTCTCTCCTCCATTGGATAGACTAGGTCGATAACGAAAGCACACACTCGCATTTCATGGCCATCGTGATACCTGATGCCATCGACGCGAGTTGCTGTACTCAAATGAACCGCTTCTAGTCAGGCTGTTGTAAGGGACGCGAGTTCTGCTCTCATCGTGGTTGACATCAACCGAATACCAGTCTGTGAACATCGAATCACAATATCCCAGCAGCGGGTATTGTCTCTAGTAACTTAGAAGTGAGCTGGCTGGGTACATGACGCTATCGATAACCATCGATCCTATCCAAAAGTGCGCCGGTCAAAAGACCCTGGTTCGACTCCTACAGGGTATTTCTAAGGGGAACATTTCCTCTAAATAAAAGTTGAACGACAAGGTGTTAGCTTTCTCCTCTACAATGCTTTGATAGTTCCACTACCTTCGCAGTGACCATCGGATCAAACCCAAAATTATGGTTCTAAGGCACAATAGCATTTAGGCGAGTCGGAAAAGCCCACGAACGGTTGCGATCGGCAAGAAATCGCCGGATGAGAAACATCTTTATTGATTGATCGAGTCATTTCTGATCCATAATGGAGAAATCGCCGATATTCTCCGCACCAGTGCCCTGGTATAATTCACCCAAAACATCTTTCTCCTCTGCTCTGCCCTCTGTTTTCGCTTTTGGCATACCTGGTACACGAGCATGTCTATCTGGCAACCAAGAACTGCCCACGCGGGGCCCGGGCCTTTGAATGACTCAGGGACTACGACAGATACAATTGGACCGAGAGAGTCAATTCAACTTGTGGGAGGCGGCGATGACGATGACTGGCGTTCTCTTGAACGCATAGTGACTCCTTCTAATGCTCAGGTAGCAATGCGGCCAGTGTCGCGGAGGAAACAAACCAGTATTCTGATTTGTGCCTTCTTCGATGTCTTCGTTACAATCGGGCTCAACCAGGCGTACGGTGTGTTCTTGAATCATTACCTTTCGACGGGGAGCAGTGAACAGGATCCATTTCTCCCCAAAGCCGAAGTATCTAGCAAAGCAATGGTGGCCTTTGTCGGAACGATGGCCGCAGGACTTACATGGGGTGGCAGTATCTTTGTCAATCCTATCATGGCGCGGACCAAAGATCCAAGGTACATCACTGGTGCTGGAGCCATTTTGGTGGGTTTGGGCTATGTGCTTGCGAGCTTCTGCAGTCGAGTATGTGTGAACCCCCGATCTCTGACTTTTGGGCTCACAATGGACAGGTCTGGCAATTACTACTGACCCAAGGCTTTATCTATGGAGTGGGGACTTCTTTACTGTACTTCCCCGTCGTGTCCGTTGCTCCTGAGTACTTCGATGCTCATAGAGGCTCAGCAATGGGCATCATTCTATCTGGGGCAGGCGTCGGTGGGCTCGTGTATGCACCTGCAGCACGAGCAATGCTGGCAAAGGTTGGAGCAGCCTGGACTCTCCGTATCTTTGGACTGGTAAACTTTGCAATATCGATTCCAGTTGTGCTGGCTACACCACCGTCTCGAAGTCTAATAAAGCGCCCAACCCTCGTGGACGCCAAATTGGCCAGACGGGGCACTTTCATACTTCAAGCTTTGGCAGCAATGGCACAGGCGGCCGGCAACTTTGTCCCGCTAACCTTTTTGCCCGAGTTTAGCACGAGGTTGGGTTACACGGCTGCATTGTAAGTTATCACCACCTGCCTAGTGTGGAACTCTAGCACTGACGCAGTATTGAAACATAGTGGCGCAGCACTGCTCGCTCTCAATAACGCTGTGAACACCGTCAGCCGCATTGGAATGGGGTTCGTGGCAGATATCGCCGGCAGACAAAACACACTGGTTCTTAGCGTCCTTGGAAGTGCTATCACTGTGGTTGCGTTCTGGCTCTCTAGTGCTCATGCAGATGATATGGCTCTGTGGATTACATTTGTGGTTACGTATGGCATCTTTGCAGGAGGTCTGCTCCCCACCGTCTGCGTCATTCAAATGATTGACCCGCTGATTCTAGGCTATAATTCATTGTTTCCAACCACTGTCATCGAAGTGTTTGGCGCCCAAGCATATGCATCAGTCAATGGCTTCATCTATTTCATACGAGGACTCGGAGCATTCTGGGGCTCACCAGTTGGTGGTGTACTCGTTGCGGGAGGCACTGAGCCCCAGGCATATATCAGCCTGATCTGGTACGACTTTGCACTACTGATGCTGTCTAGTGTCTGTGTCATTGGAGTTCGAGGACTGGACGCTGTGGATAAGGGTCGCTTCAAGCTCAAAGCATGATGGCGTGTGAATATACATTAAATTGTTACATATACAATCAATCGCTGCTTAGCCATCATGGGCACGGCCTCAGCCTTGTGCAGCCTTGCATCTTCCCCATGGTAGTTGCCCCGCACGCCACTTGTTCCACAGCATGAAGCTGCTCCTTCCACTCTCGACCATGGTTAACCGAAACCGGAGTTTGAACCTCCAACCTCACTGGTGTTCTTCCACCGTCGTGTTCTTCCACCGACTATTCGAGGCTTTGCCTAGCATGCCTTTTGATTGCAAATAACATCACACCCCGGACGTAGCTGTCTTCGAGTCTATCAAATCCTCTATCGAAAATGCACAAGGTCACAACCCGCCTCGCCCCCTGCCTGCGGCGATCATCCGTCCGCAGTTTCAGCACAACAAGACAATGCACAGCGGATCATGTAAGACTAGTCGAAGTGGGACCAAGAGATGGATTACAGAATGAGAAGAAAGCAATCCCACTAGAGACGAAACTCGAGCTCATCCGAAGACTCGCAGGCACAGGCGTCACCCACCTAGAGGCCGGGTCTTTTGTGCCGGCAAAATGGGTGCCTCAAGTAAGATCCCAATCGTTAAGACCAAGGGAACAGGAGACTGATATATGCAGATGGCTTCCACCTCGGAGATATTGGAGACTATGCTTACTCAACCACCTTCCGCGCCACATCCAATCGCATATAACTATCTGGTTCCAAATATCAGAGGTCTCGACAACTTGGTCAAAATCTTGCAACAAAACAATGCTCAAAATCCAACATCTGAGCCAACTCCCCCTCCCTCCCCTCACCCAGATCACCCATCGGCATCTGATGGTGATCTTCTTTCCGCCGTAGCCAACTCCACCGAAATATCACTGTTTGCAGCGGCAACAGAAGCCTTCTCTCAAAAGAACACAAACTGCAGTATTGCAGAGTCTCTGGAACGCTGCAAACCAATAATGGAGCTCGCCAAGAAGCACAACATTCGTGTCCGCGGCTATGTTTCGGTCGCCCTGGGCTGTCCCTACGAAGGTCCAGACACGGACCCGCACAAGGTCGCAGAAATCACGGCTACATTGCTGGAAATAGGCTGTGATGAAGTGTCGGTCGCAGATACAACAGGCATGGGCACGGCACCCCGAACAAGAAAGCTACTTCAAACTTTGAAAGAAGCAGGAATTCTTGTGGAAGACCTTGCCCTCCATTTTCACGACACTTATGGCATGGCGCTTGTCAACACCGTGGTGGGTCTTGAGCATGGCGTTCGAGTCTTCGACAGCTCTGTTGGGGGACTAGGCGGTTGTCCTTATAGTCCCGGTGCGACCGGTAATGTTGCAACTGAGGATTTGATCCATCTATTCCACAGTCTGGGTTGTGAGACAGGTATAGACATGGTCAAAATGGCCGAAATCGGCAGCTGGATCACTGCGGAGTTAGGTCGACCCAACGATTCGAGGGCGGGAAAAGCTACGCTGTCAAGGCTGAAAAATCCCTAGACAGCAATCAAAAACTCTGTATCGAACATCTGCTCTGTCCTTACTTTGCTTATTAACCTATTCAATAGCCATCGTTACTTCTTCAGTGACATTAGGCGGCAACTCACTTCACTATGTAAGAGTCAGCGCCTCGTGAGTTCATTCCCTTCCTTCGGTAAATATGCTGAGCCATTCAGCCAATCCACCAGTCTTTTTATGTTTGGCTACGGGTACTGAGTGTCAACATTCCGATTTCTTCATATGATGATCCGTCGCCACAACCACGCGCGAGCAGTCATTCAAAGTGATGATTTATCCATCTGGGTACTGGTACTGACCATTCGTTTCATCCTTTGGTGTCACCCATTCCTCGAGTGCACCGAAGTCTGTACTGCCTGTTCTCCTCAGCCAGACCGGCGGTAGGGATTGATAGTCATGTCGTATCCCTTTGTTTTGCATCAAACGTGCGTCTGGTTGAACTGGTATGGGCCTGCAAGCGCCCGATGACTGCACTGTTCTATCTGTCAGAACTCCTTCAGTTATGTCTGTTGTTGTTTGTTGTCCTGTCGCAAGTCTCTGGTATAAAAGAAGCACCCAACAGGTTCCTTCTTCTTATGATCATACAATTCCAAACACCATCTAAGCAATACCAAGCGATTTCAAGAACAGCTTTGCTCCACTCTTTTCAAAGAATCTATCTCAGAACCAAAGCATCTTCGACATGGCAGGCCAATGGAGATCAGACTTCTGGTTTCTTGCAGTCGAGGGCGACGGTTTTGATTACAATTCCCTGGGCTATCCAGAGCCATTGCCTCACTACTGCTGCTATCCAGGAGGCTCACCCACGATGACTGTCTATGTCCGACGACCTGGCGGAGAAGGACTGTACCCAATCGGACTCACTGACGTGATTATTGCTGAATACCCCAACGAATTTTCAGTGATTGTTTTTGAGAGGCTGCGACGTGAACACGGTTATGAGTTGCGAGGCGACCCGGCAGGGATGAGCGTGGAAGTTATTAGCCGCAAGGACGGGGTGCTCTTTCGCTGTCTGCGACAGAATAACGACAGGAACAGGCCATTCGTCATCCCAACGGAACTCAAAGATTTCTATTGACATTGGCTGGTGGAGGGAGAACCGCTCAAAGCTAATGTCTCTTTCTGAAGTGTACATAATTACTGTCCTTCCGAGCAATGCTTGCATTTCTCAGATCTAGAGAATCTACAATTGAATCATATAAGAGCTCCAAGTTTCCTGCCTGCTGACCTGTAGTGAATATCCGGTGTGTCGTTCATGGCTACGCTTCCTAGAAACATCGTGAACTAAGTGCATCCAGTGAGCGCCAGAGAAGAGCTCATCGTACTCGAGTAGTTGATTCTTCACCGACGTCGCCTACTTTCGTAAAGGGCACTGGGAATACGAAGGCCTAACCTAAACGTTCGAAAGGAGGGACGATAAGCTCTGTATACACTAGTAGTGGGAGAGAGAGTAGGAAAGCCGTGTGATTCTATTGTAGAATGATAGGGAAATATTTAAGCCCATAAGCATTACTACACAAGTGCTGGCGCTGGTTGCCAGGATAAGTTAAGTCAGCCAGGCTCCGTCCTCAGGGGGGAGACCGCCCTACTGGAACCACGATTCGACCCATGTAGTCATCCAAGACGATGATTCTAGAAGTCACTCTTCGCGCTGAGCCTGAGGTTTTCTGTATTCATTATTCGGTGTCACTCACTCCTTCAGTGCACTTGACTCTGCGGATCTACTGTCCAAAGTTAGTCATGTTGTATCTCTTTGTCTCGTGTCACGTCTGCCCTTGCTAGAGTTGTCGGGACTCAAGGCCCTTCATGATGAGGTTTTTGCAGTTGTAAGAATTGCCTGTCATGCACGCTGTCGTTCACCATCAGATTGCAAATATCTGGTATAAAAGGAGCACTATGCCCGTTCTTTTGCCTTCTCGTTCCCTTTAACTTGTCGTTCCTGTCCAATCATTACCTTTGAAGTATTTTCAGACGGCGTTTCAATCGGGACCTTCATCTATCATTGTCACCGTGCAGACGTCATCACCAAGGTTTACCGACTTCAACATGGAGCCTGAAAAACAACGCTGGGTCTTCCAAATCTATGGCGACGGCATCACCACCAAAGATACCGCCGGCGACGAACACGAGTGTTCCATCCAAGGGGCAGCCTGGGAAGTAACCCTCCATATCGAGAGGGGGGAGGGTGGCGGCACCTTTGCGCTTCATGTTCAGAATGTAAAATCGGTTACAGGCAAGCAAGAAGGAGGTGTGATCAACGCTCATAGATTGGAAATGAGCCATGGCTACACGACAAGGGGCGTCAATCCAAACGGGAGAATGACTTTGGACGTTTTCGACGAGCATGGTAAATTCGCCTTTTAGGTGACGCGCGAAAACCGTGTCCTGGGAGGACAGTTCCTGATACCGGTGGCTCGCACCGATATCTGAGGGAGTAGAGTGTGAACTAAACCTCAAAATAGAAGTTCAACTTCTTGAAGCGGGCGCTGCGGCATCAATGACATTTGTCAACTGCTGATCACGCAACTCCTTCTCTGGAAGTGACGGCGCGTGACTCTTCTTGGGCTTCCACCTACTAAGAACGCCTCCATGGGTGGTTTGGCTGGTGGGGGAGACCAGCTCCAACGCATATGTAGTCCTCAAGGGCATAAAAGTGCCTGAAGTATCGCCTCCTATTTAGCAAGTGCTTCAAATACTTGGATCCTCCACTGATGGGCGGAAAAAAGCATTTTGAGGTCTCATCTTTCAGTATCCAGCCTATTGTTGATATACCTCAACTCTTTTTGTTCAAAGAATGCTCAGTATATGGGGTGCTTGAAATGGCCACAAGTGAATGCCCACACAAGTAATCTGCTCTGTATGTAAGGAGGGATAGTATCAAAGTCCCATGACACCCATCATCAGAGAACATTTAGGAACGATCAAAGAACGGAGGACCATACTCCGAAGACATACGTTGGCTAGGCTCAATCTCAGTGGTAGGGGTTGTAAGTGTGAACGGATCCGCCACTGAGGACATCCCGGGTTTCAATAGCAATAATAATGAAGCATCATGTATAATGCGTAGACTACTGCTGTCGACAATAAATGGTATGTGGAGGATTGGAGATTATTTGGTGCACGGTCCCGCTTGGGGGGAGGGGGGTGGACTAACAGCCTCGGGCATTGGCATTCGTTGTGCTGCTAGTACGGAGTACTTTGTATAACTAATAATAAATAAATTAGTGGGCCTGCCTCCCCAAGAGCACAAACCAATTGCAAATTTCGGGGCCGAGGGTCCGTGCTATCGTCATGACATACCTAACCATTTGCCCGCTTCACATTCACATGTTGGACTTTCCTAGGTATTTCGCACGTACATGCTCACCTTAATGACAACAGATGACACACTACGGAGCAGCAATCGACAGTAAACGAGGATGAGTGTTGTGCATCCTTTACAAGTAACTTGTGTTCCAGTAGGAGTGCAGATGTCCCTGACTAAGACTGCTTTAATTTTCCGTAGCTACTTGGTGCCTGGACCCAATTCTTCCCGGTGGGGTCTGGGTGCTATTCGTGGTTGACGGGGCCTACTCGTGGCATTTCCTGCATCCCTAATATCGCGTAGGCAGGGAACAACGGTCGTCAGTCAGCAGGAGTGTGAGAGGACCAATCTGCCCTGAAGTTGGAGGGGCATCTAGCGAAGCTTTTGGCGAAGCTATGGGGCCCAGGCAGCCAGATGGGTGGACGGTAGGATTGAGTTTGTCAGTCACTTGGGCAAAATGACCGTCAAATGACTGACCGAGGGTATTGGACGGCGCCTGGACACTAGCCATCTTTAGAGGCTTGGTGCTACCCGAGTTATTGTCCACTAGAACTTACTAGCAGAGCTCTCTAGCATCTTAGGACACCACATGACTATACTAAAGCAGGGCTGTTTGACGTCAGTAATGCGCTGTCATTTTAGTATTGCACTAAGAAAACAACCTTCTTGGCGCCCGAGTAAATGACAGACTTCCCACGTCCTGTCTGTCAGGCAAATCCTAGTCGAGGGTGCTTCGACCTGGGTGGGGATAGGTGGCAAAAGTTAGCGCCTTCCGTTCCAATCGAAGTTTAGTCCGTATCGATAGTTCGGGAGCCCCCCGCGGGAAGCCAATGACATGGCCGGTATGGCGACACCACCAACCAATCGGAGCAATTATTCATTCACTGGGAGGGTGGCCAAACTTTGCGTCAGGCGAGCCAAGATCGAACCGGCTGTTCGTCCTTGATTTTCCACCCCTCGCAGCTCAACCATCAGGACTAGGCGGCGCCAACCGCCTCTTCATTCGCATTGTTTCTCCTCAGGGCTACCAGGCCAACCCACCGGCTTAGTTTGCACCAACCAAGGTTACCCAACGAGTGCGCGAGAAGGATCAGGCAGGGTTACGACCTCCTACCCGTACCCTATTGGCAACGGGAATCCCAGCCTTTTAATCTTCCTCCAGGTCCCTCTGCAAGGTGTCGTTCTTGTTTACGGTTCCTTCCACCTCATCGTGAGTTGCATCAACCAAACCCGTACTCATAGCATCAATTCATCGAACCTTCATCTCCGGTGCTCTGTTCCCCTTGAATACAGCGCAATAAAACCTGCTAAGCTGAACGGGATCCCTTTGAGCCGATTGGAAATCCCTCCACTGTCATCGATTTCATCTTGGAGAGTAGCTTCCATCGACCGAAGCAATGTCGCCAAACCACCGATACAACCTCGTCACAGACCGTGACAATGAAGAAGTCAAGGACGAGCTTCACGACGAAACTCCACCTGCTCGCACACCCTGGTTGAAGTACCTGTTCTTCCTACTGCTGGCATTTAGCACTGCGTTCGGCGCTACTTTCGGAGTTGTAGTTGCCAACTCTTATCTTCAATCCAGCAACAGTGTAGCATCCAGTGCCACCCCGTCCCCAACGTTGACCTCAGAGCTCGCTCTTCCCCCTACCACTTCTGTCGACGACCAGGAAGACGGTACCGACAATGATCCCGCCGAACTACTCGGCAAGATCCTCGATTGCGGACACTCCTTCGAGGAAGCTCGCGCCAAGGGCTGTGTTTACGACGTCATGATGCAAGATTGGGTCCCCGAGCCTTGCTACGACCCCGTTCTGACCGAAAGATACCTCGCCGAAGGAAACTACACCTGGTACAAAGACGGCGACGGAACCGTCATGTCAGACGAGGAAATGCGGAAAGGCGAACACGGCGACGCATGGATGACAGGAAATTACCACAAAGCCCACTGTATCTTCTCCTGGGAAAAACTCATCCGTGCTCTCCGCAACAACAAGGGTATCAGTCAGGAACTTCTGTCCTACGATCACGTCCTTCACTGTGAAATGCAAACTCTTGGCGGAGAGATGCACAAGAAACGTGACGATGGCGGCATTGGTGTCCGAGCACCCACTAACTATGCAAAATGTGCACTTTACAAGACCTGGAAAACCGATTTTATTCCCGACAAACACTCTTCCATTGAGTAAAGAATTTATACGAGCTGTTTAGTAAGCCTCGTCGGCTTATAGCAGAACAACAAAACTGGTACGGTACGCTACATATTGTCAATAAGTATAATTGGGGAAGCAAGAGCAAGCCGGCAGCGCCAAGTCAAGGATCGCTCTGCACCAGATTTTCGAATTCCCAGTCATCGATGCCGCATCGACATGACAACGTTAGCCTGGCATGTAGCGAGAGATTCCCAACATCACGTCAAGCCAGCCGTCAACCTTCGTCGTCGATGATGGAAACATGGTCGCTCCTCAGTTGAAGTCCCCATCCTCCACCGATCGGCTGGCTCGGCTCACTCGCATCAACGCCACTCCTCGGGCACCAAAGATCTCACGCCCACCCTAGAGGCACAGGAAAATGCTTTACATGCTTTACATGCTTTACATGCTTGATGAGAAGAACTACACCAATAATTCTCAAAACCGACACGTATCCATGACGATCATATCAAATCACCACTTTTGACACCTGTCAATCGAGGAACACCACCTCTAGTGGCCCCCCGGCACACCCACATAAAATCCCCGGTGGCTGGAAAAACCTATTCTGGGCGATGATGTCATCCACGAGAAGGGACGCTCGATGAACATCGAGCACGGGCCTAACATTGAAAATTTTTAATCGGAGCCACTCAGGCATTATGTAATTACTTGTCCGCTGAGTCGATCTAACTCTGACTGGCTAGTGGGTGGGTTGAGACAGCCGTTGGATCCGAACGACAGAACATATGCACGTACTAATAAGTTGTGAATGGAATTAATGAGAGGCAGAAGATTGGATCTGGACAGCATAGGACAGCATAGGATAGGATAATTAGAGTGTATATTTGGGGACCAAAAATGCTGAACACATTCTTCAACCTCGAGGTATTGTGGCTTCCTTTCTGCTCTGCCTGACCACCTAGGGAATAAATAACATGCATATGCTGTCACAAACCCATCGCAAAGGTCAGTGCAATACAACCTCAGGTCCCTACACGTTCCCGACAAGTGGTGGTCACATTGAACGAACCAAGAGGTTAAGCTGTAACAAGCGACAAGGAGCAGCATTTGCGCGGCTACCCACACACAACGTCGTCTCACCAATCAATCCGTCAAAAACTAAATACCTGTATGTATATTTTCTGACATCAAAGCAAATCCGCCTTCCAAACAACGCCGAAGGATAATCGAACAAAATGGTAATAATGAGCGCTTGATCCTGCTGCTCATGTGACTCCAACCCCTGTGCAAAAGTTCAAAGAACCTACCAGTCATTCTTATGGCACTGAGAATGCTGTTACGTGTATGCGCCCCTCCTTCTCCTGCTCCTGAAACTCAAGAATCAACAAGTCGATGCTGCAGCCCCCTCCCGGCCGCCTTCGGCCGTCAAAGTTTCCTTGCTTCAGTGACCGCGGGAACTTAGCGGCAAGCCCTCATAGTCCGGGTCCCTCTCAGCCGAGTAACTCTGCAGCCAGATACTCTTTCTGGCCCCTTCGTTCTTCGCGCGCCTCCTGGCTTTCTTCTCTCCCGAGAAGTCTGCCCTCGGGCCCTTTAATATCCTACCAGGGTTGTAGTAATTGAGCAGGAACATTGCCGCCACCATGGGCACAGCATCGAAAACATAAAACCACCACTCATTCAGACGGAGCGGCGAGTCCACGCCCGTGGCGTATTCCGCCAGCCTCCATGAATTGCGGTATAGGATGAGCACCAGCGCGGCATACAGAGCGTAGATCATGTGCCGAACGGACTTGAGGGCGGCCCTCCTTTGATCGAAGAGCTCGTAGATGTTGGGTTGGCGCAGCTTGTAGTGGAAGCGGAATACCAGCGCCACGAACCAGAGGATGAAGCCCATTTGGACGCCCACCCCGGCGCTGTAGATGTTATAGCACGTCCTCTTGGTGGATGGGTTGCTGCTTTTCGCCGCCGCGATGCCGCCTCCCGCTTGCATGAAGAATGCCGTGATGTCGAATATCACGAACATGACGGTCAGGTGTCGTGCTCGAAGCCGGAGGACTGTGTCGTGCACCAGCGTGAAGTGGACCAGCCTTCCCAGTGCCATGTACACGAACGCATTGATCCAGAGGGGAGCCAGCAAGATCAGAATGCCCATATTGCTGTAGTACCCTCCGTTGGATGGATTCAGGATCGAACACACCCGGAGCGTAAATCCCACTAGTTCCCAGATGCCTCCCATGATCAGGGCGATGGCGAAGGGCTTCCGGTACCATATTGCTTGCACTGTGTGGACTAGTGTTGTGGAGGAGTATAGAAATAGAAATGTGATTGCTGCTGCGTAGCTCGGGCAGAACTCCCACAGTCGGTCGGGTTCGGGGAGAATGACACACTCAGGCATGGTTGAGATCTATGCTTGGAGGTTGAATCTTCAACGCTCGATAGATTGTGAACTGTGATTGAGTGTAAAGTAGTGCATTGACTCACCAGACGAGGTTTCTTCACCATGATGAATATATATCCAATCGTTGGGGGCAGTGCACAAGATAATTTCATTCGACACCCACCTGGAACCATTGACGACCGCCCACAAGCATCAGAAGAGATAGGTACGCACCAAGCGTTGCATATCATGAAAGAGACTCATAGTATCCACGCGTTGACACTGATCACTGAGCTGAATCACATCCGTGAGTGGGTGGACGAGAAATAGTGGATTGATCTCGTTATAAAACGGGAGCGGAATTCCGTTCCCGTTCATCACAGCTGGGCAGCCTCGCCAAGCAGAGCCTCCCTCCAACCAATGGCAGCCTTTGATACGTCTGTGTTCCACATAGCTTGAAGAATAAACAAATGTTTCTGCTGATTTTCATCCTCATGTTTGGCTTGGTCTTGATTGATCTGCGGCAAAAGCCACAAAGGCCAACGGTCCCGGTCCCGGATTGCAGTAACCAGGAGGTCTCGTGGGCGGACTGACTGACGTGTATACCCGCCCACGTTCAGGTTGTCACAAGGCAGACTTAAGTTTTGGAACTCTCCGAGGACTGGAACAGTTTCTCAACTATTGCAATAAAGATGCTACCAAGCATCTGCTAGACAAGAAGCATCTCTTCGTGACCGCGAAGAAGATTGTCCCGGTTACCGAACAGGATCACCATATTTGGGCAAATATAAAGAAGTCTTGCTCAATTGATAAAAGAGTGTTCTTGCCGAGCTCTCAGACGTCTAGGAGAAACGGGTATCTGAAGCATCATTTCAACAGCTTCTGAATCTGCCAGTGCCTAGGATCCATCATTAAGGCCTTTGCTTCTTGCCAAGCGTCCGCCAGCCTCAAGCATGGGGACTAGGTTAGAGTGTTGCCTTGAGCAACACAGCCAAAACGATCCAACGTCTAAAAGGCTGGCATTGTAGGTATGCAAGGCAAACCCACAGGGAAATTTTACTCTAGCGGGGTGTTGGAGGATTTGGACTGTACAACTGTACGGGCCAATCGATACAGGCAAGTCGGCGTCGTTGAGATTTCTGTCTTCTTCTATTCTATGGTCACCGTTCTGGTTTATATAGATAATTACTAGGCAAGATGACCTCCTGGAGCCTATTTTCCATGATTCCAAAGCATTCCAGAGGCTGTAGCACTGACTCATTGATCGTCATCACGAGGTTGTCTGCCTGTTCCGTCGATAGTCACTTTGGTGCCAACACGGGGCGATGTCGTTCACCCCACAACAGGAAAAGCGCATACTGAACCAGGTTCTGGCACTTCTGCAATGTCAGCACAAGAAACAGTCAAAGAGGCTAGGCACTTGATATTATATGATGTAGCTGCCTACAAAAGAACAGTCTCCACTGTCTTGCCGTGAAGTGAAGGGCTACCCACCACCAAACGATAATGCACAATTCCTCGAAGCTGGAATACAATTAATATCTTCTTCTTCATGCATGCATGATCTAAAGCAGGTGATATTGAGGAATCCGTCATTGAACATCCTGTGCAGGCGCGATTTGTGTTGGAGTTTGGCTGAGAAGGAAAGCATAAAGGCGCACAGCAGCTTGCTCGCATCGATATCGGCGTGGACATAGGGAAGCGCATACGAATCAAGGCTCGAAGCGCGCCATAATTGCCAGCCCTTGTCCTCCTGACTACCTCTGTCATTGTTGGATCGATGGTTATAAGATCGATGGTCATGTCCCGCGCTGAATCCTGCAGAAAAACCATAGTCACCTGTTCACCTTCAAAGTTGACGTGTCCTCGAGATTTCGGAAAATATACGAGACAGGGTATGGCTGTCAGACAAAAATCTGATGTTTGTACAGGCCTGTGTAAGTAAGTAAGGAAGGTAGTGAGCAGCATTGATGTTGAGAGGTTGCGATACGATATGTAGGGGCGATTAGTCAGCTTCAGCCTTCTTAAAAGCACGCTAAGTAACCTGGCTTCAGGTTCTTTGATAGAAGCAAGAGTCGCGGCAAACACATGCCATCTTAGAGAAGGCTCGCGGAGCGCTAAGAGTGAACAATGTGTTCGTTTGACTAATATCTGCCAATTGACCAGTCCTGCCCTATATTCTAACAGTGGAATGAGTATTCCGAAACCGAACGAGGGTGAGAGCTGGCATTGAATTTCCAGGATTGCCCGATCGGGTAATTTTTTGTCGCAGGCCTTTGAAGCAACACTTCACGAGGATTGGTAATAAAAGGGGGTGCTCATGACGAATCCAAGAGCGCCTGAAATGAACCAAATAACATGAAAGGATGCCCGACTTCTACATGCTCAACTTGAACAGAAACCCTTATTCAACGCCCACCCGCTCCAAAGACGAAATATTGATACGCGACACCTACATCCATAGTACCATGGCTTCATATCTCATCACCGGAGCTGGTCGAGGCCTCGGCCTCGAGTTAGCCACTCAACTGAGCAAGCAGTCGCAAGACCAAGTTTCGATCGTCTTTGCCGCTACGAGATCCAAAGATCCATCAGATGGTCTGAAGAAGCTCATTGACGCCTCTAGCGGGCGGGTTGCTCATATCCTGCTTCCTGTGACCGACACGGCTGGCATCGCGGCTGCAGTCCCAAAACTTGAGAGCTACCTAGGAAGCAATGGCCTGGATGTGCTGATCAATAATGCTGGAGTCCTGCCATCTACGCCTGGTGGTACTTCTGCTATGACGGATCTGCGAGAAACTTTTGAGATCAACGTCCAGGCCGTTCACAATACGATAGTCGCTCTTCTGCCACTAATCCAGAAGTCAAAGCTGAAGAAGGTCGTTAATATGTAAGTAAGATACATGGAACTTTTGCAAGCTGTTATCTCTAAAGGTCCCCGAAAGAATGGGACTGGCTTTTTGAATAATGTAGCACTAACAAGCTATTGATACCAGATCCACCACACTGGGCTCGTTGACGAAGGCTGGAATCTACGTATGGGCGCCTGCACCAGCATACAAGATCACCAAGGCCGCGTTGAACATGTTGACGCTACAGTATGCTCAAGACTTTGCCAAGGAAGGCGTGACGTTCCTCGCCATATCACCTGGGGTAAGTCGCGGTCTTTTTCCTGCTCTTGCGCCATTATAGATATACAACAGGGGCTAATCCACCACGGCATCACAGTGGCTGAAAACAGACATGGGCAGCCAGGCTGCCGATCTTGAAGTAGATGTTGGAGCAAAGGAGGTCATTAGGATAATCCAGGAGAACGGTATTGAGTCTAGTGGAAAATTCCTCAACATCCATGTTCCAGGATGGGAGGATAAAACTCCAAACAATTACGACGGCAAGGACGTGCCTTGGTAACCAGACACCGGCTCAATCGGACTCAATGGGTGGTAGTGCATATATGGCATCGGCAGTCAGCCAGTCTTGGTCACGACTGCATGGTCCGAGGATTAGATAAGTAATGTATATAAGTCATCTCTGTCACTATCCAAGCACGATCAGACTGTGCTGGATTTCTCATCGATGCGATTGACAAAGATTGATGCGGCGAGGCATCTTGCGCACCCACACATTGGTTTCGTCGTTTTCCCGACAAGTTACTGTGGAGAATTTGCCATCATCACACAACCAGCCAACTCCCATTGGGAATGGAAGATGCGAGGTACATCAGTAACAGTCGAGAGTCTGATGGGATTAAGGGTTGGTGCAATGGTATTAATAATTACACCAAGGGATCTTGAGGGAGCGTGGTTGCGACGTTCAATCTACTTTGCCCCTGACCCATAAGCTATATGTAACCACGTGTGGACGCGGGCCGGAGGGGCCTGCTCACCCCCATTGCTTGGACGCTAGATGCCGAGGAGCGAAGGAGCTGAGCAAGAAACCACCTCGGAGGATCTAGTTACATAGTACTCCGTACAATTTCTCATTATCTGCGCAACTATCAACCTGACCAGCCATTATTGTTATAACCCCTTGACTAGGCACGGGTACCCCGTATGGATCCTTGGCCTCCGTACCTTGAGAGAGTTTGAAAAATTCTCGGCAGCGCTGGCCGTGCAGTCATCCTCTTGCCCAACATGACCTGACAATCAGGTTTTCTCCTTCCCTGATCAGGCTTCTGAACGAGCTGCCTCAATTTGCACGTTTCGGCCCTGACAACCCTTGTAGTGTCTCACAGCACATTGTAAATCCGTCTGACACATATGTCATACTTCAGCCGGCACAGCTTAGCAGACGGCCTAACCATGAGCCAGGACACGAATGGTGCACGACTAGGACTTGTGCAGCGTGCATGCGACTGGTAGTGCTCCAAGGGCATGCCCTAGCACGAGAATACTGGAATGTATGGCGTACACTGCACTTAAGAACATGGCACAGACGATGTCAGTCTGGAAGAGGTCAGTTGGAATGACAAACTCCGATGAGATATGGAAACTGTGGCTTAAAATAAGCTATTCTTTGCGCCCCATCCAGAGGATTGCGGCGTCCCTTTCTCATCGTCTGCTGTCAGCATCTGATAGGACAGTTTTGGAGTATGGATCATTCAAAAGAAGTGTTGGCCTCGTATCAACGGAATTCCTTGCTTACCGAGTATAGATTTCTTCCCAACTTAAGCAATTCAGTTGTTCCATTCAGTTTCCTACCTCATTGACGATCAGATCTTAAGCAAGCCATAAGCTGATTCATAACCTTGCGAGAAATGCCTTCTGTTACACTGGATATTGGCATCATTGGGGCTGGTATAGCAGGCTTGTCCTCGGCCATTGCATTGTCGAGAGCAGGACATTCCGTCGACTTATATGAAAAATCCAGCTTTCGGAATGAGACGGGCGCTGCCATCCTCATCGGCGCAAACGCATCAAGGATACTATCGAGTTGGGGATTCGATTTTGTGAAGGCCAAGGCCCTAGACTCCTGCCAGATGCGCAGGATCAAAGCCGACACCATAGAACTGGACTCGGTAGAATCTTTCACCGATATCGAGAAAACTTATGGTGGCAGATGGCTGTTATTTCATCGGGCAGATCTCCACACTGGGCTGAGAGACCTGGTTGACGCTCAAAACCCGCAGCCTAAGATTCATCTCGGAACCCCGGTGAGCGACGTCGATGTGGAAAATGGAATCGTCACATTTCCCAGCGGCGAGCAAACAAGGAAAGACGTTGTGATTATAGCAGATGGAAGCCATAGTGAGCTCACTGAGAACATCATCGGCAAACCTCACCCAATCAACAAGGCTCCACTGTCAATGTATCGATTCTTGCAGCCATTCGAAAAGGTTCTCGCCCACCCAGAAGCCGGGAAATTCTATCAAAACCAACCCTCAGGATTTACTACTTTCTACAAGGCCGCGATTGGTCGACCCGGTCATATGATGAATACGTATCCCTGCAGGGGTGGTGAGCTTCTGTATGTGGCAGTTCTGCACCCGACAAAGCCAAAGGAGAAAGACGTCGAGGGCTGGAACTCGCCTGCAGACTATGAGGACGTCATATCCGATGTTCAAGGCTTTCATCCTGCCGTACAAGCTATCTGTGAAGGCGCAACTGAGGTGAAAGTGTACAATCAGATGTGGCGCGATCCAATCAATAGCTTCGTGAAGGGTAGGGCCATCATGATCGGTGATGCCGCTCACCTTATGCTACCTACCCACGGGCAGGGCGCGGCAATGGCTTTTGAGGACGCCAAGGCATTGGAGATACTCTTCCAGAATATCACGTCTGCAGCAGATGTACAAACGAGAGCCCATTTGTTCGACAAAATTCGCGTCCCGCGAGTAGCGGCGACGCAAACAATGTCGAACAAGATGATGGGTCCACCGGAGAAGATGATAGCTGAGGTGAGAAGGTATTATGACGGCCCGATTCCCGGTCCGAAAGCAAAGACGTTCTCTCAGGAGTACAACGACTTCTTCTTCCTTTATGATGTCGAAGGGGAAGCGAAGTTGAGCTTGGAAGCGTTAGCTTGACCGGTTTTAATGTAGTGAATTCACATCGACAGCGAGGCACTATGTATTCACCCTACCGTACATGTCAAGAAAGGTGATGAAGCTGAGCACTCGATCTCGATGGTGGTTGGGATTCAAGGTCGAATAGTTTCGGGCTTCTTACGAACTTCCCTCAGATTTATGGACGTATAGTAGTAACTTGTGTCACTATAGACGTACGTAAGGATTCTCGTCCCTAGTGGTTTAAGACATCACCTGGGACTTCCTATATCCCCCTCACTAATGGGTCTATACTAGAGTAGCGTCTAAGCTTAGGTAGAAGCTGCGTTCTCTAACTACCTAGGCCTTCGCTAAGTGAGTCGGCCTCTTCACGATTACTTATCGTATTATCGCAGCCTCGAGAACCTACTCGTAGTATCATGCGGCCCCATTTTCACATAAGGTTAATTTCATTTTCATTTGCATTCCTATTTGCTCGGAGCCGGCCGCATGAAAGGTTGCGAAAAACAGTGAAATATATACAGGGTGTGTGGGTTTAAGTGTCAACTTCACATCTGGTGGAGCCTCAATCTCGTCCAACAAGGTCGATGGAGTAGCGAGGATACCCTTTCATGTGAGTGTTCAATATAGCACATCACCTCCACTTCCGCTTGTATTTCCAGGCCTGTAGTCTGAACCCTTGCTACCCTTGGCCTGCTGTGTGGTTGGATAGGCTGTATGAATTTCGGGTCCTCCAGCAGGCCCATCGACGCCGGGAGTGTAGTTCTGCTGTCGTCCCCGGTAACCCTTCTCTTTATTCTCTTTCAGCAGTTGGATGTAGCGGTCTTTGGGAGCAAGAGTGTTAGTTTAGCTGTCATTGTAAAGTGGTGGAGCGGCAGGATTAGTCAAACAAACCTCTGTATTTTCCGCACTTCTCTAGGTGATTTACTCCTTCACGTGCATAGCATTTTCCTGGGGGAATATCTTGTCAGCAGTCTTGTTCCCATGCTTTTGCTCGCTTTCTAGGTTCTTTGCTGTGTTCCTAGCTGATCCAGCTCTTGCGCATCGGAAGACCATGTAAAGACCATAACCAAGAGCTGCAACGCTAGATGCTGTAAGGTATATGTAGCCCGTGCTCATATCGCTCCTGTAGGAAGTGTAACTTACCCATCTCTTCGCCGACTAATCTTGTCATCATTGACTTGACCCATTGTTCCCTGATGATTGCATCTCTGGCGTTCGCGACAGCCTCGTTATCAGCAAAATCGACCCCCTGAAAAGTTGGTGGGACCTTCGGTTTCTTCGCGAGAAACGCTTCTGACTCGGGGGTAGGCATAATGGATAGGTGTCGGCGGAATGGACTGCGACGAGAGTGGCGACAACAATCGCGTCGGCGGCGACCCTCGCGGGGGATTCAGTTCCCAGCTCCTTCCGGGTTCCAGGTATAAAAGGCGTACTGTCGTACGTCGCGCAGGGAGCTGGAAGATCTAGACAAATCGTCCTCGACTTCATACATTGAAAGGCCTGTGATTTGCTGCAACGCAAGGGAGCTCTGACAGCCGCCAAGAACAGTGTAAGGTGGCATGAGTTAAGCTCCCGGTATGGATAGAAAAGCATGCCGCCCTTGTTATTACCTTGGCACCTTGGCGTTTCACGCCTGTGAAGTGCAACGTCATTGAGAAGGCTGAGACAGGAGATTTACACGTGTCAAAGCCTCGCAGGCGACTACCCGGGTATTCCACGCCAGCTTCTTCTCACAACGCTTTCCCACAACAACCATGTCTACTACGGTTTCGGACTACTATCACACGCTCGAGTCTCGAATAGGCTACAAGCTTGTTCTAGGAGGGACGAGGCATGTTGGATACTACGAAGTGGGAGCATTGTGGCGGTTCCATATCAGAGCTGCGTTGCGGCGAATGGAGGAGCCCCTCTATCAGACGCTTTGCTAGAAAGGCGTCTCTACGGTACTAGATGCTGGAACTGGCAATGGAAACTTTGCAATATTCATGGCCAAAGAGAGCCTTGAGATGAAAGCTATTGATGTCCTGAACATGAATGTGCAGGGGCTCAGAAGAACGTCAAGCGCCAGCACTTGGACGACCGGGTTGAGGTGTTAAACGGTAATTACGAGAATTACAGTTTGAGGACGACACATGTGATGGCGCATATACTATGGAAACATGGGTCCACGCGGCCGATCCTGACCACCCTATGAGAGAGTTCTTGCGCGTCTTGAAGCCCGGTAGCGTTGTCACACATGTCGAGTATGAACAGGACATGGAGAATAATCTAGTCGGACGTAAAACCACGGGTCGAGTCAATACTTACGCTCGTATCCCTGCTTTCTAGCAATTTCCCTTGGGCAATATTGACGAAAAGCTTCAAAATGCGGGCTTCCAGCACCTGGAATACCAAGATCTCTCGGAAAAGGTTGCTCTAATGATGCGCCTCTTCTTCTCCCTGGCCTATACCCCCTACCTCATCATACATCTGCTCTTGGAGGCATATTTCGTCAATGCGATGGCTGGCGTTGAGCTCTGGCGTCACAGCAACGATATTCGGCTCTTGATGGTCAAGGCGAGGAAGCTTGCCGTCGAGCATTCGAGCGGATATAGGTTCAGAAAAACAGCAAAAGAGACAGAGGCAAGTTGAGATGAAGACTCACCCGAGGTGAAACCATATCCGAGTGCGCCAACTAAGACCAGGGTCATCAGGGGCTAACGAATGCCCCGCATATATGGCACTCACAACCTACTACCCTCCTGGAAGATATTTCCATCATTGGCAAGTCACCGAACCAGAGTCGTCCACCCACTAGTCCTCGAGATGGCCTTGACACCTGGTCTATCGTTGAATCAGCCATATTCACAGTACCATTTGCCTGGATTTGGTGGCGAAACGTGGAACGGCAAAAGCATGGACTAAGTGATCTAAAGATTTGATTAGGCGTGGGGTATATACCCAGACCAGTCGAAACTCTCATAAGCGTCAACAGGCAAACTTCGCAGACTGGCTAAGGCTTCAATGATATCGAACACACGCACAATACCATAGGAACCATACACCGGTAACAAAGAACCAAACTGAAACCACGTTGGCAACATTGGCCCAATCTCAACAAGGATGCTTGCTCCTTGTCAAAAGTCTTGGTCGCAATTCGCCTACTCTGAAGAGTGACCGCGGCAAACAACGCCAGGTAAGTCAGATAGATAGCAAGGAAATATATTATGGTAGCACGCCAGAGCTGCCGCTCCATCGTCGTAGGAAAGGCGAGTTTCCACCGGGCAAAAGGCGATCCAAAACAGCCAGCCGATAGGGCGATCCTCAAGAAGCAGGACCAGAAGGAATAGCCTCGTGGTGACATTGCTCTCGAATTGGACAATGCTGCGACGGAGCGTTCTTATCGATTTGGAAAAGGATGCCGTCAAAACAAAGGATCAGGCCCCAGCCGGCTTGATCTCCGGCCTTGACAAGGATCTTCACAATTGTGTTGTCTGTTTGCAATGTAATATGGGCTTGTACGTCCAGAGGTTTGTGTCTCCTGCACTTTGATAATCATGTCAGCCCACTTCGCAATCAGTACGGCAATTCTTGGGTGGTACCAAATTTACTCCTGCCGATTTCTAAATGGGGCTTTGGACCTGCGGATACCTTCTGGTTTTTCGTTGCCGCTACCATCGTAGGTGGCATCTGGGGCATTCGGGTTCGGCCGAGCATTCCGGAGGCGGCTGGGTGGATGCTGGAGAACATGGACGGGCTATCTGACCTTCCGTGGTACAATATCGGTCTTCATGGGCAAAGGCATGCTGAATTAGTAGTAATTGGGTCAATCGAGAAGCTTAAACCCACCGTGCGCCACGTTGAAGAATCACCAGAAACACGAAAGGAAAATATGTGAGGAAAATTTTGTCCTAGGAAGGAGTGAGAAGGGAGTCAGTTACAGCCGTTCTGGTTGTCGATTGACCGTCAGCAACTTTAGAAAGTTTGTTATGGTTGATGAGTCTTCTTGTGAGATACCAATCGTTTGCGAAGCCAGGAGATTCATTCTTGATTACGATCCCAGATGATGGCATCTAAGGCTTAAGGTCTCAAGTAGAGTACACTTGATTTGGGAGGAAATGTAGCTCAGACGTACCCAATCTTGACTACAGAAACTCAAACACATATAAAAGGGATTGCTCTCTTACTGGTGGGCGTCTATTCAATGGAGGAGTCAATCCACTTGATCCACGCTTGCAATCTAATCCAGCGATGTTCTACTTGTTTAGAAGTGGCACAAGAGGGTGTTGCAAGCAGCAATTGAATTCAGAGAATCATGTTATAACTTAGGCTGACACCATATGCCATCCCAGGTTTCGAGCATTGAATCTCATTGTCACTAAAATAGCCCATGAGCCCAGCTTCCAACAATTGAAAATGGCGTTCCAATGCTTAAGCAAGGCTCCTAGGCTCAGCAGCGTACGCAGACATAAGGGAGTGTCCATTTACAAATAATCCATGCAGCTATTCAATCCTTGAATGTGTTTTTTCATGCCGAAAGAGCGGATCTTAACCCCGTTGATATCGTTGCTGCTGAACCGCTTCGGATAGGACCGCACAAACAAACGGAAACTTGCGAACAGACACTAAGTGATTGCGGCAGACACCTTGTTTCCTTGCCGACTCATAACAGCCCTGAATGTGAAAGTACAGCAAAAGAAGGGTCCAAGTCCAAGTCCACGTCCGCGTATCGCAAAATTGCATACCAGAGTCCAAGCCACCTAGTATGCTAATTGTGGCTCGCAGGCTATTGTGACACGGTCTTCCCACTGCCAGCAAAACCTGCAATTTGCTGTTTGCGCATTTCTCTGACCTAGCTAAAAACAGCTCAGACTTATGTGCACGAATTTCCAGAATTTTCGTGGGGCCTCTTTTTATATAGAAGCTGGGAATTGTTTGTGGTGTTGGAAAATTTCCTCTCCATGGCGACTGTTGTCCACGTTGCTGAGGTAGTGTCGATCCCTGACCGCGCCTGCTGTTAACTCATTCGGATGTGACAGTCATGTTCAAGTTTGGGCCTGAGATAACACAAGAGCATAAAGACCACTTTCAGAGAGAGCTGAAGAAGTTGAAGAACTTACCCTGCGTCAAGGACAATCGTTTACTGGACGGTGGGACGTCGGTCACCGATCCCATTTCGCGCAGTCAAGGCTACCACTATTGTATCGTCAGCTACCACCAGAATCTGAAAGCTTTAGAAGAGTATCAGAGCAGTAACAGTCATCATGAGTATGTCACCCATACTAAGCATGATGGAACTGCAATCTTCATCCAATCATTTCGACATGCTGACTTGAATTTCGAAAAGTACCCAGCAAGCCTATGTGGCCGTTTATCGAAGGCCTTTACAGATTCGACTTTGCAGTATCGACTGAGGATGAATGTTGGTCGGTAGTATCTTGCGAGGGTTCGGACAGGAAGCGCACGCCAATGATCTTTCTTCGAAACCGAACGATTCAACCTGACAGACCGAGTTCTCGGTCGAAAGCCACAGACAAGAACCAGTATACAGCAGCGCGTTCGAGGGTATACGTGGCTCAACAATCATACCATCTGCATAGAAAGGTCGAATCAGATTGCAGTATTTAGTGCATGGGGCAGATGGATATAGAAAAGCGGCAGCACATGCACACCCTTGCTCTAACAGACCTCTGACGGTTGGAACTACTACTCTTCTCTCTCTTGTCTCTAGCTAGACAACAATACCAAGATGGCACAATCATAAGTTAGTACGAGGATATCTCGGACCTGTTGGCTATAATAATATACTTACTAGGAGGGTTCTAAGATATTGGTAATGAGCATAGATATATACTGCCAGAGAGATTGGTGCCATAGCGCAGGTTGAGCGATAGCGGTCTCGCTCACCGCAGTGGAGACAGGAGGCCACGTCTGTCTGTGCTTGGGCCCGCTTGGGTTTCCGCAGTGGGTTCACCGTAGTTCTCAGCCCGCCATGTTCAATGGAAACACAGGGCTCCTCAAAAGCAGCATCACTATGTCAGCGCTTTGGACTTAGCTTTATCCAAGCTAAGCTTCTTACGGGGGATCCGACTTGCCCTCCTCGATAATGCGGCAGGCGGGGTAATAATGCTCCACAGTAGTCAGGGCTCCCAAGCTCATCACAGTACGACACGTCAGGGTCGAGTGCCCCTGCTGCGTTGAACAGCGATCATCGTCCTCCCAATCCCTTACATTGTCGCTCTTCCTCTCCGAGCTTTGGCTCCTTTGACAGCCCAACGAATCTTGAGGGGACTCCCAGAAGCCATCGACCACAGTCTATCTTTCGATACGCTGTGCGAACAGTATGTCCACTCACCTTCGCATTCGCCTTCTGACGTCACCGAATGATGCCACCAGTAAGCTCACCGGAGCAACGCTGATTGATACTGTCCCCGACCTGTCTCGTAAAGGCAGAGCTATACGCGGAAGCACTCGACAATCTAGTTCTGGAAGATGTGCTGCCGAAGGGTGAGAAAGTTGGGGGTCAAGAAGGTACCTGAATCTATGTCGCCAGACGGCCTCGCATCCCCGATTGCGTGTGAGCCGGCCTAAAATCACACTTCACCTGAAGCCCCAGGTTACAAATCGACGCGGGCAGAAAGAGAAGGAAACTAGGAGAGACAAGGGAAGAAACGGAACAAGGCAAAAAAGAGGCAGACGCGCCGAACATGAAGACGGATGGACGCCCGAACACGCAAAAGCTGCCTCGATTCAGTTATCTCGACAATCAACCCTTTGTGTTTTCCCTTTTCTTGTGCCACTACGCCAAATATGAGCTTATACTTTTTTGTATGGCTCGGGCTCTTGCTGCTTTCCCTGCCTTCCCTTCTGTCGCTCTCTGTTTCGGTAAACATTCCCCTGGATCTGTCCCTCCAGGTTTTGTGAGAGGCTGGTTTCGAGGAAGGAGTTCGAGCGTTTTCCTGCTGATTTGATGCTTCCAGCAAGTGGTACTAGCCTAAGCCCAGCGGCCCTCTGTTTAAGCATTGACAGCGGATCTGGCTTATCTGGTTCCTTCACCCCTCGATAATATTTCCTGTCACAGTGAAGTAGAATTCTTTGGATTCGCGGTTCAAGGTCATGAGCTCAATGTGACCGTCGCTCACGTGGTGATTAATGGCCTTCGACGTCGAATTGCAGCGTCAGGAGCAAAGCCATTTCACGAGGACAGGCACAGGTAGCTATTATCTTATCAAATACTCGGCTCGACAATTCGAGCGAACACACAACGGATCGGCTGAACTGCGTATTGTGATTTCGCAAAAGCCTGATCCTGATGTGAGCTCCAATATGATGTTGAATTAGAGCCACGATATAGCTGTTGAGTCGCTGCCTAAACAACCTGGATACCACGTCTCATGGACATTTAGTTGTCCAACAGTCAACGTTGAGACAATCATGATCATTCTCGACCCCTTCTCGCGCGCTTACTGTATTTCGTAGATAGTATGGATGAAATTATGATGAATGGCCCTGATGGCGAGAGCCGATCATTCCACTTGTCTACTCCTTGATTGACTGTCAGAAGTATTGAGGAGCAATGGCAGCTTGATAGCTCAACGACCCCGATCAATATGGGCGCACTAGTTGTTGTTAGCACCACTCCCCTGCAGTGCCTCCTTACCTTTTTGGTGGCCGATGGTGGAGACCATGCACATATTTTCGCTATTGATTTCCGTGACGGAGTTTTTACGGCCACGGCCGATGTTGTCATAATAATCTCCCCACGTCACATGTATATAATAGGGTGCTCGAGGAAGTCTTGTATGCATGTGCAATTCTTATTAAGCTCTACGCGTAGTCACAGCTACCTCACCAGCAACAACCATTGCAAGATGCCTGTGGATCTGACACACGCCAAAGCGTTATATTTCGACATCTATGCCACCTTGATTGACTGGGAGGCGGGCATATATCCACAGCTCCTCAGTCTCAGCCAACGAGCAGCCTTCCCCGAAAATCGTCTTGAAGATACGCCCGAATCTCGGACCAAATTGCTCCGCGCCTTCGCTGCTCATGACAAAGTCGTTGGCCACGAAAATCCGACCGTCCCGTATTCGCAAATCATCCAGAAGATCTATGCTCGAATCGCACAGGATCTAGGTGCCGAGGTCAGCCAAGAAGACCAACGTGCTTTTGGAAACAGTATCGGAGATTGGCCAGCCTTCCCGGACACGGTCCAAGCGATGCAAATTCTGGGCAAGTATTACAAGCTCTTCGTCCTTAGCAACGTGGACAATGCATCCTTCGACAGGACACGTACAGGGCCGTTGAATGGAGTCCATTGGGACGGTATCTATACTGCAGAGATGATCGGCTCGTATAAACCTAATCCGAACAACTATAACTACGTGGTTCAGCGGTTGAAAGAAGATTTCTCGATCCCGAAGGACGAAATACTCCTTGTGGCTCAGAGTCTGGACATTGATCACGTCTCAAACAAGGCACTGGGTTTCCGACCCGGGATTTGGATAGCTAGAAATGGGTCTTCGATGGGAGGCATCAAGAGGGAGCTAGAGCAGCAGGGTCTGCTTGAACTCGGAGAGACATATAGCACCCTTGGAGAGATGGCCCAAGCGGTAGAGAAGTCTTTTGAGTCAAAAGGTACTTAGAGCTTCCAACAGAGTGGGATTCCAGTAATCTAATGTCGATATGTGCCTGTAGCATACTGCACCTGTGATTCTATCACCTAAATTGCCCTGACCTAGGGTGAAATTCGTCTTTGATGTAGGAATGTCATCTAACTATGTGACTAAACTTTCGTGGTAGAGGACAACGAAGTCCTCCAATGCCAGTACGAATGTCGCTATATGTTCTTCAGTGGTTTGAAGGTTCCAAGCTATCATGCCTCTTGTGGCAATATTGATGCGTTGATCGAGCATATGATTATAAAACAATGCTTGGAGGATGTCTTTGTCTGACCCAGCAAAGGCGATGTTGAGGATGCTCGAAATTCCCGTGGCAAATAAGTTTCATGTGCTGTCCTCCTGGCTGGAAGGTGGCTTGCAATGACATCGTTTGACCTTGGTGCGCAAAGTTTTGCCCGGATTGTTCAACCCATCAACCGCGTATACGTGGAAGACTGAACATTAGGCTATGCCAGCTGCCATCGTGACCACATTGTTGTTGAACGCGCCAGAATGCACGAGTTGTCCCTCACGTGTATTAAATATGGCTATAATGTCCCTACGACCGCCAAAGACGCCGAATGGCATACTGTCTCCTAGCCATTTCCGAGCGCGTTCATGGCGGGTTTGATACCAAGCTGACTTTGAAGAGCTCCATAAGCTAGACGGGAGGTCATGACCTTGTCCAGGATGAGGAGCGCCTTCTATTCGCTTGCTACTGTCTGTAGGTGACGAGGAATCTCCGGGATTCCTGGAATACAGCCACTTGCGCGTTGCATGCCGTCGACAATGATAGCGGCAAGAGGTGTTTTGTCTACTCCAAAAATAGTGGCATCGACGGAAGCAATGTCGTTATAAGTAGCCAACACAAAATCATAAGGAGCATTCTTGCTGTAGACCGCCTTCGCTGACCGGACTGAGATTGGGCCGCCATGATAGCTGTTTCAAAGTGCAAGAACTTAGCGAGCACCGTCACATTAGTTAAAGCGAAATGCTACAAATGAAGTTTTATTCTCATCCTCTTCTTGCCGGTGAAGTTGACCGCCGCCCCAAGAGCCATGAGGATATCTTCGGTCCCAGAGTTGCAGAGGCGTGTCATATATATGCTCTTGCTGAATCTGTTGACTATGATCCGTGATAATTCTGCCTCCCGTTCATCCTTGCCTCCATAATTCCACCGTCTACCCAGAGCCTCATGGATGGCTGCCTTCATTGGCTCATAAGGTGGCCGTACCCACCTGCGAATATTCCCTCAAGAAATTGACGTAAAACCTGCCATCGACCGTTGAGAGCATGGCAGATCTACCTTCAGAGAATGCTAAAGGGAATGTGCATGGATCACAGCGCGAGTATTGGCACCCGGCATAAGTCACTCCAGGTTCAAATGCAGTCCGAGACCGAGGGTTTTGTTTGGCGAACTTCGTCTAGCATTATCTAACACGACTTCCAGTGAAAGGCGCAATGTCTTTTCCGTGATTGAGGCCTCTGAAATTGATCCCATGTCTTTCTGTACTCGTAGCTGTTAAGACTTTAGTGTGAAGTCTACATTATCTCATGCTCCTGCTGGCATCCATCCTGAATATGTCGTTTCCCGTTTTGTCTTTCTGCGGAGAGAGACTTTGGCTTGATCAGTTTTCTCTCGGAAGTCAATAGCGAGAGGTTGATCTCTCGGCACTCGCCCCAAGGTGGCGTCTTTGACCGCCCCACTTTGCCACAGCTAGTGTCCAAATAATTCTGAAGCTCTGGAGGTGCGAGCTGCCTGGACCGCGAGTCGACATGGACTGCTTGGAAAAGTAAACATATGAACTATGCACACATAGGATCGTGAGTTAGTCACTTTATTTATACGTGTAGATTCCGTCGATTTTCCACTTCGATGTGCCTCTTGGAGTTGTCGACACGGTGATTGAGAATAGCGATTGGGAGGTTGAACAAAACATCAGAATGGATCTATCGGTATTTCGGACGCATCCTCTGCTGATGCTGTTTGGCTGCATGATAGCTATTTGGATTGCATTGACCAGCAGAAAGCTTCTGAACCAACAAAGTGTTAAAAACCAGATGGTTAGTGGCTCCAAGTTGTTAGGGACGTGATTCAGGCTTCCAGGTACGAATACTGACACAGACTGACAGTCTCGCCCGAATCTCGAGAAAGAACCTTTGCTCGGTGCTAGAGGGACAGCAGCAATGGGAAAGATCGTACCTCTCCAGGACTTCGACTACCGCACCGCCGAGCCGTTGCGTGTGTACAAATTCCAACCGAAATACTTTCTCACAATGGGTACGATTTCCCTCTGATTTTACTGCCGGTAACGGCGCCGTCTATCCTATCTATTTATTCACATCTGCGGACGTTGGCTCTAACGATCCATAAGGTCTGCAAAACACCGATATCAATCACATCATGCACATAGACTCTAGTTATCCATTACGCCTTGCCGCCCGCAGGGCTGTTGCAGACAAGAGACCCGAGGTACTTGCCTGCCTCCACGGCGCCGAACCAGTCGTTCACGAGCTCTACACCTACCTTGTCCGCGAGTGGCTGCCGCAGAGATATCCCACGATATTCAAACGGTCGCTTGATCGACAGGTGTTGGAAAACGAGGTTACGGGAGAGTATCTCCCAATGACCCCGCCATTGGACGGAAGGCAAGCACTTGAGCTACTAAACCGGAACGTCGATGACGATGTCTTGCTCATGTGCCCGCGGAGCAGAGAGGAGGGAGGTGGATTTGCATTGAATGCGTTGATGTGGGCATTCCCAAACCACAGTGATCCGAAGAAGCGTCTTGGGGGCTCATTGCGAGATTTACATCAGCGTGTGCCCCGATATCTAGAGAAGCTTGAATTGAGCATGGATCGGTTCTTCAGTAGACTAGAGGTTGGGAAAGTTGTCTGTCGATCGAACGTGAGTTTATTACTCCTTGGTGTCGGTGCTAGGACTGAACAGCTTCAAATAGTGGGGTGTCTCTATCAAAGCTTCACAGGATGAGAGTCAACTTACGGACGAGGACTATGCAAAGCCGGTTGCCGGGCAGCTAAATTTCGACAAGGTGAGTGGGCTTGAATGACTCTTTCCACCACCAAGGCAATCGGAGATTGCTCACAGACCAAAAGATCTATGTTCGTTGTGAACTGCAAACGCTATTCCGTCTTCCTGTTACGGACGCACGTATCTTCACGATCCATGAATACGTCTATCCACTGCAACAGATCAAGGACGAAGGCCTTGGCCCTGCTATGATAGAGGCCATTGCGGGCTTGAAGAAGGGAAATGTGCCTGAGATATGGGATTACAGAGGGTGAGTGATTTTTGACTTGACACAGCACCATAGCCGTCAATATGAGCTGATCCATCAGTGGACAGGGCATCAAATTGGTCCGAGCAGGTTAGACATTTCCTCCAAGAGTAAAGCATTGGAAGATGTTGGGTGAATAGATGCTTGAAAGTGTCAAAGTCTAGGCGATCTTAGCCAAATAGTCTCTGCGAGTATTTAGCTAGTGGATCCTTTGCAACGTGTTTGTCAGGGACGGCGAGAAGTCTTGTAAAATTGACATGCGAAGAGGATACCCCGTGGTACTGCACTATTGCGGGGAACAGGAGCCCAAGGCAAGCAAATTAGGCATTGGTTTGGCGAGTCAATCTATGGAAGTCTACAATACATGGCCAATAACTTAGGGCCTCTCCTCAAATGTGATAAGTGCGGTTAGGACAAGGTTACAGTGGGACAATAGCACTACTGCCAATGCCAATATAATTTCCTGTCACCGAGAGACGAATAGTAAGCCATTGTATCTTGCAACGAAGCTCTAAAACGCCTGAACAACGTTCAAGAAGTCCAAAGTTTGTCAGTAGAATATGGCCATGTTTGCTGAGCCCTGGGTAGGATGTATTACCCTGACTTGCCTGGTCTTACGTACAATTTGGCATGGCTGTGTTGCAAACGCCCTCGATTGTTCGAGGCACTATGCCGATTCAGCGAAGGCGGGTCTTGGTCTTGCTGTGTGGACCCCTATTAGCACCATGTAAGCCTCTCTGCAAACCCACCCAAACCCCGCGTCCCCGCTGATATCCGCCCGTTTCCCTATCTTTCTCCTTTCGCTTAAAGATAAGAAGAGCTAAAGGCACAAATAAGTAGTTGATCGCGAGCGTGGTGAGGCACCAATGTATCTCGTGCCTCATTTCTGAACCTCGTTATGGATTGCCGTCCCCGAGCAGCACCTTCCGAAGGTCATGGGGGAACCAGAACAGGCTATCGGAGGACATTTACAGTTGGTCCCCGCTCTGCGATCCCACCATTTTGGGGTTGACTGTTTTACCAGGGATGTTGGCGTTGTCGCGAGCGAAAAGTGAGGGTAAGGCCTGTACCAACCTACATTGAAGGCCCGCTGAAGATGTAAAGTGCGACAGACTGCAGCCTTCTTGCACCCCCTGCAGAAAATATGGATTGCAATGCAGCGGTTATCAGCAAAACCTGGTTTGGGTCTCAGCCGATCAGAAGACCTACCGACCTAACGGGAGACGCTTCCAAGAACCGTGTGGGTTGGGAAATGCGAACGCAATACAAGACGTGCCTATACTGATTCATACTCAGACCACACATGGAAGGATGAACCTGTTTTATCTTCGCAGAAGCTAGATGACCTGATAAGCAATTGCGACCTAGACAGCGAGGGCGACAAAGACGAGATATCGTGTCTGCCATTTTCCGTATTCCGAGTCTTGCCACCGCCTCAGGACTGCGTCGGCAGCCTTCCAGGATACTGCATTGCTTTAGAAATCAATGCTGAACCAGATTCACTACTCAATCATGCAAGTTACCTCGAACGTTCCAGTGTCTCCTGTGTCGATTCTTCACCTAAGAGCTCGATACATGCCTTTGCATCGGTGTTGGGCAACTCACAAGATCAGACACCCGGGTTGGAAGCGTCTCCTGATTCACTTCAGTTGTCCATTCCGCTGTCTATCAGAGCAGAGAATAGAATTGATCCTACATGGGCAAACCTCTTCCATGTGTACCTCAATGTCGTTGCTCCAACACTGGTACCGGTTCACGAAGCCCGAAATCCATGGCTAAGATATCCGGCTATTGCTTTGCATCTGAGCTTCCAAGAGGGCAGGAATCACCTGTTATATGCACTGCTAGCTCACGCTGCATTTTGTCTTGGTCACAAAATGTTCAAGCAAGACACTATGTCGACGTTAGGGACAAATCTCTATTCGTCGGCCATGCTAGAACTTCGTACTTGCATTCAGCAAGGATCGACGGACTACCTTGGTCTACTAACCACCATACTTACATTTGTATTGGCTGAGGTATTCTCACCGACTCGTCGCTTGACAAAAATTGGAAGCTTTGCTAATCGGTGGCACAGTTGGCAAGGGGAAGTTCCAAAACCTGGAGATGTCATTTGCAGGCTGCGTGGAAGTTCCTTCAACGTCATCAGAACTCCAAAGCATGGACAAACTCGGCAGATGCATGGTACGTCACTCAGAGCTTCCACTTGCTCAGGATAGGCTGCGACTCGAGCGGTTTTGTCGAGGACGATTGCAACAGCATAGAGAGCACTGCGGCAGACGATGACAATGGTATTTTGACTAAGGAAGTGATGTGCAATCCTGGGTATGGATGGACGCTGGGCACATCGAGCTCCGTGATGGAAACGATTGCGGACATTAACGCTGCTGCAAAACGGCTTGAACGGGACAATGCGGATGATGCCAAAACTACTATATCACTTCGCCTTCATCGGACGCTCCTGAGATATCAACGCGATGCCCTTGAAATGGCACATCCCGATAATATCAAAGGGGAACCCCAATATCTGCATCTTCAAGCCTTTCAAGCGGCCACTGTGATATATTATTATCAAGTCTTCGACGAAGTCACACCTCGACAATTGTCACACTTTGTATCCGCAGTTCTCACTTTTGTAACCGCCTTCTTCCAAATTTGTGGGGGCAGTTTCACACTATGGCCTGTCTTCGTGGCGGCAGCCGAAGCCTACAAAGACGAGGATCAGCTCAATTTCATGACTCTTCTGGAGAATGTGGCGAGTGTTGGGATGAGAAACATCTCCAACTACACCATTCTTCTCAGACAGATCTGGACCGTTCGAGGACTAAGAGCGGTCGTCAAGGATCAAGAGATTGCTGATACAAGGGTGGATTGGAGAGAAGTGATGCGCGAACTTGAAATGGATGTACTAATCCTGTAGATTATGGCAAAAAGCCACTCTTGCAATATATTGCCCGAGTGAAGGTGCGGCACTCTTGCCCGTTATGCAAAGTAGTCGTTCGATACGATCGATGTAACTTGATACCTAAGACAACGGTCATTGTACAATGTAGAGCCACTTCACGAGATAGTTACGCTGACAAACTACCAAGCTTGATGCTGGAATGTATCGACACACCAAAGAATTCCGCGAAATCGTCTGACAATTTTTTTCATCCTGCGTAAGTCAATCAGAGTGGTCGAATTACAAATTCGGACCATGTTGCGCCACAACCTTAAATTTCGCTATGGCCTGCCCTGACCAAGTCAACTAGCGAGATATGTGCAGGACTTGATGATAGTCCGGATCTACCTGAAACGGGTCTCACAATCATATTTTCATTTTGAGTCTGGTCGAAGCTGGCCATGGATAGCCGCAAAGGATGTGAGAAGTTGAAAAAGACTGCTGGTAGCATTTGCTTTTATCAGTGGTTTCCAAAGTGGTTTCTTGATTGCTAGTCTCGGCCAGCGCAATGAGTGATTCCAGACAACGAGAAGGAGGCATATACCTCCACTTTGAGAATGCCGGCGACCATGAAACTACTACTCGTGGAGAGCAGATTCTGAATCGGTATTCACGTCACCTGACTACAGGTCATGACTTCCCAGGAGCCCAGGTGAATTTTCTACCATTTCACGATTCTTTTGACCTTGTGCTCATAAACTGCGCTGGCAGGCAATGCTTTATGCGGCGGGTGTACCCAATGAGAGGGCAATGAAAACCGCACCGCATGTTGGGATTGCAAGCGTGTGGTGGGAAGGAAATCCTTGCAACATGAGTCTTTTGGATATGGGCAAGGAGGTGAAAAAGGTAAAAGTTGTGACGGCATGGAATCAGGGTATTGTGCTGATTGTCTTGGGCTGCAAGGCGGTAACGAATCTAGGCTTTCTTGGATGGCAATACAACACAATTGGAGTAAGCGACGCAATTACTATGGGTCATCAAGGTAAAGACGAAGTCCCGCGGTGGCATTAGAGAATAAAACTACTGACATCGCCCGAAGGGATGCGGTTCTCTCTTCAATCACGAGAAATTATCGCCGACTCGATTGAAACCGTCACCTGTGCGCAATACCACGATGCCAACATCACAATTCCGGGCTGTGACAAGAATATGCCAGGATGTATCATGGGCATGACGAGGCATGACCGCCCATCCCTCATGATTTATGGCGGTACTATCAGCCAGGGATATTCGAAGACGTTGCGCAAGCAGGTAAATATCAACACTTGCTTCGAGGCGTATGGGGCTTATCGCTATGATACTCTGACACAGCCCCAAGATGGTGGCGACATGACAAAGACGAAGGACGAGATCATCACAGACTTGGAGCGACATGCTTGTCCAGGTCCTGGCGCCTGCGGTGGCATGTATACAGCCAATACTCTCGCAACAGCTATTGAGAGTATGGGGCTAACACTCCCAGGGTCCAGTTCAACCCCAGCAGTAGCTCCGGCAAAGATGAGAGAATGCTCCAAGGCCGCGTATGCAATTAAAACCTGTCTGGAGAAGAATATTCGACCAAGGCACCTGCTCACTAAACGATCATTTGAGAATGCGTTGGTGATGACGATGGCGTTGGGCGGCAGTACAAATGCAGTCCTTCATCTCCTTGCAATGGCGACAACTGCGAATGTGGACTTAACCTTAGATGACTTTCAACGCGTGTCGAATAAGATCCCATTCATTGCTGATCTAGCCCCAAGCGGGAAGTACCTTATGGCCGATCTTTACGACATTGGCGGGATTCCGAGCATACATAAGTTTCTAATAGCGGTTGGCCTGATAGATGGTGAGATTCCTACTATCACTGGAGTCTCCCTGGCGGAAAATGTGAAAACCTGGCCATCCTTACCGCTAGATCAGGTTATTATTCGACCCCTCAATAATCCCATAAAGTCGTCTGGACATCTCCAGATACTAAGGGGTAATATAGCACCTGAAGGCGCTGTAGCCAAGATTACCGGCAAGGAGGGCTTGAAGTTTACTGGTCGAGCCATGTGTTTCGATAAAGAAGATCTTTTGGATCAGGCTCTCAACGAAGGAAAGATCCCATCTACGGAGAATCTAGTCTTGGTAGTGCGATACGAAGGGCCCAAGGGAGGCCCGGGCATGCCTGAGCAGCTGAAAGCATCGGCTGCTATCGTTGGAGCTCAGCTGAAAAACATTGCTCTCATTACAGATGGTAGATACAGCGGCGCCAGCCACGGATTCATTGTGGGCCATATCTGTCCAGAAGCGGCCGTTGGAGGACCAATAGCTTTAGTCCGTGACGGAGATCTCGTCGTCATCGATGCCATGACAAACACTATCAGCATGGATGTGAGTGCTGAAGAGTTGCAGGAAAGGAAAAAGCAGTGGAAGATGCCCATAAAATCAGTGACGCGAGGGACTTTGGCGAAATATGCTGCGTTGGTGGGCGACGCAAGCCATGGAGCTGTCACTGACTTGTTTTAGGCCAAAGCAACTCAGTCCTACACAGAGTTGAGAACTTAAACCGTCTATCAGTAGGCTCAAATTCATCATAGTCAATACATATGTGACTGATACCTATCGATCCTTCGAACTCACGATTTGAATTCTGCATTAATGTAGATCTTGAGCTCATCAATGTTTCTCTTTCTGAAACAAAAGGCTGTGGGGTTAAGTTCGGGCTGATTATGGACGGAAAGAGTAGCTGAAAGCTACCATATTCAGATACTAAGCGGCTTGGTTGAAGAGCTCTCCAGGATTCTGCTCCATAGGTACCCAGAGGGATAACGAACTTCAATCACAAATTGACATTCTACTTGAGACCTCCACTCAGTAAAATGCTCTGCCCTGTCAGGTAGCCGGTTCTACACAACATCGTCACCACGTTCGCTACTTCCTCAGGCCTTCCTAAACGTCCTACAGGAATGTTTCGGACATCACCTGGGGTGCCCTCCACGGTCTTTTCTCCAGGGATCAAGCCAGTATTTCCGATCATCGCAGGTGCAACGTCATTTATTGTGATGCCATATGGTCCCAACTTTGTCGCGAGGTTCTTAACTAATGCCATCAATCCGCCTTTTGAGGCCGCGTAGTGGCAACCATTGATGCCGCCGCCATAGCCCGATATGCTTCCCATGAAAATAACACGGCCCCAGTTCTGGGTCTTCATGTGCAGTATGGCCAACTTGCATAGCACAAAATTTGCCGTTAGATTGACCGCAATAGTGTGGTCCCACTCTTCCAACGCGATATCCTCCAAGTACGGAATAGGTTTTCCGTGTCCTGCATTGGCGACCAGAATGTCAGGATACCGCCCGTGTTCGTTGTTGACTTCATCAAACAGGCGTCGCAAATCACATATCTTGGCCATGTCGGCCTGGTGAATCGACGCCTTGTAGCTGTCTCCGTGTTCTATCGAAGTAGGATCGACTAGCTTTAGCTCCTTTATCAAATCCTCAATTCCTTGTCTTGAGGAATAGTATGTCAGCGCAAGATGAACTTGCTGGCGTTGCAGATCTCTTGCAACTGCAGAACCAATTCTTCGCGACATATAGAAGTCAGTATGACCCAGACACACGTATTATCCACCGTGTCTTCGACTTACCCACCAGAAGCCCCGGTAACGAGGGCCAACTTTCCTTTGAGGTCGTTCATTGTTTGATCTCCAGATGGCAAAGACAAGAGAGATCAACCTGTATAGAAATGTAAAGAGACCAGACTTCCTTCAGTACTAGCACATTCTGCTGCTGGAGACCTGTCTTGCCAAAATACTGTGAATTATGTACACCTTGCGCTAGCAGAATCTCGCCATGGACTTCCTCAGTTCTCAACCCCGCAAAATCATCTTCAAATAAACTCGATGTTGGGTCGACATGAGTCCGGATGACGTTGAAAGACGTGATATTCGTCGGCCCAGAAAACCTATGGCAATCCTTGACGAACATTCCATGGAGTAATGGGTGGCTATTGAATTGGAGGTTGATAGCGAGAACGACATGGTCAAGAAGCCACAATCGGCCTGGCCTGCTGGGAACAAACTCGATAAGAATGCTTGATACGAGTGGCCCGTGCACTACCCGGCAAAAAGACCACCAAAATAAGGCAGAATTTGATCTCTAAATCCCTGGACGAGGTTTCTGCCAATAATTGCTCAGCACGGGAACTCAACAAGATCCTGGAGCCCGTTCGGCTACGCGGTGCCCCACTTTCGCCATTGGCTTCCACAAACGAGCAGCGCCCGTGCTCTGTAACGTACACAAGGCTTAGAGAGATAACATTTATCTTCCAGAGCCATAACCACATAAAGTTACCAACGTACTGCTGGATGTGTCTTTGATGTCAACTTTATTTGCTAAGAGTTCAGGTAGCAACCTTTCACATTATGGAGAAAATGCATACAACAAAAGAGGTCTCTACTGCGGACGATATCGATTTGCAAGTTGGGGAGGCTATGGACACCTTGGGTCCACAGGTAACTACGACTTCCGACCGACACGGAGAATATAAACGTACAATATCAGCTCGCCAGGTCCATGTACGTCGCAAACCCCGGTCCTATCGTATAAGCACACCTCCTAATGCAGAGTTCTAGGTCATCTCCCTGGGTTCCAATATTGGAAGTGGTGTTCTTATTGCCACTGGCAAGGGCTTGAGTAACGGTATGGTGGACGCCTACCACACTTCGTTCTATCACTGACAGACGAACCTAATAGCCGGCCCGCTCGGTGCGCTCCTTGCCTATGGTATGGTAGCCACTGCGGTTACTGCAGTCTACCAAGTTCTAGGCGAGATGACAATTGCATTTCCAACTTCTGGTAACTTCATCGACTACGCTGATCGATTCGTTCATCCCTCAATTGCTTTTGCTGCAGGTTTCGCTGAGTGGCTAGGTATGTCTACTACATCAGTGCGACTTGAGCTCGTGGACTAAATACGATCAAAGGATGGAGTGCAGTTCTTGGTTCCGAAGCAGTATTTTTCAGCTTGATCGTCCAACAGTGGACAAATGTCGTACCCGAAGCTGTGTGGCGTATGTTAACGCTGCTCGTCAAAGAATCACATTGTTAACATTTCCAGTTACTCTCTTCATCCTCGCCACAGCGGCACTTTTCAGTCTTCCCACCAAATGGTTTGCTTGGTACGAATACGTTACTTCAGTAGTGAAGGTGTTTGGCGTAATGATATTTCTTATCATGGATTTTGCTATAATTGTCGGAGCAGGTCCCAAGGGTAAGGTGCATCACGGAGAGACATGGCACGAAGGGCCTCTGGTGAAAAATGGCTTTGGGGTAATGTTTACATGACATTACAGGTGATGCAGTATCTAAAATGCACTACAGGGCTTCTCCAGTGCTTCTCTCCTTGCTCTTTGGGCTATGGCGGATCAAGTTTTCATCACAATCATGGGTGGCGAGACCACATCGCCGCGTCTTGCTATTTCGAGAGCGGCTAAGACTGTGCCCGTGCGCATCGCCACCATCTACCTTCTTACCGTTATTTTCGCTTCCATACTGGTCAGTTCAGATGACCCGAGGCTGTTTGGTGGTTCATCAACTTCCCAGTCCCCGTTCACAATTGCCATGGAAGAAGCCGGAATTCATGGCGTCGACGAATTCCTGCGCGTCATTATATTGCTCTCCGTCTTCGGCTTTGGTGCCGAAGCAATCTATGTTGCATCAAGAATTCTGAGAGCTCTGTCATACCAGGGCCTTATACCGCAGCTCATCGCTGCCAAGGTGGATTCTCGAGGGCGACCCGTTTGGTCCTTAATTATCACTGGTGTCGTTTCCATCGCCCTGACTTACATAAACCTTAGCGGCAAGTACCAGCAAAAAGTCATCCCCATAGTGAGGTAGTGCTGACATATAATTTTGTAGGAACTGGCACCACAATATTTATCTGGCTCTCATCCATCACCGCTTCGGCGTTCTTCATAGTATGGATCGTTGTCGCCGTCACGTCTCTTCGGTTTCATGCTGCTCTGAAGAAGCAAAATGACATGCTTTTCACTGAGGTCTTAGCTTGGCGCTGTTGGTGGTGGCCTGTGCCTGCTATTTGGTTGCTGGCCGTCAGTACCTTGCTTTTTATTTGCTGTCTTTACAGCGGCTTGTACCCATTGGTAAATCCCCAGAAATTTCAGTTTGGTCTTTGCAGAATATGTGGGAGCTTTGAAGCTAACAATCCTTTGTTCACTGCTTAGGGAGCCGACGTGATCTCTGCAGAGAACTTCTTTCAATACAATATCGGAGTTGTCATCGTTATTGTGTTCACTATTGCACACAAATTGATATACCGAAGCAGGTTTCGGCAACCGGCGACGGCTGATCTGACTACAGGCAGACGAACACTTCGCGGTGAGGAGATATCAATGCTACAGCAGTACTACGATCGCCCCGCGTGGGTCAGAGCGATGGCATATTTCAAGTTCTGGTAGTTCTACAGGATGGACTGATCATGTTAAGCTCTAGTACGGGTGGCTGTGTTGGATGTACACCCCAAGTTATCCTTAGATCTTCCCTATTAATTAACGTAAATAGCTATCTTCATGCTATTCGGTGATACCTGTGAAGCAAGCGGGAACAGTCACCACCAACGCTGGTCCCAGGGGCCATGCACTAGACTAAGCAGAGTCTGTAGTATATCGCGACTTTTGAGGGACCATCAGTCTTGAATTCATCTCGTTCGACTCTCTTGCTAAGGCTCCGTCGCGACTTCCTGCCTCTCCTTCGCGTTCTCCTCAAATGGCTCCAGTCCTGCCTTTGCCGGTCCGATGATCTGCACACCCTCCGCGCTGAAGCGACTGCCATGCACAGGACAATCCCAAGATTTCTCATCATTGTTCCAACAAACCACGCCCTTCATGTGTGGACATAATGCACTCATTCTCAGGATCTTCCCGTTCTCGTCTTTATACACCGCCTGTGGCGTTGCGGCAGTCGGGTTCAATACACCTCCTTGCCCAAGGCCAAGGTCTTCAACGTCCGTGATATCGGATTGGAGGAAGCGTTTGTATTGTGTATTGATTTGCACATCGTGTTTGAGTATACTGGGTAATTTAGGCACGAGCGTGGACTTCCGCTTCGGGTCGTATAGACTCGCCCAGGGATTCTCTACACCCTGGATCTCATCTGCAATCAGTCGACCCGCGATAACACCGTGTGTGAGTCCATTTCCAGAGTCGCCCGTTACGACGTGAATACGGTCATTTCTCGAATTTCTGCCAATATACGCCATGTAATCGACCGGCTCGAAGATTTGGCCCGACCATCTGTAGTCGACATCTGCTGCTCGTGTGAATCGCTCACGGACCCAGGTCTCTAGTTCCTTATATCGCTCGTCCCATTCGTCCTCCTGTCCGACTTTGTGGTCGCAGCCACCGACGACTATGTAGTCCCATTCATCATCGCATGCAGTCATACGTACATACTTATACGCTTCCGCAGAATCGTAGATCAGACAGTCTTCCACGGAGTTCTTGGGAATGCGGATTGCAATGCAGTAGGTGCGGTGGTACTCCATTTCTGCGATAAGGCTGAGCTTTTGAAGAGGGACGCAGGTGGCTTGTATGGCGTGGTCGCATGTGATGGTACGGCCGTTGAGGGTCGTGACTTTGACCTTCTTTGAGCCTAGGTGGACATCGACGATGGGGACGGTGGCACCACTTTCTGTGCAAGAGGTCATGCGCGTGTGGGTATAACATTGGAAGTTGGATTGCTCCTCTAGCCATTTGAGGACACCCACTAAGTATTTGGTTGGATGGAAGGTCGCCTGCTGGCTAACAACATTTCCATCTCGTTGATCAGGCTTACCGTCCCAGCCCTTGATTGTAAGATTGTCGATGTAATCTATATCAAGGTGAATCTCTTTCGCGAACTTCGCTTCTTCCTTCATTTCCAAAATGTCTTCTTCGTGTTCTTTAGTGCCTTTAGGATGTTGTGAGATGTTGTAAGCCCTAAGCTGGCGATATTCGCAGTCTATGCCGAGTTGCTTTGAGATATTGCCTACATGCTTAAGGGCCCAGTCATGAGACTCAGCGGCCACTTTGGCTCCTTCGTAGCCGAAAAGCTTCCCAATGGCGGTGTAGCCATCATCGAGGTCAGACGACAAATGCCCTGACGTACGGCCTGTCTCTCCTGTAACCATATTAGTATGTGTTCATTTTGGGGAGTGGGCGCCGGGAATACCAGATAGGATATCCCTTGCCTCGATCATAACCACGTCCATGCCTCTTCTCACAAGCTGCTCTGCGATTGAGATGCCAGCAATACCGGACCCGATGATGCAAACTTCAGCATCCAGATCTCTGTCCAGCTGAGAGAACCGAGGCCGATTAGAGTATGGTTCTGTGTGCACCCAGACAGGATCGTTCTTTCCTGATGTCTTCATAAATTGAAGTGGATCAGCCAGCATGGGGATAGAATGACGTGATGCCATAGCTGTACTGCTGCTGATTTTTCTGGCAGCAAGACACGTTAAAGAGTTGAGCACTCGCTGAGAGGCCTTTGTGAGCATGTATATTCTTGGTGTTATAGTTCGAAAAGTTGTTCCTAGTATTCGCAATTCGGAATGGCACCCATACTTAGAGCAAGATGGCCATAGAGGTTTTCTTTTCCCGAGATGGAACTCGCGGGGAAGGTTGTAGCATCTAGACATCAAGATGGGCTTCAGAACACGTTTGAGGTATTACGGGGTTTGGATCCGGTTCCATCTCCGTGTCCAAAATAACACCATCCTTGTGTACTGTTGGTCACTACGTCACAGCTATGCTGGATGAACCACTGCGTTGCGACGTTCATGGTGTTCCTCAGTGGAACAAGTTCCCGCGAATCAGCAAGTTCGCATTAGGTAATCATCTTCAGCAAGAACAATCACCCATCACGCGGACGGTCGAAAGTCGTGGAAGTTCAATGTCCAATACCAACGGCGAGCATTGGAAAATAGCGTGGAAATGGAGGAGTCTTTCATAAGAGAGTGAATCATGCTGATCGCAGCCGCAGTTTTACTCTTGACACTGGAGCGAAGATATGTTACTTGTAGAGCTAAGGCGTTGACAATCGCATGGGGTTGAGGCTGGGCCTTGCGATCCATAAGGTATGTACATATCCAGGGAAGCCAGAATTGCTTCGACAGGCTTAATACAGGCGTTGAAGACTTTCTTTCACTACTTCGCGCATTTGAAGATAGCTACAGCTACTAGATAGAGCAGGCCGACTCCTCTACATTTAACATACTTAATAGCTTCTCGCCGTTTATCTCCTTCTCATCGTGTGCTACTGCTTGTCTGACAAGTTTTGCACGACGTAGTGCAGTCACATTTGGTTCTCTTCTCTTCCGTTGGCACTTATGGCATATTCGGGGTATGCATCGCTACTGTGGTTGTCTTTGCAGCTTTGCTGTTGTTCTTGGTCTTACTTAGGAGATCCGGTCCTATTATCTCGACTGTCAAATAGACTGCTGATCAACTGAGGGATATTTGTTTGGGAGCAGGGGCCGGATACCACTCCGGATGGCCGAACAAGATTGGCTATAAACACAAGTATGGTTTATGGGTATAGTGCTATTTTGACATTCCGGTGAGGCTGGAGCCAGTTCATACATTGTAAAGATAAACATACAAGATAGGCAGGCGCTACCTTATGGATTGAGTGCGCACACAGATTTGCCAATGACGATGGCAAAACAGAGTAGGGTACCATAGCCGGGGCGCGATATGCTGGTCCCGGACTTTGTTCTCTGGTTTCTTTATCTCAGCACCCTCAGTCCGTTGGTACGAATGTGGCCATGTCGCCTTGCTTTAATGAGTGATTGGATGAAGGTCAACTTGGCCACAACGAAGATGTCAAGAGTTAGGTTAAATATGCTTCAGGATTTCTCTAGCTAAATATCCGCCTCATGATGCTAAATCTCTCCACTAGTGGGTGTCCATTGCCGCCTATCCCGACACTCATTATATAGTTGACCGCATATCGTAGAGTAAAAGTCAACGCCACCACGACCCATGCAAACCCGAGTGCCTTTGTTTTCCCTAGAAGATGTGAGCCCTTTCTAACCTAAAATGAGACCAATTACTCCGTAACTTACAAGATTTTCTAATACCCGCCCTCTTCCCTAAGTGTATTGCTATATCTTCAAATGTGATGGCAATTGGTTGCATCATAAAAAAAAGAAACTGGTCCCTAACTGCAGGCGTGTACGGAACATTAAGGGCTCCGATATGATGAATTAAAGCGGAGACGAAAAACGCGTTATAGAGCTGGAAATATCGAGAGAGGAGAGTCCCCTTCTTTATTCCAAGAGTTGCTGTAAATACTTTATTTGCTGACTCAAAAGTGCGGCGTAGAAATTGATGCCTAGCAAAAGATATTTAGCCTATATATACTATGGAGCTTAATATTACTTACCAACAGTAGCCCCAAATATTCCGTAAGGTATATCCCTTCCTTAGGAAGGATCCGTAGAATGGAGGCCATGACTGCGGGACCGAGATAGTAGTTGCTACACAAACGGCAGCAGCCAATCGATAGCGTATAGCCATAGCATAACGAAGTGCAAAGACATATAACCAAATGTGGAATACTTGCTGGTGCCAGGGAATAGAAAATATATTGAATATAGCGCCCTTATCGCTAAAGGATATTTTGAAGAGCCAGTATTGATATATATCGAGGAATATAAAGGTGATGAGGCATTTAGCGATCTGTTCTGCTATAAAAACCCTTAGATACAGTAGTCAGTATATAACCTTAAAGCTAATAATACCTGAAAGTATTACCTTCTTGATATCTCGCGAGGTACGTGATCAACATTTTGTACTTGCCAGTCCCAGTTAATACCCCTAAGGGTGAGAAAGAGATCTAGATTCCATCGAAGCTTCTGATAGAGTGTCATATTTAATACGTCCTCTGTGGTTTCGAAGGTCCCATCCGGACGAGCACGATGGATCGATAGCTCAGGCACTCGTAATACAGACCAATCAACTAGCCTAATACAAGTCATGAACACATCTATAGCATCTTGGTAGTCGCTCGCAGCGAGACCAGTTCCATGCCGTCGAACGTTATATGCAATCCATAAGACACCTGGGAAGGCAATGATATTGCGGAAACGGCCCTGAGGAAGGAGCAAGGAGACAATTCCAACGGCGTTCGAGGTTAACCGGGCTCTTCCGGGGGAATGAAGGGGGCGGACAGGAGGTGGAAACAATCTATGGTCCATGGTAAGTAGAGCTTGTCACAAAACGTTGAAAGCTTAGTGTCGGGAAAGTTTAGGAAGGGAGCGAATCTGCAGACCGATAGAAGAGCAGAAGTGGTATATATTGAGCCCTTGAGATTGTGGCTGAGCTACCTATCATGGTGCTACACAGGCTGGATCTACTTTGAATAGCCTAATAGTCGCAGTATGGGTGTTCAAAGCATTCTCCTCCAGCTTCAACGGACAACAGGTGAATAGGACCATCCTATTGGAGTCAATCCCTGGTCAAGATAATCTCACATCCCGTTTCGAAAGGGGAACTCTAGAAAGACGCAGAGAAAATTCACAGCAGGAGACGAACTACACTGAGATGGAAGCGGCTTGGCGGGTATACCATCGTTCCACCTACCCGGTCGAGTTCTTGGCCAAAATCCGGGATCTCCGTAGTACATAAGGTAGGTTCTCCGCTTGGCACACCATAAGGCTCCTCAAGTATAGGTCGAAGTGGAAAAGCGTCGGATATAGTGGCCTTTGCACCATCCTCATGAGGCGCTATAAGGCGCAGCCGACAGTCACCTCCCACAGATTGAGTGCACAGCGGCTGAGTTACTCCGCATCCAGTGTGCTCGGGAGCTGCAAAGAGAAAACATAAGCAGGTATCAAATATCGAAATGGCAGACAGAATCCAACCACGAGTATTTGTGCGCATGAGATCTATCTTGCTGGCCGATGAATCAGTAAAGCATGCAGAGGAATAGATCCTTTAGGACACGTGGCGATGTATGACCCATTACATCAAGTGGAATTACTTGTGACCGGGTTACAGGGGTTATCTCCCGGATAATGTATGCGTAAACACAATGATATACCCCGGGGGATGAGGTGACAACAATGACAACGTATGAGTAAGTAGAGAAGAACAGGAAATCCGACAACGAGAGCCTCTACGGCCCGACCATAGATGGAGTCTCGCTAAAGGAGGCTGGGAAAGGCGTGACACAACCAACTAGTTCGTTCGAATGTAGAAAGTGGAGAAACAAGAGCTTATTGGTTTGGCGAATCAGCAAATTGGAAGAATACTGTCATTGGGACTACAACTGTCTAGAAATGATCTAGCAGTGAATAGCATAGCTATCGTCAAAGCTTTGCACTGATTTCCGTCGGCCATAGGCCAAGCTATTTCCCAATGTCAACAAGCATGCTTCAATCCCAATCATCCGGGGACTCTCCCCATATGCAGCACGCCACCCCACCAACGCAAGAGAACTTGCTCTAGCAGGTTACACACAATCCATAAGAAATAATCCCCCAGTAACAATTTCCTCTGCTAGCTCCGTATATCTTTTAGACAATCCCGTCTCCACTCCTCTTATACCTTCATCGCTATTTAGATAAATGTCGGCCCCGGCCCCCCTTCTAGCGCACCTAAGCTCTAAGCGCTAAAAGACGCTGGTGTGTGATGAGATGCATCTAGTGTATACTGTATCTCCGAGCTAGGTAGATTATTGGGAAGCAGAACCAACCTTTCGATATATGTATGATTTCCAGAACTTAAGAGTCAGAAACCGAAGCCGATAAAGATGGTAATCTCGGCCCAAAAAGGCATTGTTTCATCCAAGTATCAACTCCTGCTTCCCAATCCTCCATCTATCTTGCACTTACCATGGCTCCCCATCCTGCTCCAACCTCTACATGGCACACCAAAACATATCCATCTATATGTCCCGCCCGTCCGGAGCTTTCTGCCCGAGGAAAGGCAGTAGTAATAACAGGAGGCGGTACTGGCATTGGTGCAGAGACCGCTCGCTACTTCGCCGAAGCAGGCGCATCTCGGATTGCCCTGATTGGTCGTAGGGTTAAGCCTCTACTCGATACTAAGGCCTCTATCGACCAAAGTTTTACAGATATTGAAGTATCTATATTCTCTATAGATATTACAAAGAAGGCCGAGGTAGATGAGACCTTCGTACGGTTTATTGGCGACGGAAAACTTCATATTTTGGTTAGCAACGCAGCTTCGATCGGCCCTCAGGATCCTATAGATCAAGCGGATGACAAGTTACTCGAAGCAATTCAGCAGAACCTTAAAGGTGCATTCTATATTGCCCAGGCTTTCCTTCGCTATGCTTCAACCGATGCAGTTGCAATCAACGTTTCTTCCTCCGCTGCACATCTGGATTTTGTTCCTGATTTCGCCGCATACAGCATCGCTAAGATGGCGATAATTAGGCTCTGGGACTCTCTGGCCTTTGCACACCCGGAATTAAGTGTTTTTCACGTTCAACCTGGCGTGGTGGACACTGCGATGAATAGGGAAGCGAATGCAGCTGGGATTAAGTTTGTTACTAATAAAGATGACGGTAAGATAACTTATATTTCGTACGTACATCGCTATAAAGCTTACTTCTACTTAGTGTCTCTCCCAGCGAGCTTCCATGTTTGGCTGGCAAGTCCCGAGGCGCGTTTCTTGAAGGGCAAGTTTCTATGGGCAAATTGGGATGTAGATGAACTCAAGGGCCAAGCTATGGAGATTAAAGCAAGTGCGAAACTTAGAATTGGGCTCGTTGGATGGCCGTTTCAGAACGGTAGCCAAGTTTCCTATTAGCGGACCGTTCCCACAAGTCCAATAATTCGTGTATTACTGCGTTTAGTTTGCACAGGAACAGCATCGTAGGACTACGGTACCGAAATACCAACGATTTAATCTCCATCGGTGTGATCTAGGTTATCTTCACGCATTATCAATATCGGAGACACATCTCCGAACAACGAACAGTTCGGTAGGGCATGGTAAACGGAAAGGCACCCGCCCGTTTAACTGCAAATGACTCGGGAGGGGGTAGAATTGTTTTGACAGGAATCAACCTAAGGAATCCACACGGTTAAGTAGTCGCCGTAGCTTGCACAATCTTCAGACAGAGAAGGCGAGGTTAGGATTACCCTTCGATGATTCTGTTATTCTTCTCGATGGGCCTTGGGAAGCCTAGGTTAACAAAATCCGTAATAACGCAGCGGATCACCGTCACCATGCACAGCTTGCATCTCACGAAGGCTGATTCAGGGAGCATTCTTCCGACCCACCTTGGGTTTTTGATGATCCACAGGTCCAAGTCGTCAAGGGTGAACGATTCCACAAGGAGGAAAGACGCACTATATCGAGCTCGAGAAAGAAGAGGAAGGCCATCACTCTTAAACCTTCAAGCATTATGCGTGCTTTGGATGGTGTGTGTTTAATTCCTGTAGTGTTCTGTGAATTCTAGCTCCTGATTTACTAATCATGCACTGATTCTATTTCGCGCGGCAACGATGTTTTGGGCGATTCGATGTTGGTTCAGATAATTTATATGTATCGTGGTCTCGAATTAGGAAGAAAAGACCAGGAATATAGGGCCGGGACCGCGATATCACCTCACGTATCAGGGTTATTCGAAGCACTACCAAGGCTATCTTTAACTCTACCTCGTATCTAGGGACATAGATATAAAAGTATACTATAAAAATCGTTTCTAACCGTTCTAGGCTGTTTATTTACCTACCTCATGTACTGCTCCTGACCTAGCAGAGTAGCCAGGTGCATACATCGCAATTAGCAGGACTAGAATCGCCGGGCCTCCATGGGCAACCTTTTGGACGCACGCGCGGAACATAGTGCCTCCTTTGAGCAAAGCCAGTTTCTCAGAACCTTCAAGCGGTGAATCTTTCCAGAATAGGGAAAGGCGGATACAGACAGACGACCCCTCAAGGGTCTACATACGGGGAAGGGTCGCCAAGGTGTGGGACCCATAGAGATGGCAAAATAAGAGGATCTCCTTCTGGTGAAGGAGAAAACGTATGAGGAATGGAAGATCGTTTCTTAGCATTGATCTAGTTGGTGGAAAGAATTTTGGGCAATTAGATAGAAGCTATGGAAATCTGGTTGCGAATCGTTGTGAATTTTCAGTACCCGCGTGCAGCACACAGTTTGCTCAACGACAGGGTCTGGCATCTGCCCGTTTGAAACACACGATGTTCACGCCCATGCCCATGATATACTGTTCCATTCCTCCCATGAAGCCCTTCTCATTCAGCTCCATCGCCATCACCACTGCTCTCAACTATTTACAGCGAGGACTTCTTGGCTGCGAAGTCGGCAAGAGCTTGCATGAGAGGAGGGCTCAAGGCATCGTAGGACTCCAAGCCCACAGCCTTGAATTTCCCGCGCACCTCATCCAACTTGTTCTCAGGGAATCCCTGCTCCGCAATGGAGGACACGAATCCCGCAAATTGAGGCTCCTGCCATCCCTTCTCATCGCTCAACTCGACATGGACAAAGTCGAGTCCCTTGAATGCGTGGTCCGTCTCGATCCGTCCGAACAAATGTGCGCCGCAGTCCTTGCACGCATGGCGTTGAATGGTGGCGGACTCGTCGACGATCTTGAGCTTGTCTCCATTTGCGGTGACGGAGACCTTGTCCCTGGGAATGACGGCGACAACGGAAAACAGGGCACCGCTGGGCTTCCAGCACTTGCTGCATCCGCAAGCGTGGTTGTGTAGGACGTTGCTTCCCAGGGTCACTTCGACTGGGCTGGACTTGCAGAGACAGTGGAGCTTGCCGCCGGAGAAGTTCTCGCTGCCTTTCGAAAAGCCACTGTCGATGGCTGGATGGAGAGAGTAAGACATGACGATTCGTGTTGATTTGACTTCGCTTGAATAGTCTGGTTTGTAGTAATAGGTGATAGGTAAGTGCTACGTCAGTTCACTCTGCAGGTTGGTAGTTGTCCAAGGGTCCCAGAGGAGGGCATTCGTCTCAATTTAAACCTCTGCCAGGAGATCAGCAGCTCCATAGCCTGAAACAACATGTGGGAGGATTGACAAGTCAAGAGGGGTAAAATGCTTCGATGCCCTGGTCAGTCTTATTGAGGAGACGGGCGAACTCTCAGTCCGCCTGCCCAATGTGATCGGTGCTTGCTCTTCCACATCAGCTCCCACCCCTCGGCAGTTGATGTCATTTTCAGTGGACCGTTCCTGGTGTGAGAAGCGAGAAGGATGTGGAAGACGGTACACTGTAGCCAATGGCTCTATAGAGGCGACAGAAATCATAGTCGCAAGGGGAACTGGACCCTTGGTGGAGCTTCTAGCTGCAACACGTCGGTGCCCGGAAAAGGAAGAGCCGCTTCATTATTTGGTATTGTTGATGATGATGTCCCAAATTGGAGTAAGAGATCGAGGCGGGGAAACCGAGGGAAGATTTCGTTATATCCGTGGTGAACCAGGGCCAGGGCGCGGAACAAACCGTACACGGTGCGAATTCCAAACTTCATCCGACATGCTTTGCAGGTCCGCAATGGGCATAATATTCCCCTCGAGGTTCCATATTTGGCTTATACCCCTCACTTTACCACTCAAAAAGCCTAGCAGGCGAGGGGGCATATCCGTGCCGATGATGTGTAGAGGCTGGAAGCCAGAACGTTTCTTGAGTCCTAGAAGGGTAATCTCTTCCGAACAACAGGAGGCGCACCGAGAAACGCGGTTATCCTGCGTTGGACCAGATTGGCAGTGTTGCAGCTCGTTGTCATGTTCAGCTCTCTTTAGATGAATAAGCGAAGGGAGTGCTCTATACAGGCAACTCGCCTGTGAATATGATTGAGAGGCATTGCTTTTGGCCAGAGGTGCAGCTGGATGATACGGGTGGATTGAAACGAGGTAACATCCCATCAGAATAGCAGCAGCTTGCTCGCGAGATGATGCAAATCAGAGGCTGGATCCCATGCACTATTGCAAGGTATTGGTAGAGGAAAGACGCACTGAGGATTGAGGTTAGTTGTCACGAGTAGGGCTGCATCAAGGTTTTCATTCGGCGTGCATGGGCATAGATAGGCACGACGTTTTTGCCCGGGCAGATATTAATGCATGAGAATATCCTAGGCCAGTAGTGTTCACAGGTGAGCCCCAATAGTTACTATATATCATTGAGACCAGCAGCTTCCACGAACAGTCAACATTTAATCATTCAATCTATTGATAAGTTAATGAATAGTAATCTGGAATTCAACCTTTCTTGGGTTTCTGCGGGAAGGCCACAAGGGTCAATGCTGCACCATCGAAGACCCCCCTGAGGCCCTTAATTAAAGCGGCATCAGTGTGGCGTTCTGGGGAAGCCACAAGCCACAAGCCACAAGCCACAAGGTTTGCTCTCCTGCCAAGTTTGACGTCTGCCATGGAAGCCTCAAGACCACATATCAATCTCAAGCTTGTAGTTCAAGAAGTAAAGGTACAGATACAGATCTCTCTGAAGGATCACCGAATGTTTTCAGCCTTGGCGTCTTGAACCATGCCGTTTCCATTCGTGGTTTCCACCACATCCGCCATCTCATTCCATTCCAATGTGACCTCAACCACGCATCCCTCATTCCCGTTGACAACTTCATCGCAAAGAGCAATCCTTCGAGCAGCATTGAAAAGTCATAAGCGGCTTCCGCCGAGTGATCAGGCAATAAATCTCAACAATCTCCTCTCTACCACTCACAACTATCTCAGATATCTTCTTGCACTTGACCTTGCTCTGAGTGGAAGACCAGTTGCGGGAGAGGAAGTGGATGTCGCTTTGGTGAAAGAAGTGGAGGTTGGATGGCGTCCCACCTTGATTTCGAGTGCTATCCCAGGGCGTGACAATGATCGTGTCAAAGGAAAGGGCCTCGACTATGAGATATACTTTGTTCACCACACCCTGGCATTGATCCACAATCTTCTTGCTCGTCAATCACTATTAGGACTGTATGCAGCCACTGTGCCAACCACAGAGCAGCGAACATCTTTTATCCAAAATGCAACCAAATCTCTTAAAACGGCTCATGCCATTCACACGTATCTCATTCAGCGAGCGAATTCATCAAGTGAAGGACCCCCGGCTTTCCCCCCCAACGCCATTGATGTATCAGTGCCTGTTCAGTCAGCTTTACAGCACCTTGCTCATGCAGAATTCAACCTCCTCTGTGTATTGAAAGATGATCCCTACCCTGCTTTACTGGTACAATCACGGAATAAAGATGATAAAGAATGGATGATCAAGGCTCCTCAAATACCCAAAGTGCGTGCCCAGGTTTTGACAAGACTATGTATTGGTGCTGCAGAACACGCCACAGCAGCCAATGCTTCATTGAAAGTGGAAGGATCCAAAGTCTCCAAAGATTTCATGGACTATTGCGATGGCATCTACAGAGCTTCTCGTGCGAAAGCCTGTCGTTTTCAGGCATTGGACGAAGATCTTGCCGGAAAGACTGGCACGGGTATCGCATGGCTCAGAGCTGCTTTGAATGAACTGGGTGCTGAAATCAGGAAAGACGGTTCAAAATCATCAGGGCTGGGCCGGCTGAAAGCCTCCTGGACTGAAAGGAGAGAAGATAAAAGAATCGAGAAGGGAAGCCCGAATTGGGGTTTGGACGGTGGAAAGCTCGAAGAAGGTCGCATAGTGGAGCATCTCGAGCGCAAGATGGCAAAAGAGAATGACACAATCAACGTTCAGATCATTCCAGAATGGAGGCCTCTGTTGGCAACTCTCCCTAGTGGAATGAACATGCCGATTGATGAAAAGTGGAAGCCTTCACTTCTGGAAGAGGATGAGCTGGCTGCAATGAGGGCTCCTCCTGAGGCCGATGACCTAGTCGATGCTGCGAGTTCTGAGGACGAAGGCGGCTCGAAACAGCCCGTGGGAGCATTTCCAGGCACGCATCGGGATTATGATGGACAGGATAGGGGATATTATTGATGCTAGATTGGTGCTGAGTGGACAAATTTATCATGATTGGCGACGACAATGTCATCACTCATTAGTCACACCAGGTGGGTGCCAGGCACCCCAGCTAGGTCAATGCCACAATGTAAAACCGCGGACTTCGGAGCACCATTGCTCTGATATCACAAATGGTGGGCTGGCCAGAGCCCCGCGGTGGAACTGGACGGGATATCCCCGGTAACCCCCAGACTGCGAGCCTGGTCAGCTGACCCGGCTATCAGTCGACTGTACAGTACTCTAAGCCCCTTTTTCTCCTCTTTTCTGTTTCACCTCACGTTTCATGACCACCGCATGCCCAAGCCACACAGAACGATTGTCGCCCAATCACCCATCTAACTTGACCAAATTCAAGTCGAGCATCTTGAAATCGCGCGTATCTTACTGCTTCTTCTTGATAAGCAAAGTCTGTGGCCTGATCAATAGCCAGCCGAGCACAGTCGAGAACCATAGCGCGTCGACAGAGATTACTCCTTGTGCGTATGGTGCGTCACTTGAATGTGACAAATGTATGGTTAGCAACGCCTCCCGCGGGACAGGGACAGGGCAAGACATAGCCCGTGCCATCGGATGCCTCCTCCTAGTCGCCGCCGCCCTGTAAGATGGTGAGTCGAGAACCTGCTGGCCGCCCCTGCCAATGACGCTATCCAAGAGCCTTGCACCTTTTGTCTTTTTTCCTTCCCATGCTCTTCTTACCTCGCATCGCCATGCTACACCTCTCTCTCTCTCTCTCTCTTTCTTCGCCTCTCGCTCTTTCGCAGGTAACGGTGTCGTTCGTTGACATTCTGGGCCGGTCCCGAAGATCCAGCTTCAAGCTGCCCGATCTTTGACCATGGCTACCCTTCTGCTGCTCGCTTTCGTGATAGCCATCTTGGCACCATCAGCATCTACGCTGCCTGCGGGCGTCCCAATTACAAGTCAGTCGAAAACTACTATTTCTCAAACTTCGATCGCTTCCAGCAATGCCCAACAGAGCACGGCAGAGGGAACATCCCTGGGATCGCCGACGCACACTTTCATCAGCGGCGAGGACACACTCGAATCGATGGAGATCATCTTATCGCAAGGTTTCAGACCGAAACATTTGCGCCGCAGAGTTTCCCGTGACCAGACTGCCCAGAAAAGGAACTCTCTAGCACATCTCGTTCGATCCATCCCATCTAGCACCCAAGATAGTACAAAAACGCCTTCGACTGGGCTCGCAGTTGACACAAAGCCGTTCGCATCCACGGCCTCAGCCACCTCTTTCGTTTCAAACACGAACACAAACACCTCATTGCTAATTGACTCGGCAGAGACTGGTAATCCTCCAGATCGTGACCCTGGAGACCTTACAGGTTCGGGTGGAAACGATGACAGTAACAGCATCACATCAACAGTAGTGAACCCCTTCATGAATCCAAGCATACTCAGCATCCTGGGCCCTCTTCCCGTTCTCAGCACATTCACTAACTTACCCTTTTTCGGCTCTACCACAACCGTCAATCCATTCGAAAGCTTTACCACAACAACATTCGCAACGGAAGCGCCCCTCCCCACAGACATGCCCACCGCACTCCTAACACTACCGCCCACAACGGCAATATCAACTGCTGTACCACAAGAACCAGCCCCGGAATTAGTGACGAATTCAATATCGACATCGGCATCAACGTCGGAGGCACCTCCACCAGCAATGACCACCACCTGGCCAAGCATGGATGTCTCCTCATTGCCGCCGCCGCCGCCGCCGCCACAATCGTCGGCACCAGGGGAGCAGCCTCCACCACCAGCTCCACCATCTTTGCCACTGCCATCATTTCCAGTCATCGTCACCGTGGTACCTGGTACGCCACCGCCGCAACCACCCCCGCCGGCCGCTGCAGCTGCAACTACACAGGCACCAGGGGGCTCCCCACCGCCGCAACAGCAGCCTCCTCAGCAAGCACCTCCTCAGCAAGCACCTCCTCAGCAAGCACCTCCTCAGCAAGCACCTCCTCAGCAAGCACCTCCTCAGCAAGCACCTCC